GAAAATAATATACATCATTCTATAGTGGTAATTGAATGGTCAAACACATTATTACATTTTCAATAAAATTGTTTTTATTCTTAATGAAGGAGTCTTGAGAATTATATATTTTCGAACTTTTTCCAACCATCAAAAATTTTTCAACTAATCCATCATGAACTTATCCAATTGAAGTTGGCAATAATTGATCGATTGAAGTTATTTAATCATCAATATCATAACCAAAAAATTATTTAAAATTGCTAGAATATTTTTGATCAATCTATCCAAAAGAATCAAATGAAACTAAAGATGTAACTGAAATAGCTTCACTATTAATATATTTTAAAATATGAAATGATTATTTAGACATAAAAAGTGATTCTTTTTGAACAGATTATAATTTATCAGCTATTTTTAGTTAGTTATTTAAATCATCTAAACAAATTATTGATAAGAGTAAATTAATTCGAAGAGTTAAAATATTTTCCAAATCTGGATCTTCTCGTTTTTACAAGAATTCTTTATATAATTTTCGAATCTTTTCAATTTAAATGAATATTTTATTAGATTAAAAAAGTAAGGAATCAAAATCCTTCAGTGTTCCATTTTGATAAAATAACCAAAACTCTTTACAAAAATTCACTTATTTCATAATATTTGTCATCAATTCATTTTCATAAAAAAAATATAAATTTAAATCGCTTAATGTCTTAAATTCAGATTTATTTATTATATATTTAGACCGATTTTATTATTCTAATTCTTTCTTATTATCACATTAAATTTTCTTTGTTAAATTCAAAAAAAATTATGGTGATTAATGATTGTTCTTTTAAAATCTATTAAAATTAATAACAATATCCTAAATACTTTTATATGATAAATATTAATTTTCTCTATATTTTTATAAAAATGTTGAAAATTTTATTGTTAATTATTCGAAAGCTTCTATTGGATACTCTTTTCTCATAGATATTTTTATTAATTTTTAAAACTAATATTGTATCCATAGATAAAAAATTTCATAATCTAAACAATCATTTTATGAAAAAAAATTTGATAAGTTTTAAGTGCATGGACAAAGAACATCTTAACAGTTTTTACAATGAACAGCTAGGCATTTTAAAAACATAAAATAATTATTTTTGTTTATCGTGAATGGCGTAGAAAGTAATACTAAATATTCTAAAGGGTATTCATTTAATGAAAAATTCTTAAATAAACAAAAGTTTAAGCTCTCCTTTTCATAATATCTACTAAAAAATATTGAAATACTCATAAAAATTATCTATGAATATTATAAAATATTACTGGTATGAATAATGAACAGGTCAAAAAGATAATTCCATCATTTTAATTCGAAAAAATCCATACACTAACCAAAATCCCATATAACATTGAAATTATTAAAAATCTTGTATAAAAAATAGTTTCATATGTAAACCCGAATGGAACTTGTGTAAAAACATCAACTAAAATAATTATCATAATAAAGTAATAACAGGAATGTATAATAACATAATGGTGATTCATCATAAGTTTCCAAAATGATAATAATATAAGCAGTTAATGTGAAAAGATTGTAACATAATTCAATTTGGAGAATTTCCTTAATAGCCCCTTTTATAAAAACTCATAATTTCTAAAGCAAAACATAGAAATAATTCCTGATATTGAAACCATTATTATTCCAATAAAACTTATAATTAAATAATGTGGTGAAATAATTGAGAAACATTAAAGGGGTTCAATAGTTGCATGCTGTGCCAAATATGATTATTTTTCGCATGTTATAACTCCAACCATGCATTCATTAAATGGAGTTAAAAAAAACCATTAAAAATTCTAAAAGTAAAATTTTATAATTTTGTTTATAGGGGAGTTGGATGGTAATTGCTAAAAATGTATACTTAATTTTACTTTTACGAGAATTTGGAATAAGCAAATCATAAATATAAAGCACATTATAATAAATATGGTGTAGTAAACACATTTTGTTAATGGATCATATTAAATAACAGCACATATAAAAGGAATTGATGATAATTAGAAAACTTAAGCTAAAAAGTCATTTTCATAATATTTTATCTCTTTTGTTTCAAATTGACTATATATATATCCAATAAGTTGAACATAGTAATATACAATCATCAGTATATTTCCGTAATCAACATCTGTTTTTCTTCTTTCAGTGTTTAATCCAATAGTGATAAAGTATGATGTGAGTTTTGAAAAAAATCGCATGATTATAAATTAAAAATTAATTTTGTAGAGACCCCCTATTAAACTCAGAATTCATCTTTGCATTTATGAAACTCATACAATCAAATTTTAAATTAACACTCCTTTTTTCCTAATTTTAAAAGTAGCCCTAATTTTAACAAAGTTAGATTTTAAAACATTTTTTATCATCGTTTTACAATAGTTTTGTTGAATTTTTTAATATAATTAGAAAGTGAATAGATAATACAATACTTTTAATTAGAGACAACATTGATCTAAATTGTGAATGGTTGATTATAAATAAAATTAATATTATTCAATTATCAATACGCATTGGTCATGCATATTAAGAAACTAATCGTAAACTTAATTGATATGAAATGTCTTTAATTAGATTTGATCCAGAAAAGATGATTCTAGTAATTCAGTTATCTTTTTATAAATGAAAAAACTTTAGTATCCCTGCTTAGACTGAATTTTTAATCATTGAAATTTATAAGTTCATAAGAAACATTATGAAAATTTTATAAGGAATTCAATTTTACTTTATAAACTGTATTAATTTATATTGAATCTTTATTAATTTGTATCAACTCTCCTTTTCAATTTAAGATTTCCTTATAAATCTAAATTCCCAAATTTTCATTCCTTTTATAACTTTTTGAGTAAAAAACAATCTAATTGAACATTTTTAAAGTTTGGATTTCCCATTAAGTGTCAAAACCAATATTTCTTAATTCAAAAAATTTAGCACCCAAAAAAAGGCAATTTATTATTATTTATTTTTTATATGTGTCTAGTTTAGTTTTAAATATCAGTATTTTCAGCATTTTTTGCAATCACATACATTTCTTAAGCTGTAGGAACATAATTCCAACAACAAAACTCAAAACTATATGACAATATAAATTTATTCTCTCCCTCTAATCTGAATAGACTATTTTCAAAAAACTATAAAGTTAAACAGCTCCATTAATAAAAGCAATCACTAATAGAAGATAATTAACTATGCCATCAAATTCAATATCAGTTATTAATTCAGTCTTATTCAAGTATTCGACATCTTTATTTCTATTTGTGTTATGAATTCAATCAATTAAAGAATTATTTTCTTTTCTTTCTCTCCTTTATTATAACTTGAAGTTGTTCAAAATATCTATACTGAATATCTGTCCATTTTACTTTCCATACGATACTAAGATTAATCTAAAATCTGCACTCCTTTCTTTATCTAAACAATATCATCAACTTTACTCAAAACTCTTAAATTTAATCACTAAATACGATTGATAAAATACAATATTTTAAATTGTATCAAATTGAAAAAGTTCAATCAGTATTAAATAAGTTTAATTTAATACTAGAATAAAAATAAATAGTTCAAAGTTTTTTCTAATTTTTTACTTGAAAAAATATTAAATATTCTTTAGATGTCTTTAGTAAGAATCATCATCATAAATTTTGAATTAAAAAAAAATATTTTTCGAAAAATGTTAATGCAATAATTTTATTAAATTATATAATGATTTCTGTTTAACCAGAAGGTTCAAAACCATAGAAATTTTAAGGAGGTCGAATTCATTTAAGGCCTATTGATAGCATAGGAAGAGACTTTGATTTAGGAACTATTGAAACTAAAGGAAGAAGACATTTTTCTTTTGATCCAACACCTGTTATGCAATATAAACCTCAATTAAGGGTTGGCTTTCCGAAAAATGTCACTAATCCTGAAATATTATTCACCTACAAGAGTCAAGGAGGGCCTGATAAATTAACATACATGCCTCCAATCAAGAAGCACAAAGAGTTTATTTCAACAATGAGAAAAACCGTAATTAACAAAGAAGTAATTTTATGAATTTATTTTAGTATGAAGAATAATAAACTGAAAACCGCAGAATGATTGAGGAGTTGGATGTTTGGGAAAAAAAGTTTAGAAAAAAATGATTATATTAGCATATATTACTAATTAAAAGATATTAATAATGTAAATTATTAAGAGCAAAGCAGTGCAATAATTGGTACATCGTTCCTAATACAATAAAATCGTATGGCAATCATCTAATCCATATAATAAAAGATGGCAATACAAATTTAAGAATGCTTATTATACATATCCCAGAGATATTAATTAAGAGCATACTTATGTTAAAACCCCAAAAGATAATTGGGAATCAGTTCCACTTGGATGGGCTTGGATCTAAGATTTATTACATAGACACGTATACAATTTAATTCAATTTTAGGTGCCAAATTTTTCATGTTTAATTGAAAGAAGACACAGATTATTTGATAAGTTTAATGTTTATTTCTTGCCTGCATTCAGTCTTTTCTTTTATCAATTTTATCCTTTAGCATTTGGATTCAAAGTATTAAATCATAATTATGAGCTAGGTTTTAACAGTATTGCCTTTAGCCATGTTATATGTGAGAGCCAGAGATAAATGCGGTGATCCTGATTTCAAAGAAACATATCTTAGAGATATGCTATATAAAAATAGTGAAATAACTGCTCTTTTTAAAGATGAAACACTTCATGTTTTAGATTACGATTGCGAATACGATCGTGGATATCCTTGTCCTGAAAAATTCCCAGAATTCAAGAATAAGGTATATCAAGTACTATTTTTTAGTTTTGGTAATTTTTCAATACTGATACATCAATGACAACTGGATATTTCAAAATGGCTGATGTGGAATCAGGTGCAGTGATGAATTTGAAATTTAAAACCATGCCTGTACCAGGAAAATATAGATATTAAATTGGAGAACCATTTTATTTTTATGATTTAAGAGGTATTCTTTTTTTTTAATTTCTAAAGCTGAAATTACTCACAATGGATAACATAAAGAAGTTGTTTTAGTTGATGAGAAAGTAGCATTGCAAAAAATAAGACCATTTTTATTAATTATTTGAAAAATAAACAAAATATCAATCTAGGAAATTAAAATTATAATCAATCTCATTACTTTATTGTAATTTGCGATATGTGCTTGATTTTCTTTCTTTTTTATTTATTTATTTTTGAACTTTTTTTTTTTTTATTTATATTATGCTTCCAATTTTATATCTTTTAAACTGCTTATTATTTATTCAATGGCAAAGTCATACCATAATTGATCTGTAATAAAAAAGGAGTTTTAATTCTTAAACATTTAAAAAGTATACTTTATTATTCAATTTAATCCGAATTATTATTGAATTTGAACTATTTCTTAATAATCTGTTGTAAGTAGATTATTGTCATGAAAAATTTCGTATTAGAATTTTAAAATCCTCTTTTTCTTAAGAATTAAGAGATTTTATTTCATAAATTTTCCATTTCTTAGACAAACGCTAGTTTTTTAATCAAAACTTGGCTTTTTTTAAACATTGATATTATTTAATTTTTTTCTTTGATATATGTTAGTAGGTGAGATAAAATTTAGTTTATTATGACTTTTTTTTTTGAGATTAGTAGTAAAAGACCGAAGTTATTGAGTGTATTACTCAATAGTCTAAAATATACTTCAAGTTAAGTAAGTTTAACAAGTTAGTTTCTAGATTCTCAAGATTATGAAGAAATTAGCCTTGTTTTGAATTTTATTAATTTATTTGAGGTTTTCAATAATAGTTAAAATCAATCCATCAGAAACTAAAGATTCATTTTACTTTTATAATTATTTTTTTTTGGAAATATCCTTCAAAAGCATTTTGTAAATTCTTATTTTTCCTCTAATAATCTCATGCATATATCAATGTCTTATTTTTTCTTCTTTTAGATAATATTTTCATTGAATTTCACTAATTTCTTTTCTTTTTTTGTAACTCATTAGATTATCGATTATTTTATAATCTGTTGCAATCATTAATAAAAACTTAAAATTGCTCAAGGATTCAATAAGTTGTTTGGCTGGTGATGATTTTTATTGCTCAGTTTAATTAAATCAAATTGAAATTAATGTGAAGACATATAACCATAATCATTTAGCTTTAAATTTCTATTAAGCTGGATAACTATTGCTTAACCTAATGTTTTAAAATAGAATTTATTATGGCTAAATTTGAATATGATTCTCCTAAAATTGGTTTTTTTTTCAAAAGCAATGGTTCTCATTTTAAAAAACAATTTGCTTCCCTTTAATTTAATTATTCGAGTGAATAATCGAAATTATTTTAAACTTATTTTCTTTGATTTTACGATGATGGTTTCTGTGTAGACTCTCGTCCATCAAAAGCATTACCATTCTAATTATTTTTCTAATTTTTAATATACAGATTCAATATCTTTAGAAATAGGATAGATTTCTTAAATTAATTGTTTCCAGTTCCTTGGTATTTTTTGTTGTGCTCTTAGAATTATAATTATTCAGAGTCTCTAATTTTTACATTTTTATTATTTTTTCATTAAATAATGAATTAATTTTTTACAGAGAGAGGTGTTTAAGGGAACAAAGTATCTATGGTACCTAATGATTCTGTAGTTAAAGTGGTAAAAATTGAAAACCCTGTAAGATTAAGAAAAGAGAGTAGAAGCTTTGCAAAAACTCAGAAACCAGAATCAAATATTTTAAATGATGGGGATAAAAAAAAATCATCTTTCGAAGATAGTAGAATAACTATGCTGTTATTTGAGAAATATAAATCTGTTGAATTAACAAGATTCTTTACAATAGCTGCTAGTATGATATTAATAGTTTTGGAATATGAATATTCGTATAGCACATAATTAACAAGAATATTAGAAGAAGAAATGAAATTATTTCTTTATTTAATAATGTTCTTTACAATTGTTAGTAGTAATTTATTTATTTATAAATAAATAAGTTGTTCTGACTTTTGTTAGTTACCAAGTTTTGATGGCCTATTAAAAAGAAGCCTAAATGATCACACCTCAAGCAAGCTTATCTGAAACACCCTTAATATGGGGTATTGTATGGGAAATTTTGCTTTTAATTTTAAATCCAACTCCATATACTTGTTACTAAAAAATAGAATTTCAACAAAGATACACAGATACAATTAGATTTTATTATTTAAATGAAATTTTCACATTTCTTGGAATGTTTAAAGGATTCTTATTGTTGAATATAATTTTTAAATTCTAGAAATATTCATCATCAAGAATAGGTCGAATCTGTAGATTATATTCAGCTGATTTTAATACACATCTGATGTTAAAATTATGTATAAGAGATAAGCCATTTGAAACATTATCAATTCTATTTGCAGGAGGAATGTTTGTGTTTGGATATTCTTTAGAAGTTGCAGAAAGAGCCCTATTTAGATTAGAAGACTCTTTAGATCCTTCTTACATAAGTAATAGATTTTGGATTAATCTTATTACTATTTTTACTGTAGGATATGGTGATTTTTTCCCTTATACTGATTTAGGTAGAGTAGCGATGGCTTGTAGTGTAGTCTACGGAGTTGTGGTTACTTCTCTCTTTACTGCTACTCTATATAGTTTATTAACTCCATAGAATGGTGAATGTTTGGTATGGGCATTATTAGAAAAGGCAAATGTAAGAAACACAATATAAAACGTTAGTGGAAATATTTTACTAAAGTTGAATGATTTATCTAAGAAACACTCTGGCTAATTTAAAACCATCGAGGAAACTTTCATTGTTAAAGATTAGATAGCAATTTTAAATAATTTATTATAAGAGGTTGTTACTTTAAAAAGGTAATATCGTGACATTGATGGTGAAGAATTTATGGCTATGGTTAAAAGAAAATTTAAGGATATCAACGGATAATTTGAAGATGTATAAGAATTCTTAGAGAAACTTTAAAAATAATAAAAACTTATTAGTTCTACTATAGAAAAGCCTTTCGATTTTTCAGTTAAATAATCGATCAAAGTTAAAGAGTCTAGTAAAGATGATGATTTCTTTGATAATCTTAATGAAACAAATAATTGCTCATACTTAATGCGTTTCGAAGATGACTGACATTTGATTTATAATTTATAGATATAATTAATGTTAATGATAAATGAATTAAAACGATTCGATTAATTAAGTGACTTATGCTACACAATTTAAAACAGGAATAGGCACTATGGCCTATGAAAGATCCTTCTATACAGGAAGAGAAGATATACAATAGAAGGAAAATAGTTATCAAAAAGTTTAATAAAAAGACATCTCTTTTGAAGATAGTCGAATTACTAAATTGATAATGGAATCACATAAATTAATAGAAAATTTTAGGTTATAATTGATGCTTGTAATAACTGCTTTATGGTTTATAGAGGTAATAATATCTTTTATAATAGATTGATGATGAATTATTCATTGAAAAACAAGGATCAGATTTAATACTATGGCTTACATTTTCTTTAAATTTGATTCTCATCATATTCACTTATTTGAGTTACCTCACTTTAATGAATTATTGGAAATCAACACTACTTATTCCTAAAGATTAATCATTCTTTCACTCTGATCAAATCAAACCATGTTTAATAGAAATTTTATTCCTATTAATATTCCCTACAGTATTTACTCGTGGTAATTAAAATAGTTTTATATAGAAATGCATATAACCTTTACTATAAAAAACAATGAATATTATTATACAGTTAATGAAATTATAATAATGATAAGTACTTTGCGATCATTCTAAATATTATTTATACTTTTGAGATTATGCAGATTTTATAATAGCTAAACATAGAGATTATCATTAAATTATGGAATATCAATGACTCCACAATTTCTGTTCAAGTATATGATTCTTTCTTAACCAACAACATTAATTATATCAATCTTTAGTGTAACATTTTGGTATTGTACAATAGCGATGTGGATAGCAGAAAAATCATTGTAGAGAGAAAATTTATAAACAATTTAATTATTGTAATTTATTAAAAATTAGAATTAGTAAACATTGTTTTTTAGAAGTTATTTTATCTCTTTTGGCTTATGCTTATGAAGATTATGTTCCAATAACTAATTTAGGGAGAATCATTTTATCTTATGCTGCTTATGCTGGCTTTGTTATGGTTTCAATTCTTATAAGTGCCATTATTCAAGCATTTGAATAGGATTATGGAGAATATTAAGCATGTGTTTTACTTGATAAATTATTAATGAAAGAGAATATGTATTAAGTAACTAGTAATATTGGAGAATAATTTTACTATATTATGAAGTTTGATAAGAATCCTTTTACATACAATAGAGTTAAAATAATTCAAAATGAATTGAAAGAATTCTAGATGTTAAAAAGATAATATAAAAGTATAATCTCTGAGAATATTACGAATTTATTTAAAAGAAGAACAAGAGAATCTAACGATATTTTAGATGAATTATAAGATGTTATGAAGATGTCAAAATATTAAAATAAGCAAATATATGAAATGCTTGAAGAATTGATTTCCTTATAAAATTATCATTATCACAATTGGTATGATTGAAAGAACATATATGAATTTATTTTATAATATAAAGTTAGAATATATATTAATTTTCAAAATGATATTATATTCACTATAGAAAGTATATCTAAATATTGCTACATACCTCATTTCAATAAATAATATTAGTTATTTAATTAAATGTAATTCTTTATTGGAGATGCTAAACCTTCAGAAGTTAAAAAATTAACACTTGTAAATGAATAAGAATTGTAGAGCAACTAGTAACAGGATCATATAAAAGTGCTTCCTTTAACAAAAAAATAAACTAGTAAAAAATAGTTCAAAAGAACAAAAACAATTGTAGATGATGAAGATAACGCTTTCAAAAGTTCATTCGAAGATAGTAGAATAACAAGAATGATTTTCGAAAAAGGTAGAACTGTAGAATTAGCTAGATTTTGGTTGATTATGGCAACCGTAATTCTTAACATCTTAGAAGTATAATTATTTTGATTTAGTATGAATGTAGCTTTTCCGATTATCTTATAAAAAACTTAGAGAATGAATTGACTATATTGCTATATCTTATTTTCTCAATGACAATAATAATATTATTATTAACTATCATTGCTTATTAGATAGATTTAGAATATCGAAAAAGCTCAAGAACAATTTCTTAAAAAGCCACTTTAGTCTAAACTAACCTTATATGGGATCTATTAATTGAAATAATAATAATTTTACCAACTTCAAATCCCTTTACAAGAAATTAATATTTTATTTTTAGTCAAAGGGGATCTGAGGAGATTAGATTTTATACAATAAATGAAATATTCACATATATAATGTTCTTTCGTTTATACTTGGTTCTTAATATAGGTTTCAAATTTTAAACGTATTACTCAAATAGAATTGGAAGAGTTTGGTAATTTATTTGTCTATGATAATTTAGTCGTTTATATCAAACTCGTTTTAGTACACATTTCATGTTAAAGCTTTGTATTAGGCAATTTCCATTTTATACGTTAAGTTGGCTTTTCATGGTTGGCTTAATATAGTATACTTATTAATTAGAGATAGCTGAAAGACCACTTTTAAGAACATTTGAAACTATAAACAATTATAGTATAAGTAAAAGTTTGTGGGTTACAATGATAACTATAGCAACTGTAGGATATGGAGATTTCTTTCCTTATACAGATTTAGGAAGGATTTCTATGACATTAGGTTTGTTTTATGGTGTTACAATAACTTCACTATTTACTGCTATTTTATATAACATGCTATAACCAGATGCTGGAGAATCTAAATCTTGGGCTTTATTGGAAAAGACTCAAATTACTTAAAATATGAAATAAGCTAGTTCTAATATATTTTTTTATTTTTATAAATTAAAAAAATAGAAGAGAGTTGCAAAAAAATAGAATCTTTAAGAAAATCTTAATGATATTCTTATAAATTTGGAAAGCCATTTGTCAGATGTAGGAATTATGTAAAGGTAATTTCATTAGATTTAATTGTAGAATGTATAGAGATGTTGATGGTGAAGAATTCATGGAAATGGTTAAGAGAAAATTTGGTGATTCTAATCATAATTTTAAAGATTTAATGTTTTATTTATAAAAAATGATGGAATAAAATTAATTAATTCAAAATTTCTTAGAAAAAAATTAAGATTTATAATCATTTTAAGTTAAAAAATATGATGATTAAAATTTACGTTAAGGCTTATTTACTTCACCTTAAAGTTATTAAAATAAATTAAATACTGATGAAAAACTTAATAAAAACAATAATTTCTTTGAACATTTAGAAGAATCAAATAGAGATTCATATCTAATGAGTTTTCATGATTGATAAATAATTGATAGTTAAAATTTTATTATGAATATATAAAATTAAGTCTTTGTAGAGTTGTCAGGAAATCCAGTTTCAAGGGCAAATGAAAATGAAACAATGCTATAATAGAAAAGACTATCTGTTATCATTTTAAATTAAATAGAACAATAAAGAACAAAAAAAATTATATAAAACCAAAAACATAATACTTTTGAGAATAGCCAAATAACAAGATTGTATTTTGAAAAATATCGTATTTTGGAATAGAGTAGATTTTTGATTATTGGTGCCACTCTAATCTTAGTTGTTTTAGAGGTTTAATGAATTTCCAATATTATAGTATGAAGTTTCGTTTTTACATCAATTAACCAAAACTTATGACGATTAAATAAAAATTTTACTATACTTAATTATGATTCTTACTATAGTTTCAAGTAAATTAGAATTTTATTTAGTTATTATGACATTTACTGCATATATAGCAGAACTAGAATATAAGAAACTTTCTCTTACAATTCCTAAAGCTTCTAGTATATTTTAAACTAATTTAATTTTCCATTTGTCTTTAGAAACTATTATACTACTGCCAAGTCCAACACCTTTCACTAAGGAATATAAAATATTCTTCACCTAAAGATATTCAGACTAAATTAGATTTTATTTTATAAATGAAATCTTGACTTTTATTATGCTTTTTAGATCCTTATTGATTTTAAACATATCATTTAAATTTCAAGATTTCTATTCTAGCAGAGTCAATAGATTATGGTATTTATTATCCTTTTAATTTAAGCCGTATTTATTCAGTAGATTTTGATCCTCATTTTATATTTAAAGTGACCATTAGATAACATCCCTATAAAACTCTTTGTGAACTCTTTGTTATAGGATTATTTATCTTTTCCTATTAGTTGGAGATTTCAGAGAGATCCTTGTTAAGAACAGAAAAAGAAGTTTTATCTTAAAATTTTAATAATTCTATTTGGGTTTGTATAATAACAATTTTTACAGTTGGTTATGGTGAAAAATATCCCTCTACTGATCTTGGAAGATTTTCAATGACTTTAGGTTTATTTTATGGTGTAGCATTAACTTCCTTCTTTGTTTACAGCTATTCTCTATTCTGATCTATAACCTTTCTCTTCAGAAATACTTTCAATTACATTGTTAGATAAAGCAAATGTAAAAATCTCTATAAAGTAATTTGCTTAAAAGGCTATGTTAAATTTAAATAAATTTAAAAAGTATTTCCATAAAAATAAATAAAAAGATGTAAGAAATAATCCTAGAATTTAATAGAGAGTGTCATAAATTAAATATATATTCCAAAAAAGTGAGAATTTAAGAAGGTAATTATAAATTCTATTTAAATTAGAAATTATAAAACAATTGACAATGAAGATTTAATTACAATGGCTGAAAGAAAATTTAAAGAAATGAATAATTTTTTTAATTAATATAATGACATGCTTGAATAAATGTAATCTTAATAAGTAGTATTGGTTGATTTGAATACACCAATAATTCAATCAATTTAGAAAAATAATACCGTGATATTTGCCAATGATGTCAGAAACAAAGAAGATAAATATTTTGAAGAACTGATTGACTCTTAATCTCAATACCAATTATTAATGAAATTTAATAATGAAGAATGATAAAAAATACGATTTAGATTTCGTAATGAACATAGACTTTATTTTTATATTTAAATTTTATCAAACAATTCCACCCTAAAGAAGTAGATTTCCTAAAGAATCTTCCAATTATATAATTTTAAAATGAGCATCTTTATCTTATAAGTCCCTAAGTTGCAATACCAATCTTTTTGTCTTTGATTATTCTTATACAGATATTGTGCAATTCATAAACTTTACATTATAAATCTACTCACTATATTCTTCAGTTTTTATTAGTTTAAATCCCACTCTCTCAAATAAACTTGAACAATCTTCAATAATATTCTCTTCATAATTAATTAAATCTATATTTGTATCCATATATTTCTCTAATAATAAATGTTCACATGATCTAATTCACTTATTTATATACATATTAATATTGTTTTGTATTTTTAAAGTAATTTAATTATTATTCAAAGTATTAGCTTCTCTTCTAAATACTTTCTCTATTACTTCATTCCTTTAAACAGAGACTTATTGCCCTAATTGCTTTTATAAAAAATTCAATATTTCTTAGTGATCTTTAAGTGGAGCTTTGTATACTTTTCTTATTTATAGCATAATGATGAAACAAATATTTATTAATATTTATTTACAAATATTTTATTCGGTATTTTTTCATCTAATTTCCTTAAATTTCCAATTTTTTTTTTCTCTTATAAATTTGATTTAATAGTTAACTGCTGCAAATATCAATAATTCATTGTATCTAATATTTTTTTAGTGAATTTGATATGTTTATAATTCAATAATATTTAATTAAGGATTGATGAAATATTTTTCTAAACTTGTTTATTTCTTTTTAACAATTGGCTCAAATACAGAGAGAAGAAAATCTAAAATAGATTATGGAAATCTAGCAATGATAGTATTTTATTTTATTTAATTACTTGGATATGTTTATAGTTAATTTGAAAGTAAAAGACAAGTGTTTTATGAAAATGATTATTTGGCTTAAATTGGATAATATTCATCAATACCTTTTATGATGATTGTTATTCATTATGATCCTTTTACAATTATAGTTTATTATTGTATTTTTGGTACTATGTGTACAATTTACGGAATTGTTATATTTCAAATTCTATACAAAGTAAAATAATTGCTTATCATTTAGCCCTTTCCTTCATCAAATTTAATTAACAGATTTATCAAGTTTTATTTTCAAAACTTTTAATGGTATTTTTTAACACCTTTTCATGAAACTATGATTGGTATCTTAACATGTGGACGACTCTCATATTTAGCTCAACATGCTGATTTAAATCCCAGAAATTGCTTTGCAGAAATTTCACCTCATTTCTTAGTTATTAGTTTTATTGGACAAGCTTTAGTTATAATTTCTGGATTTCTTTCATTATATTGTTTTAGAAATTATGAATTTATATAAGGAGATCTTATGAGAAAGTTTAGCTTTTTGAACTTTTTAACCATTCTATTACATATGACTTTATAAATGACTTCATTCTGGAAAGAAATGTATGATAACTACAATATTATTATACATATGATTTTTAATTTGATTATGATTGTAATTTCAATTGACACTTATATCAATTGTCCTTTTGGTTATTCTTATGAAATGGTATATTTTAGTAAATGCTTGATATGTACTTCCTTTTATGAAATCTTAGTTGCAATTTGGATATTCTCAGATTTAAATGATGGACATATTTTTTTAACTTTTTGCATCATTTCACCAGTAATTATTAATTCTAATCTAGTTGATTTTTGGCATTAATTAAGCTATTTATGATAATTATATTGATAATTAATGCTAAATATTCTTAAAATCTCAAAAAGTAAAAATTAGTGAACATCCTTTAGAATTTATTTGTTAGTTATGTCACTAAGATTTAAATTATTAATGTGATTATTTTATTGTTTTGAAATATTTGGGAATTCATTGCTAATTTTGTTCAGATTTAATTTGTCCTTGCAAATAAAAAATTAATAAATTTATACTCAATTTAAATTAATTAAATACAAATTAAATATATTAATGGGTTTAGTATGAATTTTAATAAATGATTAAATCAATTATACAAAATCAAAATTTATTCAAAAAATTTGAATAATTAACAATTAAATTTGTAACTTTCCTCTAAAAATACAGAGAAAATTAAGTTTTATCATATAAAATAATTTAAGATGTAATTTATACATTTTAGAAGATGAATTCTGGTAGTACTCCATATTTTTTTATAAATTTAGCTAAACATATATAATATTAGAATAAAATTGAAATGGAAAATATAAATAAAGCATATTCATAAATATCACAATATGAATATATAACTTTATAAGAATTTAATCTTTTTTATAGATATGAATAGAATTTGATTAGAAATCTTAATGAATTATTACTAAGTTAAAAATAATTATGGATTGAAAAATTGAGAAATCAAATTTCATTAGAAAAGATTTTAAGGAGTTCAAAATCTATTATGAAAAAAACTTTGAATGTAAAAAAAATAATAAAAAATTTTGAGAACTCTAAAGACATTCCTAATATTAATTCAATTTTATATTTAAGAATAAAATTAGTTAGTAGTCTTGTTTGTATGGAAGATATTAATATATCAATGAAAATTGCTCGATAAATAGAAAATTAAGAAAAAGAATTAATTAATTAAAAATAATAAACTTTTAATAGTTTATAATTTATATATGGTTAAGCTTTATCTGTAATTTCAAATATATCTAGTCAAACATTAGGTATTATATGTCAATAAGTAAATGATCAATTTTGCAATTTTTTTGGATATGAAATTAACAATGGAGTATCATTAACAAAAATAGAGTAATTGTTACCAAAAAAAATAGGTAGAATACACAATGGATTAATAGAAAGTTATTTATAATCAGGTAAATCAAGCAGATTATATTAAAATTCAGATTAGTTTATAATAAATTCTGATAACTTGATTGAAAAAGTTAATATTTGTTTAAGTACCCTCTTTCCTTATTAAAATGGATAATACTAGTTTTTAATGATTGGTCACATATTAAAAATGATGAAATATGAAAGAAAAGAGATAGATTATAATAAAAGAGGATATTTATTAGTTGATTCAAATTTTCTAATTTTTGGATTTTCTAGAAATGTGTATGAAAGAATGAATTATAAATATTTTTACAAGGATGAAAAAGATATAAATTTGATAATGCCAGATGAAATATATGATAAATATTAAATTTAGACTTTCATTCCTCAATTATCTTAAGTATTGGAGGAGTATTATAAATTATTGTGTTTAAAAAATGAAAAGAGAATATTAAGACATGATATAATTTGTTAAAGAGAAATAGGAATATTTTAGGTTCCATCTTATAGTAGATCATAGAACAAGACAAGTTCTTCAGAATTAACCAAAAAAATAACAAATAAACATATGATGAACATTTTAAAAAATATTAATTTTAGTTTGACAAATATTCCTACACTTTCTCAAAAATAATATCCAATAGAATATAGTATTACATAAAAGGTCTTAAATTATATTGAGAAAGACAGTACTTGTGAATTCCTATATTTTATAATTGAACTTGATTTCTTAGAAGATCCAAAATTGAATGTATCTCCATCTTAAGCTGTAGCTCGAACTCCAGCTCTTTCTGAAATATTAAGACATCCACAAACTAATATAGAATAAAATAGACTAAATTAAAGTAACATAATATTATCTAATGATGATAATTATGATTAAATAGAATTAGTGGCAGAGTTAACTAATACTGGAACTAAAAGAAGTTCATCTGAAATAATAGATCAATTAGAAAAGATCATTATCTATATAAATGATACTCTATTACCAAAAGCAATAAAAGGTTTAATTGCATAATTATTATTACAAATTTTAATCTTATTCGCAATAATAGTTATATTGTCTAATATTTTCTAATATAAAAGATCTATTCAATCAGATTGCATTTAATAAATCACTTTTGATTTAAATTTCTTAGATGCCTATAGTCAAGCAATGTCAGGATCTCGCCATGTTATTTATTATAGAGATTTTTATTTTCTATAGAAAGACACATTCATTAATTTTAATTCAAACCAATTCAATTTTAGTAGATATGATAAAATTTATGTAGCTTGGCAGCATATTTCTAAGGGTAATATCAGATTAATTAATATGTATGAAAATTATACTAAAATTGCTCAAAAGAGTTAAATCAAACTCTTGACTATTAATTTTGTAAACTTTGACTTAAAATCTAAAATACAATAAGTAGTTCAAGATTACTCAACCTATTATCAAATAATGCATTAAACTTTCTATCTCTAATATCAATCATTTTCTTCATCTCCATAAACCTATTTGTCTGGAAATAACGATTCTTATTTAACTTAATTAGCAAGATCTCAAGTTTATTACAATTTTTTCGATGTAATTGAGAGTGCAAATTTAACTTTACAGGACTGTTAATCTTAAAATATTGATGTCAATAATTATTTCGATACTGTAATCATATTTTACTTCTTAGGAATGTACATAATAATAGTTTTGCTATTATCTTCATTAATAATTCATTACTTTAGAGTATTAAACTCAATAAAAATCTATATAAAGTTATTTAAGATGTGTGATAAAGAGGATTGCTAACATATCATTCATTTATGTGACTCTTTATTAAGTATGGTCAATTATGATAAAATTTTTTTAAGACAACAAGATTTCAAAGTAATTATGGCGTAACCTCGTCATATTATAGATAATGTTAAGAAAACTCAATCTAAAACAACAATAGTACTAATTAGAAAGAAATAAAGCAACTTAGGGTTAAATAAGACAAATTAAAATATGTCCAACTATTATTCCATAATTATGCTAATATTAATATCAATAATAATAATCATTTACATTTCGTCCTTCCATTTATACTACAATTTAATTAAAGATTCGATAGCTCCAATAAGTAACTAAGCAATCTTAGCCTAAGAATCAAGATTAAATTTTATTGCTTCAGTAAATAGGTTTGATTTATATCTTATAAAGCTATATTTTGAAACTTACTCTTAACTTAATTAAACGGATGAAAATAATAAATTTACAACCAAGAACATTTAAACTGATACTCAAATCTTAAAATTATTAACTATTGATATTAAAACCTTAGAATAGGATTTAAATAGACTCAAATAAATTAACTTTGTAAATTTAATTTTTGATAATGATCAGACTAATTCTCAATTGAATAATAATCAATAGGATTAAATGCTTAAAAATGATGTTTGTATTTTTACTGGTTGTAATATGTAAACTGAACTTTTTTTTGATAGATTATTTTAAAATGAATTTTCTCCACTATTTTAGACTGGAGTTTTGAATTTACACACAAAAATATTAGCAATAATATAAGATGCATTTTAAATAACATAAAAAGAGTTAAATGACCATGAGATTATTAAGACTTTATAAGATATTTTTGATGATAGTGATTATCTGATTTACATGCATTGGGGATTAGATATTATACAATTTTAAATATAACAGTTTAGTTAACACTTCTTAAATATATCACAATAAATAATTTATGCCCTTACAAAGAATAATCAAATAATTATAATTTCTATTGGAATTCTTTTACTGATTCTAATTTCAATTTTTTCAATTATGTTTGTCAATTTCTAGTATAAAAGATATGTTTAATCCAAAGCCATAATAAAATGCATTCCGCTTCCAATATTGTTTTAGAAAAATATTCCAAAGCATCTAGAAACCTTTCGTAGAAAATACGAGCAGTGATTTAATTATTTACATTTTTATAAATTTCTTTTTCTTTTTTTTTAATAGTATTTTAAGAATTTATCCAACTCATGTTCTCAAGAATTTTAGAATATTTATTAAGGATTTCTTTAACAGATAATGTGAAAAATGAAACAAATCTTTTTTTTCCTGAAAAAATAATTTTATGGATCTATTTTGGCTAACTTAATGGATTTTTAATCAATAGAGAAGAGAGAAATTTCACAATATTTTAAGAGAATTAATATTTATATGCGATTTTTGATTATGCAAATATAGTTAGTCCTTTAAGTAAATATATAAATTTTGAGGTTATGGCTTATATTATTTTTCTACAACTACTAATATTTTATTTGTGCAATTTTATTCTAATGGTGATGAAATAAGTAAATATTTATTATATAATCAGTAAATGTAGTTTGTTTATATTTATTTTATCTTATTTAACTGGATAATAATGTGCCCATTTTAAACAATATTTGTAATGGTTACTGCCAAAATAGAACTTAATAATTATGTTATTTATGATTCAAGTTCAAATAGACAGATACTTTTGCTAATTATATCTTTATTAGGAACAATAATAATTTTTATCACATCTACAATATCAAATTTTATTTTTTAAAAAAGAGAAATTAATTAGAAAATACTTCTCAAATATGATTTTAGTCTTTTTTACATTATAGGTCCTCTTATTCAATTATATATTATATTCTCATCTATCAATTAAATTCAATAATTATAAATTGCTGCACATATATTACACTTTGTAATTATGATCCTGTTATTGATAATAGCAATTTAATTTCCTTTTGGATTAACTTCAACATCACTCATATTTAATTAATTAACAGTCCTAAGTATCTTTTTTAATTTCCTTATTTGTATTTGGAAATATTCAAGCCATAGTGACTAATTCATCTTTTTATCCTTATTAATAATTGGGATGGTATTTATATTCTAACTATATAGCTATTATGGTATACAGTACATTCGATATTCTATAGAAGGTTAGATAAAATTGTATGTAGATTTTGTTCAAAAAAAGAAACTTTATATTTAGCCGAAGTCTTAGAATATTTCCTATAAACTCAGTCATATACTCTTTAACATTTATTACAGTTAAATATCCATAGAATAAATTGTTAAGATTTGTTATGTCCATGTTATGATTGCCAATTATTAGCCATCGATAATATTTCTATAGTTTAATAAGTCTAGTAACAAAGGAAGAACAAAAAATTTGCTATTTAAAAATGGATTATGCATTAATACAAAACCTATGTATAAAAGGCACAATTAAAATAAAAGTAATATGATTTAATAATTTTTAATTATTTATCATTTCAAAAAATTTTCTTAGAAAATCATGTTTTGACTTGTAAAACTATATTCTAATGTATTTAAAGATTGGAAAAAGTCAAACAGCATTAATGCCATGTGACGAAAATTTTGTTATATTTGATATAATAAAATTGTAAATTAAAATTACTAGTATAAACATCGCAATAGAAAAAGATAACATAATAAGAATTCATATTTATAACAGATATTAATATTATGTATTAATTAGCTGATAAGATTCTTTTATAACTATCTAAAGTATTATAAATGTAAATTTAGTTATGGGAACAATATTCGAAAAATGAAATAAAAGATTTTGATTAACTATTGTCAGTTATTTTAAATATTAGATAATAAAAATAGAATAGTAAAGATTTATTTGAAGAATATTAAAACTTTAGAAATTAATATAAAGAAACAATTTATTCTCTCAGGGTAAAATTGCTATTTTACTTAACAGTATAATAAGATATAATATTAATTACTAAAATTTAATCTTAATTGATTTAATTAGAGGATTCTTAAAGATTTGATTTGAATTTGAATAATTTTAATAATCTCTCTTTTTTAACAGGATAAGCATTGTCAATAATATCAAATATTAGTCCTGAAAATCAAGGAAAATTGGAGTAAAAAATAACCAAGGAATTTAAATAATTTTTTGGTTATAAAAATGAGGAAAAAAAATTGACCCATATCAAGTAATTGATGCCATCAAAGATTGCTGATGTGCATTCTGGATTAGTAGAAAATTTCTTTTTTAAAGGAAAAAGTGATAGAATTAATAATACATCAATGGCATTTATTTTAAATTCAAAAAATTTAATTGAGTAAATTAAGTTGTGTTTAAATTATTATTTTCCAGTCGATTTAAACGATGCTTCCTTTTACATGATTGCTCATATTTAAAAAACATCAAAATAAGAATAAAATCTTTATGACGAAAATTTAACAGGGCATCTTTTAATAGACAAAGATTTTAATGTTTTTGGAATGACTCAAAACATATATGAAAAATTAAATTATCGTTACTATTTTAAAAATGATTCTAATGCTCTTTTAATTACTCCTTAAGAATTTTATGATGAACACAATATATTCTCACTGATACCATCCATTTAATTTAAATTATAAAATTATTATGAAAGTTAACCAAATCGAAAATTGCGAGATAATGAAATAATCTTAATCAAGGAGAGAGGTTTGCTAAAGTTAGATTTTCATAAGTAAGAATAAGAAAATTTAGCTTGGAAGTAATTTAATAAGCAATTTTCCTTTACCAAACTCACAAATCAACAAATTTTAAGTTAAATGCTAGAGATTAGTGGTGAATTAGCTAATATTTAGACTAATGAAAATGTTAAATATTTTCCTATTGAATATACTGTAACATAAAGAATATTATATGCTTAAAATTCAAACAATAAAATAGATCCTTTTTTTTATTATTTGATTGAAATTTAAATGTTAGAAGATTTCAAAAAAAATTCAGACTTAAACAAAAACACTAATAAATTTTTGAGAAGTAAAATGTAAAATCCACCATAAAAAATAGATACCTAAAGATAATCTATTGTTTAATTATTTTAATTTGAAGCCATAAACTTTGTGACAAGTGATCGCTTAATTTCATAATAGGGAGATAAAGAAGCATTAGCAAAAGAATTTAATTAAGATAAATCAAAATAACAATAAAGGTTACTTTCCAAAGGACTTATTAATATATAAAATGATGTTCAAAGCCAAAAGTCTTCTATTATGAATCTTCCAAATAGAGTGAACAAATTTTTTGAATTTCTTTAAACAAATAAATATCCTTCTATTTTTTTGGGGATGATAGGGTTAATTATTAGTCATTTTATCATAGTAATAGTTTATACTAGCTTTACTACAATTTTATTTTATTAGAAAAAAGAGATACAATCTAATTGTATAATTTATACATTTCATGATGTAGATTATTTTAATGGTTTCAGTTTAATTCTTTCGGGTTCAAGACATACCATATTTAATTCTAATTATTTAAGTTTGTTAGAGCCATTAATTTTTAAAGTAGATAAATAAATAATAAAATTAACAAGTAAGGATTGCATAAATGTATCTTGGCATTTATTATCTACTGGATAGTAGGATTTAGTTGGAAGATATGAAAATTATTCCTAAATACTGTTAAAATATGAATAAAAATAAATAACATATTATTATCCTGATTATTCGAATACTAAGATTTTAAATTAGGTATTGCTTGATCAAGCAACTTATTACACTATGATGTACCTTTAATTTTACTACACTTATCGAAGTATTATGTCATTGAATACTTATATGTCTGGTGGAAATGACAACACGCTTTTGTAATTAAATTATTTAAATTTAGAGTCAGAAATCGATATATCCTCTATTTTAATTATTAGGATGCCATAGAACTAACTTAAGATTCAATTTAATCTTGTTATGATTATAACAATGACGCTAATGAATATTTTGACTTATTCACTAAATCATGGTTTATAACAATGTATATTGTAACCATGTTTATTTTTATGTTTCACCTTATAGCAGTTTATAAAATAAAAAAAGTAACTTAGATTTATTTAAAATAATTTATTTAAATAGATTTTGAGGAAACTTAAATTGTAACCAAATAATATTAAAATATGTTAAAAATCTTAAATTAAGAGAATATATTATTTAAATATTAAGATTTCTCTGTTATAAAATAAATGCCATCAAATATACTTCTAATTTTATAAAAATAAGAAACCAATTAAAATTTATAAGAAGAAAATGATGTTAATAGCAGCAGTAGAAAAAATCGAGTTACATCAATAAATACAAAAAAAATTAATTTTGACACCCCATCTATTTCTGTCAGAAAAATTATTTTTCTTTATGTATTTTTGATGCTGTTGAAAATTTCATTTTCAGCTATATTTTAATTCTATTATGATTATTTATCTTCAGGTATTGCTCCATCAGCTAAAAGAGAATTAGAATCATAAAAAATGAGGTTAGACTTTATTATGACAATAAATATGTGGGATACGTATTTGTTAAAATAATTTTATAATGCTTCTCAATATTTAGAAAATACTAATTCTAAATTTAGTTATTCAAATTAAAATGTGAGAAATAACTAAAAGTTACTCAATTAATTAAAAATCGATAAAGATATTTTATTAGAAAAAATCAATATATTTTAAAGTCACGACTTAACCGATTTTCTCTATCATCATGCAGATGAATAAAACTAAAATTTATTAATTTCTGAATAAAATAAATAAATCCTATTAGGGTAGGATGTTTGTAAATTGACAAGTTGCAACATGATTAATGAATTGTTTAACAATCGTCCTTATGCTGAATATTTGATTGATTACTATTAAGTTGGATTAATTTAATTGTTTAAGAACGTTCTTCAAGTAATTGTAGAATACAACTTTTTGATTACAGATGAATCTTTAACTCCAGAATAAAAGGTTTAAGGAATTGTTTAGATGTATCAATCATTTAATTATTTTTTATACATCTTTTATGGATTAGATGCTATATAATATTAGATATCATAATTTTGTAAATATTTTTTGGATTAAACATTATATACATTGGAACATTCAACTTCATCAAATATAGCTTATGTTTCAACTTTTGGAATAATATTATTCATAATTACTGTGTTTATTGAATGTTACATTTTCTTAAATTTCTTCAACAAATTTGAATTGGCTAGAGAAACTTTAAGGTAGATTCCACTCGAGATGTTATTTCAAAAAAATATACCAAAAAAATTGAACAATATTATGATTAAATATATTTGAATGGTATTTAATAGCATAATTATATATAATCTTAGCAAAATATAAAATTATTTTTAATCAAAGAGTTTAGAAAATTTCAAAGTTAGTATTTATTATTTCTGCAAATACTTGAATTAATTTTGAATGAAATTCAATATGAATTTGATTTAAACAAGAATTATATTAATTCATCCAATCCTAATTGTCAGGTAAAAGAAGTTCTTATTATAATTTAATAATATTTTCTATGCCAAATTGAGATATTTTCTAAATCTAATAAAGTATTCCTTAATTAACTATTTAAAGCTCATTATTATTTAATTTATAAAGTGTATGTTCAAGGATAAAATCCTAAAAAGTTTTTAAAGATTGCGATTCGTTTTATTTAATATCATCACATAATTATTAGAGAAATTTTTTTACTTTTTCAATATAAGCATTAAGTATTTTATTTTAAATGCTTTAATCCTATTATTTTAAAATAGTTTATGGGTCAATTGAATAAATGGAGTCAAAATTTAGATTAGTATTTTGAATATTAAACATATCCTCTTATTTTTCATCAAGTACTTTAAGAATAACATTATCTGCATTTCCTATACTTCTCCAAATAGGTAAAGGAAATCTGTCTCCATTATGAATGAAAATGTCAAATCCAATCATTTTTCCTAAATTGAAAAGCCTCTCTTGGTTAAAAATACTTTTAGCTCTTTCTCCTTAAAAACAATAGAGTTAAAGTCCAGGAACATACTCAATCATTTCAAAATATGCAACTTTTAATTTTTGTTTAAGTCTATGAGATAAAACTTCATCATTTGAAGCTGCAAATAAAATATCATTCCTAACTTCTTACATTTCAAAATCACACCATTTTAAACATTTCATTTAAGTTGTTTTAATGTCAAGTGCTAATGCTAATTTATTAAGAAAAAGTTCCACTCCTACTTAACCTGATAATTTAAGAACAATTGCTCCTTAATCTGAATCTATAAAAATTACTCCTCTAGAACCAGAATCACTTATTTTAATAGATCTAATGTTTTTTAATTTTATGCATTCAAAATCTTAATAAGGTTTAGCTGCATAATTAAATTCTTATAATTGTATTAATGATTTATTTTCATTTTATTATTCTCTTTATTATTCAACTATTTCTTTAGATCTAAGATGAACATTTCTGATATATTTATTTTATTTCATTATTAATAATAACTTATATCCATTATCTTATGGTTTATATTTAAATGAATTCTGTTCAATGCTGAAGAAAATTTATGGTTATTATAAAGTAAATTATGGTTATTTTAAGCTTTTATAATGTAATGAAAACAATTATTTAATTCACAATTTACCAATCAACGATAATCATTTTGTATATTATTATTATGAATGATAGATATAATTTAATAGAGATTTACTAAACGAAGAATCAATCAGAAGTATTATTTATTTTATAATACTCACAAAAATTCTTTAATTTGCATAATTCACATTTAGGTTTTGGTAAACAAATCTATTATCCAAAACCTACAAGTGTTTAATTTATATCTCCCCATTCTTTATGTTCAAATTCTGATTCTAAGAATTTTCTTAGTTTAGTCGGCGATTTTTCTTTAAAAATAGGAATTCTATTGCAAATTCTAATCATATTAACATCAATAGGTATTCCTTCAACTTTTTAGAAAGCTACATGCATATAAATTAAAGCTATTTTTTCTCCGACTCCTTTAATTTTAATAGTTTCTTCAAAAGTTGTTGGCATTCCTTAAGAAAGGGCTAATTAAGCTAGATCTTTAATTCTTTTTGCTTTAGTAAGATTAAAATTAACTTCATAAATTAACTTTACTAATTATTCTTCATCCATATTTGCAATATCATTAATAGTAAATTCTAATAATCTATTTGCACATTTAGATGTTACATCATCTTTGGTTTAGGGACTTAACATTAAACTAGTTAATATCTAAAATCTCTAAGTTTATAGATCTGTATTTTAGTTAAAGCATTTTTATGGACCTACAAGATCAACTGGAGCATTTCTCTCTAATCTCATTTATTAAATAATTTCATATATCTATTTAGTTCCATAATTTTATTATTTTTTCATTGATGCAGTCTAAGAACATTATTGTTTAGATAAACTCATTTTAGATTTAGATTTAGAATTAGGTGATTTCTTATCCTTAAAAAACCCATGTTATAGTATTTCATTCAATTCATTTGAAGTTGCTTCTGAAAAGGCAAGCATAACTTTTTATGTTTATCTCATTCAAAAATATTATTATAATTATTTCAATCATATAAATTCATCATTTTCAGATACCCACTCTTCTTAATCTAAATTTCCATCTTTTGGCATTTTAAATCTATAAAATCCAGCCAATCCTCCAAATCCTTTAAAAAATTAATGTCCTTCCACACTGCTATCAGATATCAATTAAAAATCAAATCCTTTTTCTTTATAATTTTCTGCCAAATATTAAACAAGATCATTACAAGAAATGACTATCTATTGTTCTCCTTTATTATCTTCAAAAATACTTCCTTATGTATATTAATCTAATCCTTTTACATACTTTATTGTTTTAACTATTATATTAAATAGAATAGTATACTTCCATTTTATTTGCTAATACATTCCAAAATAGAATACTCTAATGATTAGATACAGATAACTTATTTAATTAATTATTGTTCAATTGCTTTCATTGTGTCAGTAATTCCATACACAATCATTCCATCATCGAAATCAATACTCAAAAAAAATTTAGATACCAATTCTTTCTCTCTTAATAGTTTCTAACTCTACAATGTTTCTGATGAATACTTTATTGCTTAATTAAAACCATTCTCTCCTCCATAATTAACATCTACTGTAGATATAATTAATGGTTGCAATCTTTTATCTAATAAAGGTGATTCAGCCAATTTATTCTTAAAATCTGCTATCCCTCCTAATACTAATCCTTTAATATTAGGTTGTTCATTTTAAATAAAACAAATTTTAACAAATTCACTTACTTTTACCAAATAATTATGTCTAGCCCAATATCTTAATCTAGAAAATCTTAAAGAAGATTAACCACCTTTATTATGTTTCTTTGGTAAATCAACATTAAATTATTTTATTATCTCTTTGCTTGTACCTTATACTTTTCCAAATAAAGCTCCATTTCCATCCATTATTATAAACCCATAAACTGGCTCTAATTTCAATTGTTAAGCCAATTATTCAACATGAAAATAAGAATCACAATAAAATTATGATAATTACGATGGTCTCAATGGCTCTATTATATATGATATTTTTTTCTATCCTTTTTCAAATTCCCCTAAACCTTAAAAAACTACCAATCCTGTTTCCGGAGCTTTATTATATTTCTTTAATCCTAAAATCTATTAATCTAAAATACTTAAAATAACTCCTTAAATTGAATCCTATACTGCAGTTCTATTTACTTTATCTTATATTGATGATGCTTCAGAATATTGACTATTTAACCTATTAGTTATCTCTGAAATTATTTTCATTGGAGGAATGTATAATGATATTGCACTTGTTCCTATAACTTTTTATTTACCTAAACTCTTTAGAATCTTTTATAATCTAAACTATTCTATTTCTAATTCTTTCTCACTGTTCTAAGCTTAATTCATTTTAATTATCTATTGATCTTCTTCAATTTACAACTTTTGAATACTTTTTTAAAAAGCAGAGATTTTATTGGTAAATTCTGATTTAATAAATTTCATCAGATTTTATCAACTAATTCTTTATATTAAAATGGATATTAATCTAATAATTTAAAATATAAAAACTTTTACATAAACGTTATATTCAATTCCTAATATCATCATAAAATCTCACTTTATTAAAGTATCATATTTTATAAGCAATAATAATCACTAAATTATACTATTTAATTTTTCATTTATTTTATTCTTATATTGTTATATCTATAATCTAAGATGTGAATCTTAACTTTATTTAGAATTCAACTAATGAAAAATATAATAAAATTTTAAATAATTTGGCTCATTAATGGGGGAAATAATTTAATTGAATTTTGGAGATATTGGAAATAATATTGGTCATCAATATTTAGAGAAATTGATAGACGATCACTATCTCAATGATAATATTATTAATAATTAGCATACATAAAAAATACATGTATCATTTGAAGAATTAAAGAATTAATAATACTAATTTAGAGGAATATTTGATAATTCAAGTGATTGTATAACTATTCATTATATTAAAGAATTTATTCATCAATTATTGACTTCTCCTGAATGCCAATACATCAATAATAATTTATTACTTACTAAAAGAAATAAAAATATCTCTGGTACACATTCAAATAGTTAAAACTATTTTAAAGATTAAATATAAGATGAACTTTTTGAAAAATTGAGTTAACATATAGAAAAATGTGATAAATTTTTTGGATGTAACTTCAATCATTCTACTTTTGATAATTCTTCAGGATAATCAGCTTAAGCAATAAATTAATATCGAGAGAGATTTCCAGATAAATTTTGTAGTTCTTTTTCATTGATACCAAATATCATAAGTACGAATGCAATAGAAATATACAATATGACTTTTTCATTGCATCACCTAATTGAGAATACAGATGTCGTAATGTTATTTGATTATGGAGCTTTGGAAAAATAATTACAAAAGCTAAATTAATTATGCACTATCTAAAATAGCAATAAAATTATAGCTGAATGTATATTATAAGCGAATAGTTCTTAACGTTTTCCAGGATATTAGAATGGAGATTTCAGAAAGATTGCAACTAATTTAATACCATTTCCACGTCTACACTTTTTTACATGTGCCTTTTCTCCATTTAAAATTAATTCTGATTGGAATTCTTAGTTAAAAATATTAAGTATACCTGAAAATACATATCTAACATTTCATAATATAACAAGAAATTTATATCTTGCTTAATCGTTAATTACTAGATGTAATACAAATTATTTAGATTTCCACTAAGTTTTATCAAATTTAGAAAATAAAACACCCTGGATACCTTATGGTATTCTTCACCTAAATTGTAAAGTTGAAAATAGAAACCTAGGAAAAACGGTTATGCATATAGGAAATCATAAGGATTTGGGCAAAAATTTTCAAATCCATACTGAGATATATACACAATTTTTTAGAAGAAAAGCTTTTTTGCATTATTATCTTTAAGATGGTATGGATGAAATGGAGTTTGTAGAAGCTGAATCAAATCTCAATGACTTTGTTTCTGAGTATTAAGAATATTGTTGTCAAGCATATTATGATGAAGAAGAATATTATGAAGAAGAGTAATATTGAGAATTATTATAATTAATGTCTAAATTATAAATACAATATAACTGACTAAAATGAGTAATTATGGATGTCATAGGGACTCTTGTAAATTAATCCAAATATTCTTTTTCATCATCGTATAATATAATATAATTTCACTTTTTTCTACTATTTTCATTTTTTAATCCTAAATATTGTACTGCAAAATGTATTTAGAAAGAAATAAGTGTAATTTTTATTTACTTAATACTGAAGAAGGATTATCGTCTTCTTTTGAAAAAGTTTAAAGAGCTAGAAAATTTTAAATTTATCAAGAAATTACAAATTAAAACTGTTTTCTACTGACATAAACTCCAAGTGCATATCTTTTAATAATGATTGAAAAGATTGAAAAATTACTCATCATTAAATTAGTAGATCCAATAGCTTAAACAATATATGATTATTCTTATCAGAGAGTTTGACAACTTTCTACTATTTTTAATAAAAATAATTAATTTATATTAAAAACCTTTATCTCAAATTATTTATTAAAAGATACTTTTATAAATACTCACTCATAATATTATATTTGATAAATCATACTGTTGTTATTATGGCTAAGGATCATTTAATCCTATCAAATCTATTGTTTCCTATTATGGATTTAGAGGTAATTATTATGATTAAATTTATGTTGTTTGAATTCCAAATTATTGCTAACTATTTCCAATCCAAAAATTAGTTGATGGTTAGGTTGATTAATGAGATTATTCAGTAAAATTAGTTGTCATATCCCAAGCACTATTTGCTGGAGAAGCTTAAAATGAATTAATTTACATTTAGTGGACTTATTATTATTATTGTTATTGCTATTATTATGGTGGATTAAATTAAGAATCCCATTAGAATGGATTTGGACTTGGAGAATGAGATGTTGCAACAAATCCAAAATTATCAAAAGCTGAAAAATTATTTTATTATTAATTCCATTGATTAGAATTATCCCAAACATTATTAGAACCAAAACCTTATTACGGATTATTAAATTGAGCAAAAATATCCTATTATGATTTTGATTATTATTATTATTATTATTATTATTAATTAAATCCAGAAAATGGTTGAAATTATTGTTATTATTAGCATTTTTATTATTAGTGTTAAACTTATTATCTTTATACATATTATTATTAAGGTTATCGAATTTATTATTGTTATTATGATTTAACTTGAGACTTTTCTGTTTAGATTTTTTTCTATAGATTCATCAATTCATCTATAGGAATATCTCCATCAAATTTTTTGACTTTGAAACTATTTTTATTATATTATTCCATTTCTTATTCTAATTTATATTCTCTATTTTTGATTTCTATAGCTNTTTAGAAAGAAATAAGTGTAATTTTTATTTACTTAATACTGAAGAAGGATTATCGTCTTCTTTTGAAAAAGTTTAAAGAGCTAGAAAATTTTAAATTTATCAAGAAATTACAAATTAAAACTGTTTTCTACTGACATAAACTCCAAGTGCATATCTTTTAATAATGATTGAAAAGATTGAAAAATTACTCATCATTAAATTAGTAGATCCAATAGCTTAAACAATATATGATTATTCTTATCAGAGAGTTTGACAACTTTCTACTATTTTTAATAAAAATAATTAATTTATATTAAAAACCTTTATCTCAAATTATTTATTAAAAGATACTTTTATAAATACTCACTCATAATATTATATTTGATAAATCATACTGTTGTTATTATGGCTAAGGATCATTTAATCCTATCAAATCTATTGTTTCCTATTATGGATTTAGAGGTAATTATTATGATTAAATTTATGTTGTTTGAATTCCAAATTATTGCTAACTATTTCCAATCCAAAAATTAGTTGATGGTTAGGTTGATTAATGAGATTATTCAGTAAAATTAGTTGTCATATCCCAAGCACTATTTGCTGGAGAAGCTTAAAATGAATTAATTTACATTTAGTGGACTTATTATTATTATTGTTATTGCTATTATTATGGTGGATTAAATTAAGAATCCCATTAGAATGGATTTGGACTTGGAGAATGAGATGTTGCAACAAATCCAAAATTATCAAAAGCTGAAAAATTATTTTATTATTAATTCCATTGATTAGAATTATCCCAAACATTATTAGAACCAAAACCTTATTACGGATTATTAAATTGAGCAAAAATATCCTATTATGATTTTGATTATTATTATTATTATTATTATTATTAATTAAATCCAGAAAATGGTTGAAATTATTGTTATTATTAGCATTTTTATTATTAGTGTTAAACTTATTATCTTTATACATATTATTATTAAGGTTATCGAATTTATTATTGTTATTATGATTTAACTTGAGACTTTTCTGTTTAGATTTTTTTCTATAGATTCATCAATTCATCTATAGGAATATCTCCATCAAATTTTTTGACTTTGAAACTATTTTTATTATATTATTCCATTTCTTATTCTAATTTATATTCTCTATTTTTGATTTCTATAGCTAATGCCTATAATATTATAGATAGTATTACATTCAATTATATATATGGTAATGAATGAAATTAAGCTAAAATTCTTTCAACATCAAAAATGGATGGTCTTAATTTAGGATCAGGTGTAAGCATAAGTCTGATAAAATCAATTAATTTATCTGAATATCTATGTTATTTAGGAATATTGTATGTAGCAGTGGAAATGGCAAGTTTAGAGCTTTCTTAGAATGGATGTATAAAAAAACACAATGTATATAATACACATCCAAGCATCCAAATATCAGCTTTTTCTCCAACATCATATCTCAAAAAAAGATCAGCCATTTCTGGAGGTCTATACATTAATGTTGTATTCTTTTCCCATTCTTCTTCATAAATAACAAAATCAGATTGTTTGATTTGACTATATGATTTATAAACTATAAATCTAACCTTAAATCCACTCTTTAAGTACTGGCAGATCCGAAATCACATAATTTGCATCTTCCATTTTAAAATAATACATTCTCTATTTTTATATCTCTATGAGCCATAGGAGGTTGTAATGTATGTAATGACTTTATACCTTAAGTAATTTCCTAAGAGAAATTGTAGTGATCATATTTACTCTCATATAATTCAATAGTTATTCTTCTTGGAATCTTGAATTTGGATCTTTAGCCATTAAATCAAATAAACTTCCACCTCCACAAAATTCCATTAAAATCAAACATACTTGTTATCCTTTATCTTATATGAATGTGCCTCCCATAAAATTAACTAAATTTGGATGTCTTGGCAATCGTTTCTTGTTAAAATTTGAATTTTATATACCATAATTTCTAATTCATTCCTTGCTACTCTGGTTCTCTCCTCTCCTTAACAATAAGATTTTTTCAATGCGAAAATCTCCTTTGTATTCACATCTATAGCTTTCAGTATATATCCATATCCTCCTTCAGATAATAACTTTTCTTCTTAAATTGTACGCCCATTAATGTTATATCTAGATAGCATATTAAAATTTATAATCATTCGCATTCACTCCAATTAGATTATTAGAATCTCTCATTAAAATTTGAATAGTTTCTATTACCTCCAGATCTAGCTGTACTTGTATAAAATCCTTTAGAACTAGTAGTTACATCAGTATTTCTAAATTCAGCAAATGATTCATCATACTTCCTCAAATTTATCATGAATGTCTTTAAAGGTAATTGCATTTTAGCAGGTCTTTTTCCTTTGTATTTACTAGAACTTCCAATTGAAACGTCGTCCGATAAATTATTACAACTTTTCGGAGAATATTCTTCCCCAGAATAATTATGAAAGTTCTCAAGTAAACGAAATTCATCTCTGTCTTCTAGATACTAATTCATAGCCACTCCTATTCTTTTGTCTCTCTGAATAACCAAATCTAATTTATTTTCATTTTTGTCAATTACCTTTTAATTTTCCCTTCTAATACTCATTTATCTAATTCCCTTTGCATAACATATATATTTTATAAAATAACTTTCCTTCAACGCTTTCTATCTGTTCCATTTATTAATATAATAATATTAATTATCATCATGAACTACAATATTGAAATATTTTCTTTTATTTATATTTACTTAGAATTAAATCAACTCTATAATATCTCAATATTATTTTGATCAGAAAACGATAAATGATAATTATAAATAAAACCAATAAAGAGCTTTATTCTTTCAATAAGTTCTTATATATTCAGGAAACAAATTAATAATCCAATATCAAAAGCAACTACATTACAAAAAAATGAGAAAAAAATTAAGAATATTTCAAAGATTAAATAATCATTATTTTTTACCCTTTACCCAAATGCCTTCAATAATATTTCCATTTGGCTCAATTAATTTACCTTTTCCATCTTATCTTCCATTTTTCCAATTACCAGTGTAAATCTACCCATCAGGCCATTACAATTCTCCTAATCCATCTTTTTTATCATTTTTGAATTCCCCTAAAAAATCGAATAAATGAAATACCATTGTAAACCTTACCATCATAGTTTAGGATACCTTTGCCTTCCATTTTACCATTAACCCAATTTCCTTTGTAAACTTTACCATTGTACCAATAATACTCACCATAACCGTGAAAATTCTCATTTAAGAATTCTCCTTCGTAACGTGATGAATCACTCCATTGAAATGTTCCCTTTTTGACCTTTTTTCCTTTTTCAAAAAAACCTTCAAATTGAGTTCCATTATCCCATATAATTTTGCCTTTTCCATCCTAGATTGATTCTAACAATATACAGGAAGTCCATCTTTAATTTCACCATCATAGATACCTCCATCTGGAAAGGTATAAGGAACTTAAGAATAACATGAGCCCATAATTAGATATAAATAATCAATTGAATTAATATTCAATTAAATCAAGTAGTCTAAGTTTGTTTTTATTGAATATTCGAAGATCTTCTTAATCAGCTGCTTCCATTAAATATGTTGCCAAATATTTAAGTTCTTAATCATTTTTATCATTATGCCATTCTAAAATAGGAATACCATTGTCGATTTGAAATCCAAAAGAATGAGCAAGATTATCAACAATGAGCATATTCTTAATTTGTTTATTTGCAATTATTCTAAGATCCTTAATATAAAATCCATTTTTAGTTTCTAAACAGTTCTACCTTGATAAAATTCCAGAAATCCATAGTCCTTTAGGATCTAAGTATTTGACTACAGTATTAGCATATGCACTTGATGAAGCAGTATATACATAGATAGTGTAGAGTAGACTCATTTATTATAAGAACCATTAACAAAAAGGACGAACATTTAAATAAATCTAAAGAATAACAATATTGAATTACTCTTGCTTCTTCTCCCTATTCGCTTACTGCCAATATGCAAGTTTAATATTTTTCCCTTGCTGAACAACTATGAATCAATGTTTCATCCAAATCTAAGAGTAATGTTTTGCTTTAGGTATTCGAGCTTCTGGTAAAACTTACATTTTATTCTTTATAAAATTATTACTAGGTCCCTTAAGACATCTAGTTGCATAAATCAATCCTCTTTGAGTGAGTTATAAGAATTTGTTAAATGCAGTTTCGCCTATTAATGGTCCATAGATAAGATGTCGAAAAGGATGATTCTACATTTTACATTAAATAATTTATTTAGCTTTAGATAATTCTATATCTGAATTTACATCCCTCTATAATTTACTATTATTTAATCAATTCTTAATCTTACACTTATTAAATCTATTGATTATTGTACTCCTTTTTCATCTACTATTCAATTTTATTTGCTTAGTTTTTTATATTATAAGGATCTTCATTCTGAGTTTAAGTTTTCTAAGTCTAAATATCTTCATCTCTTTCTTCTTCAGCACCTTCTATATCACCTTCTATTCCATTCACTAAATTCCTAAATTTTGACAGTTTTTAACCTATAATAAAAATTTATTTTACTTGTTGGTCCTTTTTTAGCATTCTTTGGAGAATCTTTATCTGAATCATCAGTTTAATACCCTGTAAGGTTTTAACTGAAATGTGACATCTTACTAGGTGGTTTACTGATCTATTTTAAACAGAACTCTTCCTTCTATTTAGTATCTGTCTATTCATCCTCTGAATAAAATTATTTATCATTATTCAAATGTTATAAATGTTAGACTGAGGTACTGGCTCTAAATTTATATATATTATCCATATTATTTATTATTATTATGGATTCTAAATTAATTGAAGAATTTGATTACTTAGACAAAGATCAGAAAACATAAATGCTCATTAATCTCAAATCATATATTAGTCAATTGCAATCATAAATTCAAGAATTAGAAAGAAGTGCTATTGATATCATTATAGAAAAAGATGAAAAAATTTTATAGTTAGAAAATATTATCAATTAATATACACCTTTAAAATAGTATAATAAAGACGATGAAATCATTTAATTGAAAACGTATCATAACTTATTTTACATTAGTCATATAACAGAATTATACTCAAAAATTGATTCTGATTAGACTTAACATTTTGAAGAATTATAAGAAATGGATCGAAAATGGAATTCTTATTTATTAGATTAGATTCATTTGAGTAGTCAAGATGGATAACAATAAAAAATTGAAATGTTAGAATCCTTACTTAATCTTGAAAAAAAGAATCAGAAGTATGAACAAGAAGTATACTTTAAGGTAAATTCTAGCTGAAAATCAAAGAAAATTAAACTATGATCGATAAGAATACTATTAATTCATTCATTAATAAAATTTAATAACTTTAAGATGAATCTTAGGATCTCAATTAATAATTAAACAAACTATAAAGAGAAAAAGATTTGTAGCGTGATCATCTATAATCTGATAAAAATGCACTTGAAATAAAAATAAATGTAAATTATATCTCTTATTCCAAGAAATTAAATATCATTCAAAACTAAAAGGAAAAACAAATCTAAAGTCTAAAAGTCTAAAATGCCAAATTTATTTAAATTAACAAAGAATTGACAAACTAAATAAATGATTTAAGAGAACAAATTGAAAAATAAACTGAAATCAAAGATAAAAGACACTCAGAAAATTGTTTTTTATAATAAACAGCAAATACTATAGAGCAGATCTAAAGAGAAGAAATCAATATTACAGCTTTTGAAATTCTAGAGGAAAGTTAGGTTGATGATGATAAGGATTAAATGGCTAATTTAAGATAAATTTTAGATGAAAAATCAGAATAACTTATTCAATATGAAGAATGCATTAGATAATCTACAAAATAAATAAAAGAACAAAGAGCCCAATTATAATTATTATAATGTTAGCTTAAATAAATAAGGCAATCTTAATTCAATTAAAAAAATCTTAAAGAGTATATTTAAGTTTTAGAAAGTGATTTCTTAGTCTCCAAATAATTGTTAGCTGAAAAAGCAGATCGTTATTAAGAATAAGTGATATTCTTAACTTAAGAGAATTACAATCTGAAATAAAAAATAAAATGCTTCCAAAATAGATATCACAAGAAAGTAAATAGGTATATCGATTGATTTCATCTTCATTGTATAATTTTACTTTTTTATATTAATTAAATATAAATAAAATTAATATTAAAATTTAATACGAAAATTATTATTGCAAGTAATCGTATTTTCAATTATACTTTTTTTTTGGTTTCATATTACTTGTATCATATTTGCTATTCTATATATCATAATCTAAGGCATCTTAAAGTGATTAAAGCAATTAACTTTCTTCATCCTCTTCAACTTATTATTTTAATGTCTATTATTTTGCTAAAGTAATTGCATGTTTTGTATTAAACTTCATCAAAACTAAAGGATTATTTTATTATTGTTAAGTTTTTTAAATATCATTCTTATTTGAAAATGTTTGAATTATTTCCAGTTTTATTTCACTTTGAACTTTTAAATATTATTTTTTTAACTCTTCACTAATAATCTTTTCTTCATCCTATACAACTTCTTTATATATTTTCTAAGTCTTTGCTTTTTTTCCTAAATTTTATAATATATGATAAGTTCGACAACATAATTCAAGGCCTTTTTGCAAAATTTAGTCATTTTTCAATAGATTTATATTATACTCAAAAAGATCCTTCAAAGAAAGCTATAAAAATTGTTAGAAATTATTTAGAATCTCACTAGGGTATTTCTTGTCTAGCTGATAAATTGGTTCTTCTAATGCCTTTAAACTAATAATGTCAAATCAATTCATACTCAACCATAAGAAAAGTTAATTTATAACAGATACTATTTGTGATTTATCTTTAAATTTTATTTTATGCTGAATTTCGGAACTCATATAGTATTCTTTTTATAAAACTAACTCAGAAATTTCCTCCCTTAAGAGATACGATTTTATTGCCTTCTCATCTGTAATTAAGTGCTCTTTGCTACTATCATTTTCTTTTTTTTCCTCCTCTTTTTAAACTTCTTAAATCTACTATTTTGGGTCTTAAAATATCTCTTCTTATTTTAAGGAAACCGGTTGCTTTTAGCCAGAATTAAGGTTTGTTTCAAGTTCATTCTAAATTTAATTTGATTGAACATTTTTTTAGTTCTATTTTGTTTAACTTGAACAGGTGCCCATTATTATAAATAAAATATAATTGTAAATCTATTCAAATAATGAACAAATTTTTTTATAATAAGAAAACTTCATAAACTTTTAAGAATTAAAATCATATTAATAAAATGTACAATTTCTCAAACTTAATTTCTAGAATTGATTTTATTAATTAACAGCGTAAATTTGACCATAAAAACTACGAAGGAATAATTTAGTAAATATCTATAAATTTTCATTAATTTGTAGTTATCCATTTGAATATAAATTAGAATTATTTATCCTAATTATAAAAAGGGAAAAATTGTAATAAGTAACTTTTTATTTAATAAAATAATTTTAGTTGTAAGTGTAATTTTATTTTAATAGAAGTTTCATAATAGTGATAAATGATATGATAATATAAAAAATATGGTTATTACTAGTTATTTCTATGCCAATTAAGATATATAAATAATTTATTTGATTTTCATAAATTTTGTTAATGATGAAATTTTCTACGCTAAAATTTTGAAACTGGATGTAATTGTGATAAAAATTTATGTATAATAATTAAAATGATATTTTTAAAAATGTTTGAATATAAGATATTTAAAATTTATAAACATTATGACTTAATACTGAAAGAAAAAGGAACTCTATTGTTAGGATATTGGAAATCAGCATTTGATGGTGTATAAAAATAATAAACTTTAGGAGCACTTACTAAGGAAAGTAATAATATTTTTATTACAATGAAATTTGTACAATTTTTAAATAAAGAGTAGGATTATAGAGAGATTAGCTATTAAGGCTAAATGTTATTTTGAGAGAATTGGATATGTTTGAATTATGGAAATAAAACAGTAGGTTATAGATCAAATATGTGCAAGAGAATTTAATTTACTTGATGGGATAGTGTATAATTTAAAGGAAATCATTAATAATAAGACAACAAATATTTAAAATTAATTTAATATAGCCAAAGAATGGATAGTAATTAGATTAAATATTGGTAGTAATATTAAGAAGTAAAAATAACTTTAAAGAAGCTAAGCTAAATTGAATGTCAGAAATCTCCCTTTGAGTAGTTAGTAACTAGTTTAATTGAAAAAGAGGATGAATTATAATTTATCTTTCAAATTTATGAAATCAAAAAGACTTCATCCAAAAAAAGAGAATACAAATTACTTTTGTTTGAAATGCTTCTTAACTCTCATTAAGTAAAAATGAAGATTAATTTATTATAATAAAATGAAGTTAATTATTATGTTTAGATTAATCGAATGAGTTGAGATGAAAATTTAAAATAGAACAAACTATTTTATAAATAGATAACTAGAATTAGAATAAAATAAATGAGCTTATAATATACATTTCAACTATTAAAAATGAATCTTCTTTGAGTATGGATGTTCACACACTTAGGAGATTTCTTGGGGGTTAAATCTAAATTTTTGGATAAAGTTAATTAAGATTTGATGATCAAAGAGGGTAGGGTTCTTTACTTAGGTAACTAATATTAAATAGGAGAGTTATAGCATTCCATATATTTACGATTTAAAGGAACTATTTCGAATAATGGATTCTTAATAGTTAGATTTTTAGGACTTTAAGTTTAAAGCATCTTGAGTAATTAGTTTTGTAATTTGTTTCTTTTAATTGAGTGAATTGGAGAGGATGAGTCTAATTTCTATTTACTACTTATGTATTGAGAATTTGGAGATATTTTTGATCTCATTAATTAATTAAATGAGAAAATAATAATAAGAAGAAACAGAAGAAGACTAAGCATCTCTATTACCTATAAAAAATCATATAAAAAGAATTGAAGTAGATATTTTGATTAAGTTTAATAAAAGGAAATGTTATTGCAATTAAATAATGATCTTGTAAATGATGCTAAGGATATTGATAAGAATAGACAAGATATTCGTAATTTAGGAGAAGCATAAAATAAAGAAAGAACAGAATTACATAACTCATTACTCGATCATTGTCATAAAATTGTAACTGATATGCGAGAATTAAATTAGCAATCAAAAAGTGAAACATATAATCTTAAATAATAAGTAATAATATATTTTATATAAAGCTTTCATGCCTTAATCAAGATAAGATAAGATTATAATAAAATTTAATTGTACTCGAAAACAAAGTAATAGAAACTGATAAAGACATTGGCTTTAAGCGTAGAAATTAATAATTAAATAAAAAAAAATGAATTAAGTGTTATAGTCATAGTTAATCAAAATGCTCCGATGTTGTTCTAAATAAACCAACTTAAAAATCCTTTATTTCATCTTGTTTTTATTATTCACTTATAAATTCTTAGGAACTACCTATTTCTTTAGATGATTTATTATCTAAATTAATAAAATTAATTAAATCCTAAGGAATATAATGAACATGTGTATCCCAATTATTCCAACTCAATTTCAATGGACTTGATATTTACTCTTCTTAAATTGGAACAATTAAAGGATTTTTACTCCTTGGTAAATATTGTTTCTAAGTTTATATTTATGATGATATTAACATGCCATCACTTTTTCTAATATCAACTATATCACAATCATCAAAACTCTTTGTTGACTTTTTCTATTACCTTTTCTAAAGCCAAGGGTGTAAAACAAAATCTTTTTATATATTATTTACAAACCTTCAGCTGACAATCTTTTTTCTGGATCTTTTTTTAACAACCTCTTTAATAAATCTTATTCTAATGGATTCAACTTTTTAAATGCTGTTGTATTTTTTACATTTATTTCTGAATCTCTAATCATCTCTATTGTATCTAATACAGTTTCCTATTAAAATGGCAATTATCCAATCAATAATTAATACAAAATTATACCAATAGACCATACATCAACTTAAAATATATTAATTATTAGTACCTTTTTCATTATAACCACCTCCTAAAAATATTTCAGGAGCTTAATAAAATAATGAACCAGTTCTTGTCCACATATCTATTTTTTTTGTTACCTTCCCTTTTACGACAAATCTTTTTGAAACACCAAAATCTATTAATTTCAATCCTAATGTTTCACCTATTAGAATATTATCTGGTTTTAAATCTCTATGACAAACTCCTCTTTAATGTAATTATTTTATTGATTAAGCTAAATTCAAAGCAATTATCTAAATATCTTCTAAACATAATTTCCCCATTCTTTATTCTAAACTCTAATAAGGGCAATATTCCATAACCAAATGATGTTCTTCTTTCTTTGAATTTATAAAAAGATCTAGTGCTTTAACAACGCAGTTCAAATCATTAAGTGATCTATTTATTTGAAATGTTTCTCTAATCGTATTAATTATTTCTGTGTCACCAGTTCTAAAGATTTTAACGGCATAGGTTGTTCTGTCTGATATATTCAAATTATTTTAATCTCGCTTGTAACATTTCTTTACAATTCCATGAGCTCCTTCACCTAATGATAAATATTCATATAACCGATCTGATGATGGCCATATTCATAAATATCACTAAAATGTCTAAATTGTTAATTTGTGCTTTTTGGTTGATTATTTTATATTGGAGGAGAAGAGTTTTAAGGTGGAGTATTCTATTTCAAATTCCTTCTCTTTTTACAAAAAAGTGTATTCTTTAGTGAAGCTCTAATATTCATCTAATTTTGCCGATTCATTTATATAATATATAAAAAAAAATTAATATTTTTCACAATCATTTATAAAATCTTTAATACTCTTAAACAAAGTTAAAGTCTCTGCTTTGTTTTTTCAACAATAAGAGAAATTCTTTGAAAAATAAAGTTAAATAAATTAGGTTTATATATGTTCTTGAATTAATTACGAATACTATTTTTTTTAATTTTGTAGCCATCAGAATATATCATTCAACAAAAAGAGTAGTGAATATAATACATAGAAAAATTCATCAATTTAAAGAGCATATAGATCACTTAAATTAACTATTTTTTGTTATATAAAAATGATTATTATTGAAAATAAAATAAAAAATGAAATGTATAAACTAATCATTGTCATTTATTATTATTGTTTCAATCATTTTAAAGTCGATCTTCAAAGTCAATAATTGTATTATGATTAAATTCAGTATTTTAAAATTAATTTCTAAATATTTAATTATTTGGATCATTAAAGGCATTTACTTCAGAAAATTATTAAAAAAGATTCCATCTTATTTAAAATAATTATGGGGTTTAATTTAAATTTTCATTGTTTTAACCTTGTTGTTCTTCTATTTCCAAATTTTGATTATTCTAAATTTATTATAAATAATTGTTTTGAATTTAAGTTAGCAAATTATTATTAGATATTTAAATATAATTTGTTATTCTTTAACACTAAAAAATAAATTGAATAAATACTTATTAATCTTTTAATTAAAGCAAAAGTTTAAGCAAGTAAATAGAGTCGAAAGGTTAGTTTAAAATTCTATTTTCTATTAATTCAATCATTTCCTATAGAAATAGAATTTTATAATATCTCCAAAGCAGACCTTCTTAAATATTTTTTAAGTGATTTCTCAAAAGATTAGCATAGAAACTAGCATCAATAACATTCTCAATAATTTATGAAAATTAATATTAAGTATTGTAAATTTCATCTAAAATTTCTTAATATTATTAAAATTGCTATTAAGGGTTATTAAATTCATATCTACTTATTAAATCTCTTGAAAATTTAATCAATGAATCATCCATAAATTAATCTTCCTTGTTTCCAATTAGTAAGCCATATAGAATAGTACCCAATTTGAAATTTTAGCATCTACAATGAGGATTTGTTTAAAATATATTGATTCGAAATTAACAATAGCTACCAAAGCTACGTCCAATAAATATATTATGGTAACAAGGAGGAGGCAATGGATTATCCATTCCTATTTTCCTCTAAATATTTTGAAGATCAATTAATAATCTTTAGAAGCTGATTAATTAAAATAAATTAGATTCTTATAATCTTTATGTAGGACCACCTAAACAAGGATCAATAATAATTATGCGAAATCTTTAAAATTCAAATTCTTTTAACAATATAGGTTAATTGGCCTTGGGCATTTTCTCCATAATTCTTTTTTTTTATATATAATCTTATTTTTCCATTATTTACCAGAAAGATCTAAAAACATATTCATTTTGATAAAATGATCCAATGACATCATTAAAAAAAAAGAAATTTTAGGATTCATAATATTTATTTAGAGTATTCTTCCCTTCTACTAAAAAATATATTATCCCACAAATCATATATTTATATCTCTCATTCTAAGTCCTAAAATTAAGCTTAGCGAACTGACAAATTTCGCAATTCCTTGGTTAATAAATTATGTTATCTTTTCCTTTTATTTTAACAGTATGAGGGCAAACAAAAATATTCTATCTATTAAAAAATTTCTATGTCTCATTCATTATTTTCCATGTTAAGGAATATATTGATTCTATTGATAATTAATTGACTTCCAAATCAACCAAAAATATTTCCTTATCCATAATTAATCGTATTTTTTATATATTTAAGATTCAAAATTAGCAATAATTTGATAATCAGATTTAAGTAGTATTGATATAAATAATAATTATCATTTTATATATGTGATTTTGATTGCTTTGAAGTTTTGTTTTATTTTTAGGTTTCCTTAACATTTAAGGATTCTTATGTGTCTTGAGAACTAGCGTTAAAATTTCAAATCTAATAATTAGTTTCTTCATCAATTTTTATTTCATTTTTTTTTTTGAAACATAACTTTCTTGATGAAATATTTTTAGATTATTCATTTATATTGTAAGTTAAATAACATTCTACACTCATATAATATTAATGAAGTTTCAATTCAGCTTACCATTAAATTAATTTATTATTAAAATGAGCAATAAAAGATTAAGCAATTCTTCTCAATAATAATAGCAATAAAAAAAACCAAGTTTTAATGATCAACCAACTGTAATCCCTAATAAAGAGGATGATAAAAAAAGTTTAAATGGTAGTTAGATAAATGATTCACAGGATGGAGTTTAAAAATAATAATAATAACAATCAAAATTTGAACTTCCTTAAATTCCTAAATTTTAGAGTTTACCTTTAAGAGAGTATTTTGACAGTAATTTAAGTGCAATATTATTGGAAGGCTTGAAAGAAATAGGAAGATAAAGGTATCTATTGAAATTATAAAATTAAGACCAGAAAATCCTACTAGATTTTTAGGAGAATATTTGCTTTAATAGGATAAATAAAAATGATTGATTTCATTAACTAAAAGGTTTTAAAATAATTTTAAAAAATATATTTGTTAAATCACTTTTTCTTGGTTGTTTTTTTATTATCTTATTTTTATTGTTCTTTTGGTTATTCTTTAATTTATTATTATTATTATTATTATTATTATTATTATTATTATTATTATTATTATTATTATTATTATTATTATTATTATTGATTTTATTATTACTCTTATTGCTTTTATTATTATTCTTATTATTTTTAGTAATCTTTTTATTCTTCTAATTTTAATTCTTTTAATATAGATTACTCAGTCTAATTCTGTTTCTTTGTATCCTTTTTCGAATTCTGAACTGATCCCTTTTTATTATTATTATTTTATTATTATTGCTATTATCCCTATCCTTGTTATTGTTATTAGTTTATTGGTTATTGTTACTAAATTTATTCAGGCTCTTATTTTTATACTTTAACTTCTTATTTAGGAGGAGATGGCTATATATCATTTTGCTTTTTTTATCCTTTAGGTGGAGATTAATCAACTTTGTCTTTTTGTTGATTTTTCATATCTAAACTTTATTTCCCTATAGTTTGCCGTTGATCAGGTTCTTAAGAGATAGATTAATTATGTTATTCTTTTCTCTTTTATTCTTCTCTAAATGCTAATTCATACTTTGAAACTTCTTCTAAATTCTTTTGTTCTTTGTCCTACATCTTTTTAACAAATTTTTCTAAAATGAATACAATAATTACCATGTGCTTCTTTAGCAGCTTACTAAGCTTTAATTTATATATTCTAATTTTTTAGTTTTTTTTCATATTTCAATATTGTTTATGCTGAAAATTCATACACATTTCCAGTTGGTAACCCTTTCTTGCATAATTATCTAAGCAAGTCTAATTTACATATATAGATTACATTCATACGCTTCTTATAATCCTGATGCTTGGATAACATTTTATTATTTATCATTTTGTAATTATTTAGACATGTAATAATTATTTATAATTATTGCATATTTAAAAAGTTAATAAGAATAACAATGCTCAAATACAAATAATTTTTTAAAATGTTTATAAATTTTGATAGAATATTTATAATTAACATTTTGAATTCTAGATCAAAGATTATTTAAGGTAAGGATGAAAGTGTTTTGATTATAATTAAATTTAAAAAAATAAAATTTTCTTTATTTTAAAGTTCAATTTCAATAATATTTTGAAATTGATTTATTAATTATGTCAGAAATTAGATAAATTATCAATAAATTATTTAAAATTAGAATAAAAATTTTATAATTTTATTATTGTTAATAAATCAAAAATATAGATTAATTTCCAAATAAAATTCTAAGGCGAAAGAAAAAAAATTAGAAGAATAGAAAACAAAATAGTTTTCTTTGGCTTTCTGAATATAAAATGATTAAGAAATAAGAGCTAAAAAAAAAGTTTAAAAAGTTTAAATTTTATTTTTTTACGTTTTAGATCTCATATTATATATCAAAAGTCTTTTTCCCATCCTTAATCTCCTTAATTTTAACCATCAATTTATCTGACTGCTTATTCTTACTAAATTAGTAAATAATTAGAATAAATACTTTAATTTCTTCTTCAATCATTTTACCATTTGATTCTAGAGATTTGATTTCTAATTCTGGTAATAGTTTATCTGCAGGAGGCAAATAAGGAGTCTTAATTTCTTTTTCTAATAATTTTTCCTAAAAATAAAATAATATTTTACCCAATCAAAGTTTTCAAACCAAGGATTTCCTTTAAGTGAGGCATAAGAACCTCCCAATCTGACTTCAGGAACTCGGGAAAGTAATCTAATTATTTATAAGATTAATTTACTAATCCATGAGTTTTTTTGCTTTTTTATCTTTCAAGTAATTTGGATATGTAATATCTTTTTTAATAATCTCTTCATATATTTCATAAGGATCTTCTGCCTCTTCTCCAAATGGAACCATTCCACACATAAATTCATATAAACAAATGCCAATAGACCACAAATCCACTAAGCAATTATATCCTTTACCACATATTATTTCAGGAGCCATATCTAAATATTCTAATATTAATAATTTACAATGTGGAGTTCCTATAATTGTATATGTACGAATAATTCCTTACTTTCCTTTTATGATTTTAGCTGTTCCCAAATCAATTAATTTAAGAAATCCTTTGTCATCAACCATAAAGTTTTCTGGTTTAATATCTCTATAAATAATATTTTAATGATGTAAGTATTCAGTTATTAAAATCATGGAAGCAACATAAAATTAAGAATCATAAGTTGATAGCAAACCTAAAAAATAAAAAAATAAATTTACCAATGTCTCTAATCACATCAAATAGTTCCATTCCTCGAACATATTCCAGAAGAAAATAAACATCTAAAGCATCTTTGAATGTTTTCATGAAGGAAATAATAAATGGAAAATTCACTATTTCTAGTACTTGCTTCTCTTATTGTAGGTACATAAAAATAACATTAAATATTACTTTTCTAAAGTTTATTCATTTATTTAATTTTTATTGAAAGCCTTTAAAACATATAATTATTGATTATATCTTGCTTTAACTAAATAAACTGGACCAAATTATCCATATGCAATAGTTTTAATATGTAATAGTTCAGATTTCTTAATGTTTTATGCTTCTTTCTTTTTAGTTTAATCAGATTTCTATAATTTCTTTTCTAATATTTTTTCATTTTTTTTAATCACTTCTTCTAATTCTCCTCCAATACAATCTATAAAATTATCTGCTGTAATTTCAGCTATAACTCCATCTGTTTCCATAACAATATCATCATCCAAACTTTATTTAGAATATTATTTTAATATTACATTTTTGCTTTGTTAGTTTATAAGAAATATTCTTCTCCCCATGCTTATGCTTTTGTAGCTACTGTAATACCAGATTTGCTCTTTTTTAAACTACCTTCAATAATGACAATAATTTTTTAATTTGCTTATGTTCCTTTTTTCAATATAACATCTCCTGCTTTACATGATGATATTTTCATCACATCCAACACTTTATCTATTTAAGCTTTTGTTAATTTGCTTAATAAAGCATTTTTTTCAAATGCCCATTTTTATAGATTTCTAAATGTAACAACATGAACTTAATCTCCCAATATTTTTGTAAGAGAGTCTCTTCCTAAAGCTAAACATTTAACATCATCTTCTGCTCTAACAGTCATTTATCTAACAGTATTATAATATAAGGCTTATTCACCAAATGAATCACCTTTGTATAATTTTCTTACTTCTTTGTTACCTTTCAATACAGACACTGTTCCCTTTGAAAATTTAATGTTTAATTCATACTTCTTTTATTATATAGAATGATGATCCTGGATCTCCTTCATTTACTATTATTTGATTCTTGTAGAACTTCTAGACAATTAATACAGCTGCTATTGCATCTTTTTATTCATTTGTCAAATTATCTATTATTTATTAATTTATTTATTTACGAAAAAATCTAACTACTTCCATAAATTTTCTATTTTCTTCATATTCTTTTGTGATCATTTCTTCAACTGCCCTTCTAAAAGTATTTCTATCAATTCCCCAAAGATTACAGTTTTCAAAACACTTTACAGATGCAGATCGAGGAGCATTATACAATAATGCTAATTCTCCAAATCCATCTCCTGTTTTTAATTCTCTCTTAGCCTAATATTTTTTCAAATGCATTCATTTACTTTTTCATTTACAATTACTTCTAAGCTTCCTCTTTGTAAGATAAAAAAACAAGTTGCATGGTCTTGTTACTTAAAGATATAGGTTCCTTATGCTGCTTCACAATAAAACATTTTGTTCACAATGTTCTCTCTAGAAAAAATTAATCATATAAAGTTACAGTTCAGCTTCGCTTAAATTGTAAAATACAAAATGGTTTTTTAAACAAGTTAAAATAAATGTAGTATCGTTTAATGTTTTTTTCATATCAATTTTTTTAACATTTTCATGTATTACCTCACCTCCCTCATTTATATTGTGTTTAAAATTTTAGAGTTTGTCCTAAAAATAAATAAATAATTACATTTTCATCTCCTCCAGAACGTTGGTCCTCATCTCCATCACAATGTATTTAATTATCAGAATTGTTCTATGATCTTGGATCCATAAAATATAATTTAATATTTATATTTATAAAATTTAGATTAGAATTAAGCTTTCAATTTCTCTCATCCAAAAAACTGATTCTATATTTTGTATGATTAATTATTAAACACTTCCATTATGCTATCAATTAAATTGCGAATCAATATATTTCAAAAAATATTTTGATTATCTTATTTTTATCTATTACTCAACCCATTCGGAATCCTTTTTAACAATTAAAGCTATTTCATCAAATTATCACCTTCTAAGCATATGTGTAATATAAAATTTTATGGATTTTAATTACTTCTATGATTAAAATATATTATAATATTAATCAATTTATTTATATTTATAATTTATTATGTCTTCACTTTTCTTATTTTAAATTTATCTAAAATTAAAAGCAATCTTATTGATTTTGCTTTGATTCTTTGTTTGAAAGAAAATTTTATTTATTTTCAAAATTTTTGTGATTTTCGAATAGCTAAGTTATTTAATTTTTGTTCCAAGAAATTCCGAAGAATAATTTAAAGCGAATTTTTAATTTCTTGTATTTCAGCAAAACAAAAAAAAATATAAAGAGATTCTAAACTTTACTAAAAAAAAAAGCTTCTTTTACATATAGTATGATTGGGTCACTTATAAAACAATCAAGTTAATATAATGAGAATTAAAGATTTTTTATTGAAGATATATAAGTTATTATCATTCTAATATGTAGTTAAGAGTATATAAAGTTTTCAAAGCCAAGTAAAGTTATCCCTCCATGATTGTTTTGATTGTTTGTTTTTCCTCTTATCCTCAAAATTCTCTATAATTGTTTTTGAATTAAGGGATTGTATAATGATAATTTAATTATAGGATGACATTGTTTCACAATTTTCTGAGGGCTCATCAATTACAGTATCATCAAGATTTTATTTTTATAGTTTGCTGAGAGGATTTGAGAAGTAGCACTTTTAGAAAATAACAAATTGATCCATTATTATAAATAAATTAGTTAATTCAATTAAATTAGAGAATTTTGAAATCACCATTATATGATTAAGAATCTTTAATTCTTTCTAATAATTCATCTTGTTACAATTTATAAATGAATATTTATATTAGATGCACATCTAAAATAGATAAATTGAAAATACATTATAATTAATTATAATTATTATTAATGGAATTTTAATCATAGAAATTAGTAGGGGAGTCAAATATGTTATTACTAGGATAATACATTTAGGTAAAATTAAAAATTGATAATTTGAGGATAAACTTTGTAAAATCTACTTTGATTATGAATTATTGAATCCATTAAATACATTGATGGATGATTTATCTGTGAAATAATCTTTATCAGACTTTTTAAATAAAATTTAAGATGTAAGTAAGTAGGTTATTTAGATTACAAGTTTAATAAATTTTGGTTTGAAGCCTATTGGTTTATATTTTAGAGGTGAATTGCCAGAGTATTGTAAGAACAATAGCATATTAAAAAAGATTTGTAGTGTTTTTAATACTGAAACATTATTGTTATATGCTCAGAATTAAAAACTGGTATTCTCTTCAAAAGTACATTGAATTTAAATAATAAAAGAATATTACAACAAGTGCAGCAAATGTTAAATTTATAGATTAATTTGATTTAAGGAGAATAAAATTGAAAACAAGTCTTAAATAGAACATTGGATAAGAAATATATGTGTAAAATATATTGGAGAATCTACGTAAAAGTTATGAAAACTTGAATCTCTTATATGGTGATTAGATTTTAGTTTAATAACAAAAATTGAGCGAACTTACTAGAGAGAAGGAAATAATTTTAGGATTTTTCAAAGCTTAGACTTAATCAAGTGAATGTATTTAAAATGATGAAAATAAAATTCTTTAGGGGGATGTATCAACTTTAATTTTAGCTGATTCGAATATAGCAATATCAGATTTGAAGTTGGTATGAATAGTATTAAATTATAGTTAATAGTGAATGACATATTAGAGTCATTGAAAGTAAGATTATCTTAAGAATTAAGTCCTCCATGTTATTTGGCAAAAAGATTGTTAATAACATTTAAATAGAATGATTTAATACTATAAAATTATATAGATCATGAATTCAATAGAGATTAAGAAATAAATTATATAAAGTAGTATTTTGGGTAGTTGGAAATAGAAGAAATAAAGATTTTGGAGAGCAGATAAACAATAAAAATAGAATAGGCTAAAAAAAGATTAGAATAGTAAGAGATAATAAAAGAGAAAGTTGAAGTGAAGAAAGATGAAGTGGTTGGATAATAAATTTAGTAGGAATAACATTAAGAGATGAAAGGAAGATTAAAACAAGAATATTTAATAATGATAGCAATATTTGGAGTGTTGATAGCAATATATTTGAAGACATTATTTTGAATATTTGTGTTATATATGCATTTTCAATAGTCAACATTTAATGTCATTGCTACTCCTTAAAGAATCCAGTGACTAATATGTTCTTAAGTTCTTAAATCAGCTTCAAATACTAGTCCAACTCCCATGGCATTACGTCTTGATTGTGTTACATAGACAGGTGTAGCAAGAGTGTCTATTAAATATAAGATGAATTAAAAACCTTTTAATTTTAATTTGTTGGCTTCAACTGGAATAACTTATATAAGTGGCATTTCAAATATTAATTCTTTAGGATTCTATTTTTTAAGACAATTATGTTCAACATCCCATCTTGCACCTTCCAAATAGAGACCTTCAATATAGCATCCAAATTCCATTCTTTAAGTAATATCTTTAGCTTTGAATTTCTTAGTAACTTAAGTATAGAGTCTACTTTTATCTAGGGCCCAAGTCTTAGCTCTGCAAGTAGTTTATATTAAAGCAGTAAGATAACTTTCTGGAATGTGAAGACCAGATAACCACATAACATAAGGTTCTTCTTTACTTGCCCAATATGTATACTATTAAACTCTTCTCTTAAAATGATTCATCCATGAACCTAATTTCTTTTCAGTTTATGGTGCTAATCTTCTCCACATAGCAGGTAAGAAACCATTGAATAATGCTAATGATAATTCATCTAAATCACTACTCATACCAATTTCACCTTTTAATGCACGTTTGAGATTAAATAAAGATTCATTGATTTTTATGATTAATTTATTGAATCTTTCAAGTTCTTAGAATAAGACAACTTATGTAGGTGATATTATTTCTCCTGCTTCTTTTCTTAATGCTATGACATCCCATATTGCAGGTAATTTAGATAGTACATCTTCACTAACATCATTAACATATTTATCTTTATCTACACCTCCTGAAACTGCTCCTCCAGATGCTCTTAATTACAATAGATTATCCCATATAGATTTGGCACTATTCGTGAAATAAGTAATTTCTGCATTTGGATGTAAACCAAATACAATCGGAGAATTGATAAGTGGTAAATGATCAATCATTGTTTGGAATCCTTCATGATTCAATACTTTAGGAACTTCATATTTGAAATCCTCACTTTAAGCAAAGAGGAACTCTCTGTTTTTATCAAACAGAAAATCTCCCATATATTCATCCAAATATGTTATTAATACTCTTCTATCATAAGAATCTGTTACTCTTCCTCCATACATTGCTTCTCCTATTAAATATTTAAGTGAATTCCATGGAATTGTTTCATCTTTTGCATCATAAGCTTTTCTTAAATACATTGATAATAAACTGCTACTGATATTGAAATCTGACTCATTAAAATCATAACTGACATTCCATCCTATTTTACCATACTTTCTTCTATCTAAAATTATTGAATGGAAGAAAGACACTACATATACTAGTGTTTTATATGCTACATGAGGACAAGAATTTAAAGAATTTTCATCTATCTTACTCATTATAGCTTTCATATTTAATTTCAAACCATCAGGTGGTTCTGTGACCACTTTCAATGACTTTTATAATATACCCAATGGGAATCTATCTGTTGGTTATGTTGTTAACCATAATCTAAAATCTTTATGAGGTTTTTGCATTAATTCTAAAGTCTTTTCTAAATAACTCTTCAACCATCCTGTCAATAAATGACAATTTGCTAACATTAACCAATGTCCTCTTTATGATGCAGCCTCAACAAATTATGATGCTTCCTATTCACTTCCTTATCCTAAAGAAAGATTTCTAAATTTAGCTCCTGTGAATCCTTTTGAATCACCTAATTTCATTACATCTGGTAAAGGATCTGCTCCTGGAGATAATATAAATACTATTGGAGATTTCTCATTTGATTAATCAAATATTTTCTCATAATTTATTATTGGAGGTTACACATAATTTGAATTACCATATATATCTTATATATACTTTTTAACTCCATTAATTACACGATCTGGTCTAAACACTCTCAATAATAATAAAATCTAAAATGAATTCAATTTCGTATATCCTTCAGGCAAAGTCTCTAATTCAGGTCTCTCATGATCATACCATTTCTTCCATTCTTTACCATGTTTTTCTAAATCATCTGCCAATAATCTATAAGAATCAGCCAATTGCATCAATCTCATTATATCTTTCCAACCTGAATCAGGTACCCAATCATAAGGTTTCTATCTCTAAACTTATTCAAGTGAAGTATTTCCCTTCAAAAAGAAATCTAATTCCTCATGATTTAATAATTTTTCACCATCCTAGATCATTATAGTCATTTAGAAAGCAAACATCAATTTATGAACTTCAAATATACCCAAACAAGTGTAATCATAAACATTACTTGTTAATTTATCTATGATATTTCTTAATCTTGATTCCAAGATAGTATCCTTTCTAGCATCTCTCAAAGATTGATTGAATACTTATAAATATGCACTTAAAGAATATTCATACATTTCGGAAATTGAACTCAATGAACTCATTGCAAAAAATAATATTGCACCTCTTTTAGCCACTGTAGTATAACTTTATCTAGCTTATTCAATTTCTTAACTAGTTATCTAACCATCATTAATTGCTTATTGAATCTCTTCAGATTTTGCTTTAGTCTAATCTAATGTATTAATCAATTAAACATTATCCAATAATGATCCTTAAGCTTCTGATAATCTTTACAATAAATCATCTTCAGCTTCCTTCAATTTTTTCTTGTTTTCACTCATACTTTAAATAAGTTCCAATCTTTATTTCTCTTTGTCTGGTCTTTCAAATGACACAACCACATTCAATAGTTAATCTCTCAATCCATTTAAAGTTACTGTGTAATTGATAACCATTGTCTTTGACATGATTTCTGGTGTGTATTTAGGATTAGCCAATTTGGTTGTGAAATATAATCTAAAATCGTCATTATAATCTATGATGTTTTCTCCCAATTTTATGCTCTTCATACCTGCCTTAATAATAAAATTTTTTTCTAAAATTGGATCTATTGTTGGATCTAATTCTTCATCAACATTTTCAAATAAAAATGGTTTGCCATATCTAATACAATTCTCTAAAGGTTTCAAAAAGACACCTGCTCCCTCATTTAAATTTAGAACTTTAAAGGCAATATCTTTTTCTTCCCTTTTCTTGATCCAATTGACAGCTTAAAGTTATGGATCAATACATAAAGGCCATCTAGATGCTCTAGTAGTGAGTATACCATTTTAAACAGATAATTCATCTGATGGTAATCCTTCTGAATTCCATTAAGATATTTCTACTGCACTACTTAATAAATCTTCAAATTTAAATTCTGGATTTAATGGTATTTCCTTTTCTTTAATATCAACCATCCAATGATCATAAAGCATTCTTCTTCTGAATGAATAATCAAATGGTCCAACATAACTTAGAAAAGAACCTGCTAGTAAACAATCTCCAATCAATTATCTAGTCATCTCTGCCAATTTAATAGTATCTTCTGTCCATCTTTTCTTTTCACCTCCCAATCCTTCAATCAATTTTTTAGCTGCATTTAATTTCTTTTCCATTTCTTATGCTTAGGCAGTCAATTCTGCTAATCTTGCTGATTTCTAATCACTTTAAACTTATAATTCTGACACTTCCTTCTGTAAAGCTGCCAATTTAATAGCTGTTTATCTCAAATCTTCTTCTGTCATTTCCTTTTATTTAGTCATCTATTCTAAACGTTATTTAAGAGGTTCAACTTTCTTATATACATCATAGAAATTAACTGTAGCTGAAACCCAAGTATATAAACCAGCTGCAGCTTTAGAAATCTTTGATATTTCATCTAAACGATTTTCTGGATCTTTCATTGCTCCTCTAATTTTTTCAATTTGATTTCTTGTAACCTTCCCTATTTTATTACCATAATTTTATAATTATTCCAATAATTTCATAGGATTATTCATCATTTATCTAGCAGCATTCCAACCATCTCCTTCAATACCATCTATGGGTTTAAAAATAAGTAACATTGATGCAACTGCTCCAACTGGTTTAGGTGGTGAATTCAATGCTTTTAATTCAACTAATTCTTTTGAATCAATCTTATTAAGTGCTTCTTTAGCAGACTCTAAGATTGGAATAGCGTCTTTTAGAATTTAATCAGCTTCTTATTATCTCTAATTGATTTCCACACTATCTTTTTCTAATTGTTTTTTCTTTTAAGCGGCTTCCTCATTATCTTTAGTAGCTATCTCTTTTTTAGCATTAATTATCTTAAGTAATTCCTCTACTTCTTTACTTTCACTCATCACTTCAACTTTCTTAATCTCTAATTCTTCTTACAATACTTTCACTTATTCAGATGCCTCATCCAATTTTTGAACACCATTTGTGTATCTTACGATCAAATCTTAATACTTCTTTCTATTAACAGCCAATAAACGTTTATAATTTTATAAGAAATCTAAATAATTTTTAGGTGTGCTGAAATTCTTTCTTCTTAATTATAATTCAAAATCTCTCGAAAACATTTAAATACTCTCATGAACTTTTGTTATATGTTAAATAATCTTAGGTCTATATTATTCATCTTCTAAATTTTCTTCCTTCAAATATTCTGTAGCTACACTAACCAAAGCCTCTTCAGGCCAAGGGAAAAACCAATTAATTTATGTATTACTAACTAATCCTGGGAAATTACGGCATCTAATTCTTAATGTATCTCCTGCTGGACTCATACATAAAACTATATGCATATTATCTCTAATTTTCTCAAGGAAATAATTCCATAATTCATCTTTTGTTTCTAATATTCCTTTTCTTTTTGCTTCATCTCTAATTTTATCACTCATCTTCTTCTTTCCATCTTCATCAAAAAGAGCTGGTACCATTCCTATTGTAAGCATATTATTAATTAATTCCAAGAAACCTTCTTCTAAAACATGAGCATCTGTAAATAAGAATATTGTTGGCTTTTATGTCAAAAGATCATATAAAGTCTTTAAATCTTCCCTGAATTCTTTCTCTTTATATCCTCTTGTCAAAGTTATTTAAAAGATATCATAACTAGCTGTAAATGCACTCAATCTAGTTAAAGATTATTTACCACTACCACCATAACCTACAAGTAATGCATGTCCTAATGGGAATCTAATAATTCTATGTATTTTAGTTAAATGTTCTAATGCATCTTTAAATAAAACTAGATTCATTTCTTTGACTTCTTCATTATAATCTTATAACAATGAGTTGAATTTTTGTCCAACTTTTTCAAATCCTCCACAATCTTCATATAATTTAGGATCAACTACATCTGGATCTAAAGGATTGGCTGTTAAATAATCACCAAAAAGCATTGGGTCTTAGATAGCATATTCAATAGTATCACTAAAATGTTCTCTAATAAGACTTGGAATCTTATCAACAGTAATAAGTTCTCTGTCTTAATCATTAATAAGACGATCTACAAATACTCTAGTTACTTCATTTCTCCATAACCTAATGAAGGATTCCTTTGTTTAGAATTTATCCAGAGTACTTCTACATAATCCTTCATAAATTCTACTCAAATCTCTTAAGTTGAAGATGTAATGGAATTTAACTGGAGTACGTGGAAGTTAAATAACAATAGCACTATAAATTTGTAAAGTTGCTTAAGTGATTTTAGCCACTGTAGATGAAACTTCTTCTGGGAATCCTTATAAATGTGCTTTTAAAATGGAATTATATATTCTCTCTAAATTTTCATTAGATGGGAATAATAATTGATAGCAATTAAACAAACTTAAAAACCTTGGATCCAAAGGATTAGCACCAACATTAGGTGGTAACACTGCAGCAACAAATTAAGTATCTTTAATTATTTTTTGATCAAGATTTTAACTTCTTTCATAACAAAAACCTTTTTCAATCAAGAATTTAAGCCAAGCAATAGGTTATTATGTACCATAAATATCAACTTTAGGCATATGAATATCATCAATAAAAATGATTAATTTTTTACCTGCAATTTTAGGACCAAAAATACGACCTGATCTTTTATCTATATTTTCATCCAATGCTGTTTGAACATCAATAGATTTAGTTCTTGATGAAAAATTGATATTTAATTTCATGTAATTTTCAGATGGTAAAGAATTCAAATAATTTGAGATGATAACTGATTTAGCAGTACCACTATCTCCTACAAACATACAAGGTTATTTGTGTGTGATATTTTATCCTAAAAGATAAGAGAATCTCTTAGTATCAACAGTTGGAACTAGGATTTTTGAGAATTTTCCATCATGAGGTGGTTAATATTCAGTAACTTTCTTTTCCCAAGCAACCCAAGCTTTATTATCCAAAGTATAATCAAAGAAAAGATCAAATAATGAACCAGGAGGAATATGTCTTTAAGCAACTCTTCTTAATACTTCTTCAAATTTCTTACGAGCATCAAATTTTAAGCATGCACCCAAAGACCAAACTATTGCAAAAATATAGGCCAATTCTAGATTTTCTTATTCGAATTAAGGATCTTCTTCATTAATAATAGTATCTAACATTTTAGTTAATTAAGTAATGCAATTTAAGTTAGTTCTAGGTATTGAAAATTCTAAGACATGTCCTTATTCTTCTCCATCAATACCTTCAAATATAAGATTCATCAATGGAGGAATATATTTAGAATAAAACTCTTCTAAGTTAGATTTCAAGCCTTCTGCTTTATCTCCTTTCTTCTACCATTTTGATAACCATTTATCATAAAATGGTTTATATCCTAAATTTTTAGGATCAACATAAACCATACCACATCTACTAATAGTTGCAGGAGAGGCATATTAAAGATCAAATACTTCAAATAATAATTTACAAAATCTTTCTAGACGAATACGATCTCCATTAATAAGTGTTAATAATTTATTATCATCCATAACTGAATTCATATTTTCAACCCAAACAGCATCAACATCACCATCTAATAAAATCCATCTTTAATGTACTTCTTATTAGCCAGATGGTTTTTCATTTGCAATACGGAAAATCTTACTCAAAATTCCATCTTTCCATTCTCTTGTTGTCATTTCCATCACACCATAAAGTTCATTAACAGTTATTGATTTAGGATTAATACAATAATAGGTAGCACTTTCTACTCTCTTTAAAATTTCAATGACTGCAGATTTGCCTGATCCAGTAGGTCCAACAACCATAGTTGTATGTCTAGTTAACATTGTTTCATATAACTAAACCACTTTATCAATTTAATCATCTAAAGGTCTATATCCTAATTATTCAACAATCTCTTAAATTCTATCTTTTTTTTCGTATGGTTTTCTTTTAACATCAATTTTAGGGAATAAGTCTGTAATTAATCCTTAAAACAAAGGAACATCTTCAAAAATGAATTTAGGCATATTCATATCTCTAAGTGCTCTCATTAAAACAGTATCTTCAGGTAAATCAGCAGCTTCTCTTTTAAGTGAACCTGCCATAACTAACACACTCTTTAATGCTCTCAATCCAAAATCATAATGATATTACTTACTTAATTGTTCACTACCCAATTTATAGAGTACAGTCATCTTTTTAGCTAAAACTCTAGCTGAATTGAATCCCTAACTCATCAACATTATTTCACATATAATATTTGAATCTGGAACTACCATGACCACTGGTCTAAATAGGGCTTTCAAATTATCAGGTAATTCAGTTCTACCAGCATATCCTGGATTCATTGTAACAAATATTCCTACTGTTGTTTTAACTTAGACTTCTTTTTTTAATAATTCAATTGTTTTCTTCTCTTATACTAATGCTTATTGTATGGTCTTAATTTGAACACTAACAACACTTAGAACTTCTGCTGTTATTCTATTGAATTCATCAAAACATCCCCAAAATCCTGTTTATACTAAACCACTAAATATAACACCCATAGCTTTATAATCCAAACCTTCACCACAATTCGTAACACAACATCTAATAGCTAAAGATTTTGCAAGATCTTTTACTGTTTCTGTTTTACCAGTTCCTGCAGGTCCAGCTGGAGCACCTCCTAATTTAAATGTTAAAGCTGTTGTCAATGTCATTACACATCTATCTGTTAATGGAGTTATAACTAATCTTCCATTTAATCCTTAATATTCATATCCATATGTGAAAGTACCTGTACATTATCTTATTCTTATGTCATTATCTTCTAAAACCCAATAAAATCTTAATTGAGATTCCCATTCAAATTCTTTAGCATCCAAAATTGAATCTTTAACAAAGAAATCTACAATATCTCTAGCATGCACATCAACAATAATTAATGTATTAATTTTAATACGATCTATCATTTTAAGGTCTGTTCTTACTAAATCAATTAAATCATCTAAATCCTTTGTTTATTTCTTTAACTCTTCTTTCATTGCATATTTATTACCCTCTTAAACCTTTCTAAATACATCTTCCACTCTCCAAGTCCACCATACTTATGTACCTGCTATTGAAATCATACCTATTTAACTTAGAATCCAAGGTACTCTCTCTTTATTTGCATAATGGAATATAGCCTCTTTTGTCATCTTTTTTAACGTTGATTACATTTCTTCATCAACTCTTGTCATCCATAATTCTACTGGACCATCTGTTTTCTATGGTTCCTTATAAGAAAATTCTTCTGCTTCATCAGATGCCATACCAATTACCATTTTATTTCTAGAAAGTAACATTTCCCTACAATTATCAAATAATTTTAATGTATGTGGCTAAACAGCTGATACATCACTTGATCCCAAAATTGATAACAGATCATCATCTGATAAGAAATAAAATCTTGGAAACACATTTCTTTTTGTATCTAAATAATCTGATAAGGATTTCTATCTTTTATCTAATTAATCAGATAAAGCCTTCAATTCACTCAATCTTCCATCATTTACCACACAACTAGCATAGATATTAGGATTCTTTGCAGTTTATTCCATAATTTTCTTATAAGCCTTATCATTTTAATCAAACTTCTTTGAATCCTCTCTTAATTATTATCTAATATCTTCAGATCCCATAAAGATACCCTCTAAATCTTACCATTTCTTTTAAACTTGTAACCAAACATCTATAACTTCACTTATTCTATTTAATGCTTATTCCCAATGTCTAATTCTTGAAATGAATGCAGCAACATATTTACTACTAGAAACTGTTTATAAATTAGCCAATTAATCTTCCAATAGTTGTTTTATCTCATCAACTGTTTTTATAACTTAAAATCCTTTCTTATCTTTATCTATTGTAAAACTTGCTGTTTTCCAAGCTTATTCAATTTTACTAATTTCTTCTTCATTTTTATGTTCTTGATTTGCTTCAGTACAAATTTCTGTAACCTTCTCTGGGAATCTTGCCAAATTTAAAGCAAAAACTTATTCTAATGTCATACTCTTAATTGATGTTTCAAATTTCACTCCAGTTTCTTTCATTAATTTTTCCCAATGTCTATCTGTTATTGCTCCACTCTTTAATTATTAAATTAATGGAATTGAATCTTTAAAATCTGTAATTTTCTTTGCTAATTTCTCATAAACTGTATTCTTCTCATATTATTTTGCTAATTTCTTCTTTTATTTATCAAAATTGTCTGCTCCATTTTTCAATAAATCTGCATCTAATTTAACCCATAACATAACAGACCATTCTTAAATCTAATTTTTAACTGTTCTATAGCAATCATATAAAACAGACAAAACTTTGTTTTCCTCTTCTATTGCAACTAATTCAGGAAATGAAGAGATTGGTAAATTGAATAGTTTTTCTGCTTTTACTAATTCTTCTCTTCTAGCATTTAATTCTGAAACAACAGTCTTATATTCTTATAGAGATTCTAAACCTTTATCTAAGGAAGTACTTTCAGCACCTGGACCACTTGCCTTAAAATCTTTATATAATAATTTAATATTTTCCTTAAATTGCTCTACCTCTTTTTTTGTTACTTCAGCAAATTCCTTTTTCTTTTCCACTAATTTTGAATCCTTCTTTTTAGCATGATTAACAAGTTCATTCCATCTATCATTCAATGAAAAAGCCTCTTCCAATTTCTCTTGTTCTACATTTTGTTAATACATCTTTAATGTTCTAAATCTCTCTGTAACATCTCCTATTTTAAATTCCATATTCATTGTCATATTCTTTATTTCTTAAATTAAATTTAAAAGTTTCTTCAAATCTTCAATATCCTTTGGTTACACCATTAATTATTCTCTATAATCATCAATCTCCTTTTTTATTCCTTCCAATTCTCTCATACCCAAAGTCTTTAACACTATACCATGTTTATCCATCCAATCTTTAGCTTGAGCTTTGAAACTTTCAATAACATTTCCAAAATATTCAGAAATAAAAAAGGCCTTTCTTTCTCTAGGATACTCTTCAAAATCTTATATCAATCCTTTGTATTTACTCATCATTATTTCTAATGAGAGAGTTGTTGGATTTTTATCTATTATTTTTTCTACAGCATGCTTTGCCTTTTAATCCCATAATGGTTTCTTTTTGTCATCTTCCCACATCTCCTTAAAATTATTAACTTTATCACTAGCCTTCTCTCTTATTATACCAATTTACATAGCAATTCTAGTAATAATTGGATTTCTTATAATTTAACTGTAGAATGTATGATACTGTATTTCTTCATTAGCACTACGACTCTGCTTCTTTTCACAAAAAATACAATATCCATCCATCCATCTCCAAAATCCTTATGAAGCTTCCTTTATACTTGTTGAAATCTTTTCTAAAACTGTTGTGACTTCAGGAATAGGAGGAATTGTATTTAATTAAGGATGATTATATTCTGCAGTGATCTAAAACAATGGTACTTGTTTTCCACTTGGTTATTACAATAAATTTTTAAAAGTTAAAAATCCTCTTAATGTCATTTTCACTAATGCATTGTAGATTCTTCTTTCCCAATAATAGTAATATTCTCTCATTCTAGGTTCGCCTTTAGATGAACTATTGAAAATAGATTCCTCTATATTTCTTAAGAAGTTATCTCCAACTAATTTGTATTTCTCTACCAACTCTTCTATTGTTTTATTTAGATGTTCTTCAAAATAACTTTAGAATTCATTCAATTAAGGTAATGATGCATTTTCCTTTCTTGTCTCAAAATCATATTCTCTTAAAATTTAAGCTTCTTCAATTGATTTTACTATATCTTCAATCATTCCTGTTGACTTTCTTACTTTCTTCTTAATATCTCTAAATTCGTTAATTGCTTTAAGACAATTATCAATAAAATCTGGAATTCCCAAAGATGCCAAATTTAAAGATTCATGTCCAGGTTCTAAAGCTCTATTTAATTTCATAATTTTTTCTTTCAATAACTCCTTCTCTATTGGTTATAATGTATGAACTGCTTCATCATATTCTCTTAACATTATTTACAATCTATCAATATAACCATAAAATTCTTTCTCTAATTTTGATATATTAATAGTTGTCTGATTGATCTTATATCCCATTTTTTCTAATTACTTTGTTTCCTTAATCAAAGTTTTAAATTCATCTTAAAAGAACACTGTATATCTACGATTCCAACTTCCTTCTTCTTTTGGTTATTCATGTTTAGTTAAAATTCTATTTTTTTGATATTGCAAAGCTTTTTCTGTAATTGATTTCTCCCAACTTTCAAATTTTTCTTTTTAGAATTAATCCAATTTCTTTGCTAATGTTCTATATTAATTTTTTGATTCATTATATTGTGAACCTAAATCTTTAGGATTTTTGCCCTCTTTATTCTCTTACTTCTCTTATGAGTCCTTCTTTTCAATAAAAGTGTCCTCCCTTGTTATAAATTTAAGAACTGGTCGTTTAATTCTATAAAATATTGATCTTGCCCAACTTATAGAACCTGCAACAGGTGGACGATTTTTTGATGATATAAGGGCTACATCAGTTGCTTATTATCCTTTATCAAATAATTTTTGATTATCTTCTAATTCCTTCTAATATTATTTAAGCACTTCTAAGTACTTTTTTTATAAGGTTGTACTGATATCGTCTAATGTATCAATACTTTTAAAATTTTATAATAAATCAAAAGCACCTTCTGCTGATCTTAAGGATTTAAAGGTTTCATCAATTAATTCTATTGTTTTTCCTACAATTTACTTTTAATTCTCTTAGAATTTTTAATAAATTGTTTTCCATTAACCTGCATTTCCCTTTTAAAAGAAATTATAAGGACTATTAACTATAGGAGTTATTAATTATTTAACATCTTCTATCCTTTTATCAATTTCTTAAGCATTTCCTGTTACCTTTTTTAAATTTGGACCCAAAAAAACTAAGAATTTTCTCACTGTATCAATTACTTTTCTCAATTCATCCAATCTATTTGCCATATACTCAATTCTCTCTTAAATAGTTCTGACAGTAAAATCCCAACGATCAAGATTCTCTTCTTCAATAGCTAATTTTGTTTTATGATAGAGATCCTTCCATGATTTAAGAATTTCAGAACCTTACATAATTAAATTGATGCTAGTTTCCAATTATATTTCATAAGGTAAATCATCTCTCAATGTAAATAATTAAGGTATTTTTATTTAAGATTCTACTTTATCAGCTATTTCTTCTGAAATTAATTGTAATAGGTTCTGCATCTTATCTCCTTCCTTATAATGTCTAGAAATAATCCAAACCATCTTAAGTCCATTCATAAGAGAAGGTAATGTTTCTTTTATTCCATTTAATCCATCTTAGTCTAAATTTTTAAATTATCTTTCAAGAGTTGTGAGAAATTTAACATTGTCCTTAGCTTCAGCCTAAGCTTTTGTTAATTCTGCAAATTAGCCATTAAATTCCAGCACAGATGATTAATTGTCTTCTAAATAGGTTTATAATCTCTATCTCACTTTCGCTACGATGGGGTTTTACTAATATTAATTAATATATTGAAATTACAAGTTATTAATACAAAGTACTCAAATTTGCTGATCTAGATCTCCATAACATGATATCCGCCAAAGCAGAATTCTTTTCAGTTTTTCTACTAGCTTCCTTCAATATAGTTTGCCTGATTGTTTATGACCATTTCCCTATATAGTCTTCATATTTTTCCATAAGTTCATAATTCTTTAGGGCAGTTTCATCATCAATTTGATCAACAACATCTGGCAGTTCAATTGTAATGGTGCCTGAAACCTTAAATTATAATTTAAATAGCTACCTGTTGGCTAGAATGTTCTATTTGACTAGTAAACTTTTAGAGAGTGGTCCGCAATTCAACTTTCGATTCTAAAGGGATATACACTCTCTCAACAAGCAGCTGTAACATTTACAGTTGCTTGATGTTGGTTGGTTTTGCACTTTAAAGTGCACTTTTTGAATTCATTAAAAATATTTATGATAAGATATTTAATTCTCATTTGTTTAATAATTACAGAGTAAATATATTATAAATAGATAAAATTATACAATTCTTCAGCTATTAATAAATTATTTATTTGTTTGAGGGGTTTTAATCTCTGATAATAAAATATTTTATTTAATATCTTCCTCTTCCTCTGAAGATTATTAGTATTAAAATTTGAAATATGGTTATATTTTAAATTAATATTCTTGATTTTATTGAAAATCATTTGTTTCATTGATAAACTCTATAATTCTTTATAAAGTTGTCGAAGGCCTATTAGAATTATGATCTCCTTCACAAATATCCAATTTTTTAGGCATTAAACAATTTTCATATAATTTAAGACTATATTAAAAAGAAATGAGAGTATCAGATTTGCCGGCTACAAAAAAGAACTTCTTATTAGGTATAATTTATTTTAATTTATCTATGGGATTTAGAAGATTGATATCAAATTAAGCTTAATTTAATATTTTCCTTCTCAAAATTGGGATGGCCAGATATAATATGAAAGAAAAAACTCCAAATTATCTAGTTCCTATGTCTTACAATAATTATCGAAATTCTGAGAAAGCGCTATCTATGATGTATGCTCTAATTTTGGAATTTTCAGTTAAGAGAAGTGCAGTCACTGCTCCCATGCTTCTACCCCATAACATAAATTCATCAACTTTTCCAAAATTGATTTCAATATATTTCATTAGTTCTATAACATCTTAACTTTCATATACTCCCATAGTAATATAGTCCCCTTTAGACATACCACAAGCAGCAAAATCTAAAACACATAAATTTATATCCCATGAAGCCAAGATTTCAGCATACCTAATACCCTCTAATCTACAACTTGCATTTCCATGTAAATAAATCATACATCTATGAGTTTATGCTTTTGTAAAAAAATAACTAGCATTCAATTATATATTTCTGGATTCAAAAACAAAATCAACTCTGACAATTGCTTTCGTTTATAGAAATCGTATTTTTGGTCCTTTTTGTAATGTACAATGCATTACCTAGATCACTTATCATATATTATCTACGAGGGGGTCTAATAATTTGACGACAATAAGAATCGAAACAATTCATAATTATTATGATAGTAGAGAATGTTAAAAAAAGCAAATTCTCTTTCTCTCGAAAGAGTGATTCTGGATAATAATGTAAATTAGAGTAGTTTAAGAATAAACTTTAAGGTATGATATTTTTGTATGTGTAGGGGATGTACTGCAATTTCTAAAGAATACTAAATAGGATGATTAATCTTTATAATCCTTTTTGAAAAGGTTAGGAATAAACTTAGAAGGTGATGAAGAAAAGTATATTTTGGATATAAAAGAATATCATACTAAATATGTAGAAGGAGATATTTTAGGAGAAGGTTGTATAGGATTAGTAAAAAGTGTTAAAAGAAAGAGTGATGATTTTGAATTTGCTTGTAAAACAGTGAAGACTGACTCTGAAGAGATTGTAAAGAAAGTATAAGTTTAATTGTATTCAAAAGATGATAATGGAATTTAAAAACCTAAAGAAATTGAATCATCCACATATTGTATCTATGAAAGAGATCTATATTTAATGGAATGAAGGATTCTAATCAACTGGAATGGTGTGTGTAATAATGGAGAAAATAGATGGTAGAGAGATGTTTGAGGTTATTTAATAATAAAAACAATATAGTGGTATTATTTTAACTAAGAAAGAGACCATTGCTAGGGTGTTGTTCATACAGATTTTGGAAGCCATTAAATATATGCATGAAAACTATTGTTGTCATAGAGATTTAAAGCCAAATAATATCCTTTGTGCTCATGATGGTAAATCTATAAAAATAACTGATTTTAATGTATTGAGATTAGCTAAATAATAGGTTTCAAAATTTAATGATAGCTATAAAGAATTTGGAGATCTTAATTAACATGGAAAGATTGAAATGTGGACATATACAGGAACTGTTGCATTCTCAGCTCCTGAGATATTTTCAGGAAATCTTTATAAGTAATTCAATTTATGTAATTAGTGAATAAGTTGATTTATGGAGTGCTGGAGTCATATTATATGTCATGCTAAGTGGAGAATTACCTTTTAATTCTGAATATTTAAATGATCTTATTGAATAGATTAGACAATGTAAATATGAATTCACTGGAATTATTTGGGATTAAATCTCATAATCTGCTAAAGATCTAATTACTAATCTATTATAATTAGATCCTGATCAAAGATTCACTCCTGAATAGGCACTTAATCATCCATGGATTATGCATGAATAAAGTAGTTCAGATATTCCAAGATATTAATTATAAATTAATATGCCTCGTATATTGAGAGTTAAAAATATTAATCAAGAATCCAAAATCAAATAAATTTGCTATCTTTTTGGGGCTGGAGATATTTGGAAAAGACATTCTCTAGGTTAAGATACCAATCTAGATCTATATGATAATCTAAAGAAATATAGATCTATTGATATATCTGATAGTTGGAAAAATGCTGAAATCAAAGTAACGAAGGATTCAAATAAAAAAGGTGTTTATACTATTGATTATTCCTTTAGTGATTCTGATTGAATTATATCAATAATTATTTATATTTTGGCTTTATTAACTCGGCATATATTCTATTATGAATATACTTAGTTGGTTTATTATATTAAATTCTTATTCATTATTCTTTATCCCTCTTCTAAGTATACTAAGATATAATTTATAATATTTTATCGATATTAATCTAAGTTTTTAATAAAATAATCATAAGGATTGATTGGACCTTTATTCATTAAAATCCTTTTAATTCTGATTCCTTTTATATTTCTTTAAGTTCTATTAAATCTTGACTATTTCTTGGATCAGTTAAAAGTTGATCTTTAACTTCAACTGGTGAGTTTCCATTTATCATAGATGATACTATTTCATCATAAGTTATAATCTTTTATCCCCATTATTTATATTAATAATAAATTCCAAAACAGGCTAAAATAATAATACATGTGAAGTAAATGTAATATCTATAATCTGAGTTACCTGACATACTTTTAATTTCTGAAGGAAATCCTCCAGCAATTAATCCAATTGCTTTAAATACTAAGTATGACTATATAAAATTTATAAATATATTTATACTCCTAAAAAACTAGTACTAAAAATTATTAAATGATCAAATAATCTAAAAGATAAAACACTAAACCCAAAACTTAACACTGCCATTATTATATATAATATAATTTCTGAAGTAACGAATTTAACCAATATTGCATTCCATAATAATAAAGATAAAACCACTCCCAATCCAATTCCTACTGCAATAATCCCAACCTTATCCAAATGCATTGATAATCCTCCTACAAAAGCTCCTAGTAAAACTGCAATTATCATTGCAATCCATAAATAAAAAGGATTATCTCCTAAATCTAATTCACTTGAGATATACAATGCAAAAAAAAAACCAAATAAATATCCAAAAATAAATAGAGTCGGCTTTAAGATTTTCTTACCCATTAAGCATTCTGTCAACCCTATCATTATCAAAATTGCTGATAAAAATTTCTTATTATTATTTAAGAACTCAACAATCTTAGAAAATAAAACTAAATGACATCCATTATCAGCTTCCATATCAATTATATATTTTTATTTATCTTTTTCATAAGATATCTCCAATATATTTAAATTTTCTTATTATTCTGAACAATAAAGCACATATTTTACAAAAAAACCATTTAAAGGGCTATTTTTCTATTAAATCAATACTTATTAAATTCTGCCTACACGCCTTTATTTAATTCATCTTTATCAATCAGTTCAAATGAATCTGCAAAATATTAATTTGTGTCAATTAAAGAAATACATTATTGTTCTTATTTTCCTTCATTGTTTATTATAACAGCAAATGTATTTACAGCTAATTCTGGACATTTTAGAATAGGTTAACAAAATCGAAAATATAATGTACTTGTTTCTAAATCATCAATCAATAAATACCGTTTAGAATTTATTTGTATTCTTTTGCTTATAAATCATCAAATACATATATGGCATCAGAATTAATTACTTTTTTACATTTGCTACCTTAAATTGTAATTAACAAGCATCCTAAGATTAGTATAAAATAATTATAATTCATTATTATTAAATCAAATTTATTAGAAATTATCAAAATTCCAATAAATTACAATCCTTAAAGGATTAATAAGAAAATAAAAAATATTATATATTGAATTTGGTATTTTTATGCTTTAAACAATTACTTTAGAAGCTTAATTGAATATCTGCTCAGACAATCTTTTTTAATAAAAGAAATCAATCCAATTTAATATAAAATAATTTTAATAGTTAGAAAAAGTAATCAAGATTTATTTCTGAATTGTTTTCCTCAATATAATTCAAAATTGGATGAATTTTTTTTAGCACTTTTTCATTTATATTTAAGTTGATATATTAAATTGATATCAAACCATCTCGATCTGAATCTAATTATTTAAATATTTTTTCAACAAAAGCAATATCATTTATTACATCTCTTTCTTTACTAATCTAGTTAGCATTTTTGTTATTTAATTTCATCATTTTGTTTGCAATTAAATTTGCCAAAATTTAATCTTATTTTTCTACCTTCTTTTTAACTAGTTTAAATGTTTAATCTTTTCTAATCAATGGTTTGAAATATGGCTAATTAGTAACCTTATCTTTTAATGTTGATTCTTATGCTAATCTTCTTTTTTACATCTTCTATTCTCGATTAGCTTATTCTTAAATTAATTTTTCAGCATGATAGAGCTATTCCTATTTTGAGGGTTTTTTGGCAAAAGTTAAACCACTATTAGGATGAAATGGATAAATTTAACTCATTACTCTGTCTCTTAAGATTTTTTTCTTTGCCTCAAGCAATTTGGCATCTTAATATAATTTAGAATGAATAGGTTCTTCAGAACTACCTCTTTCTTTAACAATTAAACGAGATATGCTATTAATTTTTGGTATAGCATAATTTATTTATTTTTATTCTTGATCATGTTCCTGTAAAGCAGTTCTTAATCTTTTTTATTAATTATTAGCATCTGCATACAGTTATTCAAAAACATCGGTCTCTTTTATTATTTAATTTGATACCTGTTTTATTCCTGTACAATTTTTATACTAGTTGTTGAGTATTTAAAGAAAGAATAGAAGTATGACGAGTTTTTACCTGAAAAACTAAAACAAATTAATACTGAAACTTTTAGCTATTTTCTTATCTCTGCAATAATAAATTATTTTCCTTCTTATCTAATCTGATGTCGATCACAAAAAAATTGAGTCAATAGTTCAATGTCATCACCTTCATAAATACAAATCTGCTCTATTTTTTCCCCTGTATCCAAACTAACAATTGCTTACAAATTAATCATAAGACAATAAAAATTATTTAAAATGTGGGAAATATTAATTCAATACTAAATTCTAAAAAAAATAATTTATTTGATTGGTTATAAATGTTTAAATAGAATTATATATCAGATTGATAAATAAAAGAATAAAGCCTATTAAAATAATAGCCTTTTGAAAAATTTTAATATCTTTATATATAATGTCCCTAAATTTTTTCTATTTTTAAATGAATTCAGAGCTAATGAAAAATTTTGGTTTTTGTTAGAAAATGTCACAAAATCTTGTCGATATAAAAGAAATAATATAGGCATAATTCAAATAACTTCCTTCGATTCTTTTATGATCATTTTTAAATTAGAATATTATGTATTTAAAATATGAAAAAAAAATAAATGTTCTTATATAATTTTTTTAAAAAAATAGTAAAATAAAAGAAAAAGAGGAAAATTAATCATCTGAGACTTCATAATTTTAAAAAAATATAATCAAATGGAATTAGAATAAAGCGTAATATATAATAAGTGAAAGTATAGAAAAATTTAAGTAATTTAATAGTTCTATGTATTTATATTGGTCATTTCTTACTTTAGAAATTCAAAACCATATAAACTTTAGAGATAAAAATATTAATTATCTAAATCAAAAATTGATTCAATTTAGTTTAAAACTAAAAAAAATTTATTAGAGATTAACTAACAGAATAAAATCTGAATGACAAATTTTTATACCTAAATTAAAATCAATTTAAAAGATTACTCTTATATAATTTACTAAAAACCTACAGTAGCAGTAATTATATGAGAACATTATCATTGTAAATATTCACTAACAAATATTAAAAAATTCATCTTCAAATTTAAGTAAGACTTCATTTGCTTAATCTGCTATCTCTTGATTATTTGATAAAGCATATTACATTAAATAATGGGGATAGTCCATCTGAAATGCTTAAACACTATCAGTATTTAATAAATTATTTAAAGATTATAAAATATATAAGGTAGAGAATTAATCAAGAGAAAAGTCTTTTAATAAATCCATCAATATTATATGAGTTTCTAATTCAACTAAATTTTAAATTTATAATTCGTTTGAACTTTCAATTAAAATTTTAATGCATCTTATAGAAGCTTCCCTCACCTTTAATGGGTAGCAATCTTCACTAAATCTAATTATTTCTTTTAAAATTATATTATCTTCATAAAAAGGTTATAAAAAGCTGTTAAAATCTTATGATAATTAATAAAATATTATGCTTAATAAATTTAGAATATAAGGTATTAATTCATTATTATTTAATCTGATTATCGATTTTGAATACTCAATTATATGACTTAATAATATTTCATAAAAACATTCTGGCCCATTTATACAAAAATAAGATAGCAATCTGGTAATTTATTCAACCGTTATTGTTATTTCTAAACTCAAGTTTATTAATTTAAGTATCAAATCATAATCTTTTTGAATATAGTTTAATTTTAATTTTTATACAATGATGCAATATATCTCTATCTAATCTGTTATAAATTATGGCTTCTCTTTTAATCCATAATTTAATAGTTTTTTTATTATCATTAATAGATAATCACAATCAAACAATACAAAATCATCGCATATAAAACTTACAAAATTTTTTAGACATTTTGAAATTAATAAAATAAACTGATTCTCATTTTTAGAAATAGATAAATCTGTAAGATCATTTATTGATATTATTAGATCCAATTACTCAATTTTTTGGGAATTAGGACTACACCAAATATTTATTAAAAGTTCGAGGGCACTTCGTATTTCATTTTGATTTGATAATAAATTAGATATAACTTAAAGTATATTAAAATTCGCATAGTTATTAGTGAGTAGTTTTTGTTAAATCTCATCTGAAAAAAATGTTAAATTAATAAATATTGTTAATGACTCTAAAACTAAGGTATTTTTATTGGCAATTTAATACATTAATAGTGAGAGAAAATTATCGATATTTTTTTCAATTAACTAAATTTACTCATTAGAAAGTTCTTAATTAATACAATAGAGTAAACAAGAATTTAATTCCTTCAAATGGTCCTATGTAATTATTCTAGGATTGATTATCATATCGATTAATTGATTGAATGAATATACTTATTGTGTTTCTGTATTAATTAGTACTCTTTTCTATTTGAAAATATTTTAATGAAACTACTATCTAATTTAAGTTCTAAATAATTCCCGCTTGTATTTAATCATATTCAGAAAATCAAAAATAATTAAAATAATACTTATTCTTTAATAAACAACTCATCCAAAAAGAATAAAAAAAAACTTGCTTTTAAAAATAATTTAATATTGCTTGATTTATTTAAAATTTTTACAGAATTATATATTGATTATTTTAAATGTCTTTCCAAAAAAACAAAACTCAAACTTAGAAAATTTTATGAAACTTAAATGTTAAAAAATCTAGGAATATGTGAATAAATGAGTGATTTAGATAAGTATTTTATAATTAATAATCTCTTTTTTTTTAGAGAATTTATTTTTTTCACATATTTTTCAATGTGATGTGTTGGGTTTAAAATGAAAAATTTGTTGTCATATTTATGAAGAGGAGGATGAGAGATCATTTAAATGAAACTTTTAAATATTTTTTGTTTCAAAAATAAAAATATGTTTGAGATTAAAAATTGATAAATAATATAATTTTTAAGGTAGAATGATGAGATTCTAAGTTTCAATATGTAGGTGATTAAATATCTGAAGATTTTTAATCATAACAGATATAAAAATAGAAATTTTTTAAAAAGAAAAAAAGTAAAATTGATTTTTTATTTTATTTTATTATAAGTGTCATAGTTTACTAACTATTTTAGTGATCTGTAGATTAAAAAATTTATTAAAATTAATGAAAACAAGGAATTCTTAGAGATAGTATTAAAGAGAAGACTTATCAGTGACTTGTTAAGAGGTATTAACAATAATTTCTCATATAATCTCATACCTTATATATTCACTATTTTTAAGCCTTATTTTAGAATTTATCTATGAGTGAATTTCCCCTTAATAGTAGTGCTTAGACTCCAAGAAAGAAAAGAGGACCAATCTGTAAGAAACACAAATATGTACTTCTGTTATTTAAATAAAGACCACAATAAATTTGAAAAAACATAAATCCTCGAAATAATTTATCTGCTATGAAGATAGAGATTTAAATATTCCAGAGAAATATTAATCAATGTTATAAAAACATGTAAGAATTATATTTAAAAAATAAAGAAATCAGATGATGATAGAGATTCTGATGATGAATAAATAAAACATGCCATTAATTACTTGTACAAAGACTTATTATAATGTATTGAAAGAGAAAAGAATTGAATTATATTAATTTTATAATGCTAAAAAAGTATCTCTTGTAATGCAACTCTAAAGACTACTTTCAATAAAAAAGAGTTCATACCAAAGATTCTGAACACACCAGGCATTTTGAGTAGCATGTACATCTGATAAACTATGAAAAAGAATTATTTAAAGAGAAACATAGCAACAGAAACTAAGCCAGTATTAAAACCAATTGACATGGAAGAAACTAGAAAAGAAGAGATTTCTAAGTTTCGTTCTATTTCACTTTATAATAAGAAATAAGTTCGATTACCATCTTCAGCTGAGAAGTGTCGTTCTAATGAAAAAATTAAAGTTTTTAATATATTCAACAGTACACCAAGAAATGTAAAACCTAGTCGATCATAATAAATGTTAAATGGATTTAAAGAAAAAGTTGTGTATTCATCTCATAATAGAGTATAATTAAATAATCAAATTTTAGTAACCATCTGGTGCTAAACCTCCAATTTCTAGTAGAATCAATGAATCCTAAGAATTAATTTAAAAGGCAATCAAACCTAATATGATTCCATTGAGGAAGTTTTTTAATGATAATCAAGTCCAGCAGAAATAACATATTAAATTAGAATTAGAAAAGCATACAAATAACAATATTTTAGAATTATTACTCTTAACTACTGGAGAATTAAAGAAAAAATTCTAGGATGAACATAAGTTAAGAGATAATAATAGTAGATAAAACTCAGAGGAAAGAGTAAAAATTAAAGTAAGAAACAGCCATAAATTTCCAAAGGATTTCTTTCTATGATTATATTTTTTAATTAATGTTCAATGTTCTCAATCAACTTTAAAATAAATTCATTTTTCAAATGATGATTAAATAAGAGCTATAATCTTAGAAAATTTAGATAAGAATTGCAATAATTCAAAGTTAATAAAGAGAAAGAATCAGAATTTTTTTTTAAATTAAGAGAAATTCTATCCTTAATAGATAAAACATAAATTTTATTAAATTTGAGCAAATCTTAGAAAGTCAATCATCACATTCGTTATAAAAAGAATTTAGAATCAATAATTAAATATTTTTTTATTTATCTAGAGAAGCAATAATCCCTTGATATCATATTTTTCTGATCTATTAATTTTAAATATAAGAAAAATTATAGAGATAATCAAATATTAAATAAAGAATTTTATAAATTTATTTGAGGATTACCATTTCAAGTTATTTAGGATGACTATATTATTTAATTAATTCCTATTACTTCATTAGAAATTTGTAATAATTAAAGGTTTTCCAAAGAAATAACTAAAATTTTAAATATTTCCTATAAGAAATACCTGCAACCTAACAACGATGTGTTTATTCGAACTTTATGTGAAAATATATTGTTTAAAAAATAAGTTTGATTAAAAATGAGCATTCTTAAATAAAATAAGAGTTTATATCCTAATATTATTTAGATAATTCTACTCTTGTCAAAATGATTTCCAGCCAATTAACACATATTCTAATATATTAATCTTGAGGCTAAATAATTATATTATAAAATTCTTATTTAATCCCTCAAGAAACCGTTTATAAAAAGGATTTTAGAGAAAGAACCAAAAATAAAAAATATATGCAATTTAACTATTTTGAAACTAAATCTTTTTTATCAAAATATTAAACAGAATTAAATATAGAATTTCAAACAATATCTATTATGGAGAAGGAATACATCCATTATTCATTAAATTAATTATAATATAATTTTATTTAGATAAAAATTTTTATAAAATTTATAATGATTTTTAGTTATATCAATAATGAAATATCATTTGAAAAAATCAAAAAAATTTACTAAGAGTTTCCATTAAATTATTCCTCAAATCTGAAAAGATTTTGGGAATTAAAATAAAGAATCATTACAAAAACCTTGGATAAACAATAAATTATTTAATAAAGTAAATTAATGAAGATACGATTAATCATTTCGCAAATCTTGAATTACTGTAACTTATAATTAAACATTTCAATGAAGTAAAATTTAAAGATTAGTATAACTTTCTTTAATTCTAAATTGATTTAGTATACTAAATTTAAAAGTAGTTGAATAATTAGTGAAAGTAGAAACTACTGATATTAAGGCTTTACAAATTATAATTAATATTGCTATCATTAACTTTGAGGAAGTTAAATATAATTTAGATCTTTGTAATAAAGGAATAAAATTATTTAAAAGATATTTAGTCTATCCAAAGAGAGTGGTTAGAGAAGCTGTTTAAGAAGAAATAAATAAATTGTGTATAGTATTTTGTTAAGGTTTATGATTTTAAATAAATTAATCATTATTTTTTTAATCTCACTAATTATTACATTAGTTGTTCATTTTGTTAAAGCAAGTGTGCAGTTTTATTAATTTATTCAATATTTGGTTTTTATGCATCATCCTTCTCTGCTTCAAGTATTGCACATTTTTAGTTCAATTTTTCTATTTATTCTTTTTATTATTTTATCTGTTCCTATAACTATAAGATGACTGTTAAAAGACTTGATTAATCTCCATCTATTGATTCAATTCCATCTTCAAAATGGTTAATTTCTTTTTATTATTGTATCTATCTATGTGATTTTGCTGATTTCATTGGAGTAAAGTATAAACTACGAGCACTCATAGGTTATCTATAAGTCTGATTACCATTTGTTTTTTTAATCGGTTTTGAAACAAAAAAATCTGAGTCCTCTTATTCTGATTTATATCTAATTGATTATCTTTCTTAACAATCTTGCTAAATTTTCTAAACCACTTTTTCAATATTATGTTAATGTAACAAAATTGTCATAGATCTAATATTATATTATTTCATATTAAAATTAATTGAAACATTTAATGAAATAACATTATTCTACAAGTATATTTTTAATGTGAAAAACAGAATTATAAAATAGAGAGAGCCCTAATATAAAATTTGTAAAAATTAAGTTGGGAAACTTCATATAAGAATTTTTATGTTAATTAAAATTTATTGAAGATGAGAATTTTCAAATTTAGATTAACTCTAATAAAATTGTTAATTTTTCATAAGGAATTTTAATTTAATATTACATTTATGTTAGTTATTGTACAAAAAATTTAGATTTAAATTTTACCACAATGAAATATAATAATATAAACTTTTTTATAAAATCGTAGTAGTCAAAAGTAATCATATAAAATTAATATTTTTTCAAGATATTAAATATCCCTCAAACTTAAAAATAAAAGCTTTGTTAATGATGCTATTTATTTTATTACTTTTTAAATGAATAAAATTCTCTTAAATTTTAAACGAATAAATTAATTATTAAATGGATTAAATAGCAATAGATTAAAATAAAGAACAAGTTTAAATAAAAGGAATTTAGAATTTGTTCTTTCCCAATAAAAGAAACTTTCATATTTATGTTGAATTGTTGAAATAATGTCAAAAAAAACTAATTGTATGTATGTATCAAATTTCACATAAAATATTGGTCAATATTTTAATTGACCTTTCACTGAATGGAAGGGATATATAAATTATAACTAATTAAAATAATGAAAATACTAAAGAGAAGTAGATCCTTTTAATGATGATTTAAAGTTCTTTAGAAAAAATTAAAATTGCAGTATATGAGAATTAATTTTGTTTAATGCATTCAAAATATTGTGTGATAGATGACTAAATTATAATGACAGGTTCAGCTAATTGGACTAATAATGCATTTAGAAAAAATGTAGAAAGTGTAGTTATTTTGAATAATGAAAAAGAGGCATAGAAGTATGTTTTAGAATTTGGAAAGGTTTGGAATAAATCCCAACTTTTAAGATTAAAAGGGTAGAATCTTGACTTTTTGCCATTTTTAAATATGGAATAAATGATGTTTGTAGGAAGAAAAAGATAGAAGACCAAATTCAATAAAATAATTGATTTAGAAAACAGTCATCTATAAGAAGAAAATAAAGATGAGGAAGTTAAAGAATAATCAGATGAAAGTAGCTAAGATTATTGTTAGAAAGTTATTTATATTGATAGTAATACTAAGAGCAAAAGAATTAAACACAAATTAGATAAGGCACTAAATTTATAATATAATGATTTAAAGGAGGGAAATCTAGTAATTTAAATAGATTCTTCCAATTAATAAAATATAGTTTAAATTGATGAAATTGAAATTATATTATGATCAATAATAATTATATTAAAAAATAAAATATAATATTATAATGACCTTAGTAATAGATGATTTATAAATATTGGATTACGATTTATTTGGCAAATGTACTGACATGATAGTAATTTTAAATACATAATAAAAAGAGCTTTATATCAAATAGAAGCCCAATTCAAATCACATAACCTTAAATAAAGGCGGTAGCAAAATTAACAAATTAACTCATTTAAATTCTAAAGAATTAAGAAGCTTGGAAGTTTTTAAATTAATCAGAGAATGAAGAGATAATTTTTATCTTGAAAAATAACTTTAAAAAAATTTAAAAGGAGAAATAGGATTTAGAAGCAAAAAATTATGAGTTAAATAATTAAAGAGATGAGTTTTTGAGATAAATATAAGAATTAACTAAAGATAGAGATAGCGAAAAAAATTAAAAGTATAAATTAAGTTAAGAAGTAAAATTTTAGTTTATTTTAGAATTAAGCTAAATATGACTTTATCTAATAATTAGAGGAAACAAAAGATGAATTATAAAAACAATTTGAGAATTAGAATAACTAATTAATAGAACATAATGAATAATTACAAAATGAAGTGAATTAATTAAATGTTATTCTGAATTTCAGGAATTAGAAAATCCAAAATTAAGAGGGAGAAATTACAAACCTCTAATAAAATTTAAATCAACTTTTAAATGATTAAAATCAAGATCAAAATCATGATCTCTTTAATAAATTTGAAGGTATTTTCGAAGAGAATTAGAATCTGATGGATTAACTTAGATTTGCTATTTAGAATTCTAAAGATTTCTTTCATAGATTTAATATTGAAGATGAAGAACAATAACCTCAAAATGAGAAACTAGAAAATCAAGAATTCATTTAGGAATTAAAAAAATGTTAAAAAAATTTCCTTGATAATTTTCATAGTTTTTCTGCTATTAATAAGTGGCTTTTTTATGTTTTTGGAGCTTATGTAATATTAAAATTAACTTAATGATATATATAATTTATTTAGAGAAAGTAATTTTATATTAATAAGAATTTATTTTATGAAATAAAGTATTCTTTAGTTTGCTAAGATTATTTGTATAGATAATATTAGAATATTAATATAAAAATATAAATTATAATTAAAGATGGTAACTTATGTGATATTTTGAATTAGTAACCATTGAATGATATAAATGTTGATGAAGTATTAAAAGGATTATCAGCTGTAGAAGGAGCAAATGGTTATGTAATATTTAATTAAGACTGTAAAAATTGAATAATTATATTTCTTAGGTATTCCTTTAAAAAGATCAGAAAAAAATATAACTTACGAAAAAGCTGTTCATATGTCTGCTTTAGTTGCCGATTTATGGAATGTTACAAAGAAATGTATCTAAAGAGAATTGAAAAGTCTCGATGTATTAAATGAATGTAAATATTTTAGAATGATCTTGAGATAATTAGAATAAGAACAAAAGCTTAATCTGAATATATAATTTCATAATGTAATATAGATTAATAATCATATAAGAGGGTGATTATACAATGATAGGTATACAATTATGTGGAAAAGCTATAGAAGAGGCTAAATTAGCTGCAGCTGCTGAGGCTTAGGCTGCTGCTGAAGCAGAAAAGGCAAAAAAGGGAGATAAAGAATAAAGTTGATTTCAGCTATTAATTATAATATTAGAAATATTTATTATTATTAATGGCATTTGATAAGACTGTTGTTACAAAAATTACAACTCTTGGAGTTGCTGGAATTACACTAGCTGTAGCTATTTGGGGTTTTTTTGAAGAGATTACCTTAAATAACATAATGATTTGTATCAATCTAATGTATAATATTGATGGAATTTAGAATCATATCAATGGTTTTATTACCTTCTGAATTTTAAGTAGCATGGATAAAAGATGGATTTGGATTAATAGACAATTTATTTGGTAGAGGGATTTATATTTTCTTGTAATATTTCATACTTATTAAAGCATTGGATCTTGGGTCTTTGGTTTACACAGTAGATATTCTGGAGCTGGAATATCAACTTATGCTTTTATAGTGGGGATTATAGATTTATGTGTTGGTGTCCTTTATGTAATATTTTATTTTGCAGTACAAACTTATTCTATATTCAATAGTTTGGTGACTCAGCATAACCTAAGTGAATTTATAAATTTCATATTATAATATATAAATAATTTCTTTTTAATATGATTAAATATTCCTTTTAATTAAGAGATTATTAAAGAACATTCGTAGTCTAAGGTTTTTTACTTTTTTAATTAAAATAACATTTTTTAATATAGTTATTGTTTATTATTCAAAATCATTCATTCTAGTTTTTATTTAAGTCTTGTTTGAATTAAAGTAATCACATAAATAATAAAATATAATATTTATGTCATGCTGCTTTCTGTTATATCTACAGTACAAGATATAATAAATCCAATTAATATATATGCAAATTTATTTTTCATTCCAAAAATGACATAAAATAGTAGTAAACTTTAAATGATGTAGATCGTCAAAATAGATGTCTACATCATAAAAACACAAACCATAAGAGATGTTATAAGTGATCCTTTGTCAGTAATAATAAATTATAGTAAAGGTAATAATATAGAAAGTTTACAGACAATATTTTCGCAAGTAAATAAATAGTAAATGTATATAAATCCTGGAATTAAAGATACAATTTATGCATGTCTAAGATTATATTAAAAATGCACACCAGTTTTCCATGATAAATCAATCAATAAATATATTGAGATTATTAATCCAACAAAATTTAAGAAACTACATAATTTCATTGTAAGAAATATAAAAAATGGAAAAATAATGATAAAAGCAATTACAAATAATCTTATGATGACACTCAATATGAAATTTACAATAGCATAGTTTGTTATAAAATATGAAAAAAATCCAAATTAGATGCTAGTTTAGATTGGTTATAAAAGTAAGGAGCATTTTATATTTTTTAGAGCTACTTTAAAAATATTTATTTTACCTGGTATAATTAAGGATAAAATAGCTAATAATTGCTTAAGTATGACTATCTAAGTGCACAATTAATCTAAATTAAAATGTAGGTAGTATAAGACAAATAACTCTAATAGAGCAAATATTAATGTTAATATTTTTTATAGCATAATTTAAATAATACTTATTATTTTTGTTAGATTATATATAAATTTATAGTATTACATCTTATTAGATTGAATTGTTAGATTTGATCAAGCTTTAAAATATTTTAAATGCTTTATCTATTAATTTTTATTTGAAATGATATTATTAAAGTAAATGAGGAATTGTAATTAGAAATAATAAAATATAAAAGGAAGATCTTGTATTAAGATGTATTAAGATGAATGTTATTAGAAAAGATAATAAGTATTGAATTTAAATAAAGCAAAATTTAGAAAGAATATTAAAATTATTTAGAAATATTCTCGAAAATATGAAGAGAAAGGTTAGGGAATATGATGAGAATGAATTTTCGAAAGCAGATTTGAAAATCATCTTATTAGGAGATAGTGCAGTAGGAAAATCAAAATTAGTTGAAAGATTTCTATTAGATGATTATGAAGAAAGATAATAATCTACATATGCATTAACAATGTATAGACATAATGCAAAATTTGAAGGGAAAACCTATAAGATTGGTATAGATATAAAAATAAATAAAATTAGATTTATGGGATACGGCTGGATAAGAATGCTTTTAAACATTGCATGCATCGTATTATTATGGTGCTCATGCTTGTATTTTAGTAAATTGAATAATAAAGTAGTGTTTTGATGTCACAAGAAAAATAACATATACAAACTTAAAGAAATGGTATGAAGAAATGAGATAGAATTGTCCAACAATACCTTGTTTATTGGTTGCGAATAAAATAGATTGTATTTAAATTGATGAAAGATTTTAGTGGATCCTAGTGTAACTGAAACTAAATTTAAGTTTGCAGAGAGTAACAATCTTCCTATTTATTATACATCTTCAGCAGATGGAACAAATGTAGTTAAGGTATTTTAGGAGGCTTTGAAAGCAGCTATTGAACATAAATAAAAGCCTGGTGGATAATTTATGGATGATTTAATGGATTATTTTTAAGGTTGAAAAGGACATTTATTATGATATATATTCATTCAATCATCATCAAATTCATCATTTGTATCACAATCATCACAATCACTGAATGACATTTCTATCTTCTTATCATTATTATGTTATTAGTATATTATTACTGTTTAAACATCTTAATTGTAGTAATAAATTGATTCCTCATTGAATTGACATTAAGGAACTTCACCATCTATTATCATATCTTCAAAGTGGAATTATTATTATTATTATTACTACATTTCTTATACTTCTTCTTACATTTATTAAATATTATTTTCTTCATCTGAAAATATTCCTGACTCTATTTATTAATATTGTTGATATTTTAATAGATTTCTCAAATATCCCATCTTTTTATCCCCTATTTCATTTAAGTCTAGGATTAATTCCGCTTTTCTAAATAATAATTATTTTTATTACTTTAATAACTAATGATAATCTTCTAATGTCTTTTTTGGAACCCCCACTTTTTCAGCAGCCTATTTTAAACTGTATTTTATCTTATTTCCATTCTAATCAATTTCTCCATTTTTGAATAACTTTCTCCATTGATCCACACTCTGTTTTGCATCCATAATAGAACGTTCTTTTACTCTCTTAAAAACATGTCGTGGTTAATCCATAACTATTGAAAAATTATATTATATAATTATTAATTTCTTCTCATTCAATATTACTTGCAAAGAAAATAATAAACATTCACGCTGTTTTAATTTATAAAACTCGACCTTCTATACATATATTAAATGCTGGACCAAGCAAAAATATTTTAAAAAACAAAATAGACAATTAAACTTCTTCATTTCAGAATGAAAAACATTATATACTTTCCATTCAATTTAAAAAAAATAAATTAGATAATAATTGCGGTAAATATTTTTTCAAATAATAAGAAATAATATTCATCTATAACATTTCTAAATTAGAATATTTCTATAAAATAACTTAAGATTTACCTTTTTTATCTTTAATATTCTCATAGCTAGATACAAATATTGTTGAATAGATTATAGAATAAAAGAATGAATAGATTTGTATTTAATAATACTAATTTGAAATTTAAATAAGAATCTAAATATAATGAGTTTTTTTTTTGAAACTTACTGAATGTAATAGATTAATAAAAAAATTTATAATGATTATTTTTGTATTGCTTTTAATATAGGTTAGTATAAGCAAAAGAGTGTCATATTCATGTGTATCAGAATATTTTTGGACAGGATAAACTTGTTTACCTTGTGAGAAGGGTTGTAAGTGTAGTTCTTATATGGGATGTGATGGAAATTTATAATGTTAAGATGGATGGGTATTTTAAGAGGAAGGAGAGAAGAAATGTGTAGAATGTCCAAAAGGATGTAGTACATGCATATTAAAAGGGATAAATGGATTTATTTGTAATAAATGTTAAACAGGATATTAACTGATAGGTAATAAGATGTAATATAATAATAGCGAATATCTGTGTACCATTGAGTTTTAATATAAGGTTAGGGAATGTAAAGTTCTTTGGATTTGGATTGTGGGGGATTCCTTATTGGTCAATTTCTTTAGACAATTTACCATAAGGAATTGAAGAGGCCTATTCTACATTAGATTGTATAGAAAGAGATCAATCTACAACATTTTGTTTGAAATGTCCAGATGGTTCATGGTTAAATGAAGTAATGTAATGTGAGAAATGCGGACCTGGTTGTTCAGTATGTAATTCTAGAGGAACTTGTGTAGAATGTGAGAGTGGATATTATTGGGGTGAATAATAAGGTTAATATAATGAATACAATGCGTATTTCAATGGAGCAGCAAAATGCATATAATGTAATATTGAATATGCAAAGGCATGTGATGGGAAATAGGTTTTCAGTTGTATGGATGGAACTTATTTATAAAATTCAATATGTGTAGATTGTTTAAATCAATGTTAAACATGTATTGATGGTAATTCATGTATCACATGCAAGTAAGCATATTACTTTTAGAACAATTAATGCTAATTTTGTATTGGCAATAGTGATACAAATATCAGCTGTTTAGAATGTTCAAATGATACTGAATGTAGTAAATGCTCTGATTCTTATATGTTAATAAACTCCTAGTGTTATTTAATTCCTTAAGATCCAGGCTGTGAAACTTTTAGAGCAAAAGGTAATAATTAAGTTGTATGTGATGTTTGTTTAAATGGATTTTATTTGTATTAAGGTGTTTGTTATTCTTGTATGGATTAGAATGAATTATATGAATTATGTACTAATTTGGATGAATCTGGATAATCTCCATCGATCTATCCAACTTAATGTTTCACTAATATAGCAGATCCAATTAGTACAGAAAATTACTTTCTCATTTAATAAACTGATTAAGAAATCAAAACTAATTTATGTGTTTTAAATAATAATGGATGCATAAGAATGGTTGATTCAAGTGGGTTATGTTCATAATGTGCTGATCATTACACTTTAAATAATGGCATTTGTTATTCATGTTCAACTATCTAAAATTGTTTAGAATGTTCTTATAGCAATGGACTTTACTGTACTCAGTGTATATAATCTAACTACATAAGCAATAATGTATGCATTCCATGTATTAATGGATGTGATGTTTGCTCTTAATAAAATTCTTGTGATTAATGTCTTCCAGGATATTACTATAATTCACAACAATAGTGTATTAAATGTTCTGTTGATAACTGCTTATCATGTCCTAATGATATATGCAACAATTGCTCACCTTAATTCTTTCTTTATTCCAATACTTGTTAGTTGTGTCCACCAGGCTGTTCCAATTGTCAAGGAACTTTAGGCAGAGAATGTATTTCCTGTCTTAATGGATTCTATTTGAATGTATACAAAATTATCTAACAGTTTAGAATAATGGTTGTTATCCAGGAACCTAATATTGTGCTCAATATAATAATGATGGAACTTGTTAACAATGTATTTATGGAGCATATGTGGCTAATAATCAAGAATGTCTACCATGTATTTCACTTGGAGCTGGAGTAAAAATATTCCTTTCTATCTTATTTAGTATGTCTGTGGATAAAATGCAAATGTCTAGTGCTTTTTAGAACTATTACATTTCACTGTTTTATTTATGTTATTTTTGTTTCAGTGAATTTATATTCATATTCAATTTATTTATTAAATTAAGTTTATACGTCTGTTTATCTTTCACAAAATCTTCCCTAAATTAAATTGAAATATCTCAAACTTTTTTGATTCAATTATTAAAATTTAAATAGAATAGAATTTATGAATCCAAATAACAATCAAAATTTTAACATTTGATCTAAAAAATAAATGAAATCGATTTTAATTGTTCATAATAAAAGATAAAAATATTTTCATGATTGATTGTTTATTTTTTTTTAATTTTTTATTTAAATTAAAATGGAAGTTTTACAGAAAGAAGACAATCAATTCAGATATAAACTTATGAATGTATTCTTTCAATATATAAAAAATGCCTTATTCCTTCTCCTTATTGGTTATGAAGGAATAAAACTGTTAAACATAGATCATGATTGTTAATTATCAGAAATAACCTACATAAGTACTTTGTATCATGGAGGAATAATTTTATTACTATTTAATGTTGTTTCAGCATGTTATATACTTTACTAGAAACATTTTGTAAGAATTGAATATTTCATTACTTATGGATTGAATGTATTAGTTTTTATGTGTATGTTATTATTTTCCTTACAATAATTGATTTAAGGGAAATGTAGTATAGGGTAATTATCAGTCAAGTATTACATAATACTCTCAATAATTACACAATTTGATGTATTACTAATAATGATGTTCAAGCATGAATTTTCAAATAGGTAAACAAATATTTGTTCAAATACAGCTGTTGTTATATTATTACTAATAACTAAGATTGATAATGATTGTGCAATCAATGCCATTTCTTTAGAAATTCAACTTATATCTGCCAATATTTTAACATTACTCTTTTTCACTGTTCTAAATATAGCAATAAATCTATTTCCAAAATTAAGAGAATAACTTACAAATGCATTTAAATTTGTTTGTGTTTTAGTTTTATGTTTCCTTATTCTGAATTATTTATTAATAGTTTATTTTGTTCAATCAGTAAATCATATAATTCAATAATTTAGGGAGATATCAAAGAAAACTAACAATGTATGCCTCTTGATTTTATTACTAGAACCTATTGTTTTCTTGCTCCTGTGAATTTAATGGGAATGATACCAATTTTAGCATCTTTTAAATATGAAACAATTGATGATCAATAAGATGATATTTCTCAATTATAATAAGCAGAGATAATATCTCCATCTAGAGGGTTACCAATACAAAATTCACCTTCTCCTTTTTAATAGTCAAAATTATCTTTGAATAACAATACAACTCCTTATAAAATCCTTGTGAATAATAATCTACTATCTGCTGATGAATAATTTTTAATTGGGAAACATCAGCAGCAATAATAATGATTTAATAGATACTATTATTTATCAAATATAATATGTAAAATTTGATCAAGTTAACTTACATGCCATTTCCCTTTTAAATTCCATTAGTGATATAGTTCCATTTCCTGATTTATCGAATCTCATAAATAATAATGATGCCTCTTATGGTAAAACCTTTACAGCACTATAAAAATTAAGAGCATTCATAAATTCATTCAATCCTATATTTCTGGATTAATTGGTATCCATCTTTTGATATACTTCTTCAATGTTTATTCCTTCTTTTTGAAGTAAATCTCTTGAATTTTCAAATCTTTATTCATTTGCTTGATAAAATTTGATAAGGTCTTTTAAAATGGGCGTTGCTTTTGGTCCAAGAGTATTAGAATACTTATAATTTCTTGATGTCTATCCATTAGGTAAGAATATCTTTTCAAAGTCTTATAATGACATTTTATTTTTTGCTTCTGAAAATCTATTGTAAACCAATAAGAGTTAGTTATAATTGACTTTGATATCTAAATCTTAGAGGCCTTAAAAAAATTCATCAAATATGATATTTTAAGTTTTATTCTAATCAATAAACTAATGATAAATTAGATTAGGATTACTTAGAATAAGGAAGGAGCATGAAAATCTTAGGTAGCTACTAATTTTCTTTTGAGTTCTTCAATCTATCTCTCAGAATTTAATTATTCTAATAAAATACTAAAGAAAATAGTAATGGGATTCTTCTTATCTATAAACTGTATAATAAGTTAAATTACTTTATCTAGTAGTGCTATTCAATTTATTATGTTTTCTTAAATTGAGTGGAGTTCTTTTATAAGTAAGATCAGAAGGAAAATCTAAATATTCTATATCTGTGATCATTCCCTCTCCTCCATAATAATTTGAGAAGGGTCCTAGTGAAGGTTCCATAAAGCTATTTGTTGGTTGAGTTGCTTAATATGGAGGGTATGGTTATTCATAATATATTGGCATAGGTTATTCATACTAAGGTTATTAATGATAGGATTGTTATTAATAATATTGAGGTGGAGGTTATTAATAATAAGGATATGACTGAGGTTCATAGTAATAATCATCCTATGGATATTATGGATAAGATGGCTCCTAATGTTTGAAGGCAGAGCGTGTATAGGGATTTTTTGAATGCATAATAACTGATAAATATATTTATATAAAACATAAATAATGGTGAATGAAAATTTAAATCTTATTTTTAGATAAAAATTAAATGAAGGTATTAGAAATACCCTATATCTAAATAGATCTACGTTGACGCATTCAGTGGAGAAGAAATCGTTTCAGATAGTTTCAATATGGAAGAAAAGTTTGAAGGTGCAATTGGTGAAGTCCAATCTTAAGATATTGTTAAAGGAGCACTTAATGTTGATGTTGGTATATAATCTCATTATTATAATCCTTAGGTGCTGGAGGACATTTTGGTGGTAAAAATGAAGATGAAGATGATGGAGGTGTTGATGATTAAGCTTAAAAAGTTAATAACATTATAGATGCCTTCAAATATGCTGAAACCTAATTTACTAAAGCTGATTATGTTACCTACTTTAAAGCTTATGCCAAAAAAGTTAAAGCTTATTTAGAAGCAAACAAACCAAATAGAGTAGCTCAATTCTAAAAGGGAGCTGGCGAATTCATTAAATGGGTTTCTGCTAATTTCAACGATCTCTAATTGTAAACTAAATCAATTTATCATCTAGCTACTGTCCTGAATCATACGATATGGAAAATCACATTGTCATTGGTTATTACAAAGAAGGATAAGCTTCTCCAGCTTTCGTTTACATTTTAGATGGATTAAAAGAAGTCAAAATGTGATATAACATAAAAATACAATTATATCTGTTAATACAACAATTAATAATAGAGCTATCTCTTCTAGTATCAGGTCTAATTATTTGAAATCTATTCTTTTTTTTCTTATTTTTGTAAATTCTAGTAATAAATTTTAGTTATTACAGATTGCTTGATATAAATTATGATTGAATTTAACCTGATTACATTAAGTATTAATATGTTAATATTAATTAAATGAATAATTATTTTGTCTTTTAGTGTAAAGTTAGTGATTTAATTTAATTATTTGAATTTGAAATATTGCATCTTTGCCTAAAAATACAATATTTTAATTTTTTGTTAAACTTCTCACATTTATAATGTGCATCTATAGATTCCCTTTAAGTTTTTCGAATACTGATTTCATGAAATTTAAATTTAATATTTTAAAATTTTATACTTCTACTATTATCTATTTACATTCAAAGTCATTTTTCTGCTTGCATCTAATCAGATTTAAATATAAAAAATTATAAAATTAACCAGATCAGCCATTCTTTATTAGAAAAATTATAAATTTTTGCCTATATTTAATAACCAGATTAAAAATTCGTAAGTTATGAAAAAAAAATTACATTTTAAAAATTGAATATTATAGAAATTTTAATAACAAATATGATAAAGAATCAAAAAAAGATTAAGATGTCGATCACAATTTAACCCATTTAGCTAAAATAAATAACAAAGCATCAATCATGATAGGTTTTTACAAGCAATCATGAAAGGCCAATTTCTTTATAGCCATTTTACTATCTTCATCTTAAAATCCAATCAATCCAATTAGTCTTGTATCTTTTTAATATTCTGAAAGCACAGACTTTATGTTAGCACAATCAGAACTTAATTAATCATTTACAAACTCAACTCCAACAAATACAATATGATATCCTTTACAACAAGTTTTAAATTGTGAAAATTATTTCTTTAGTTAGTCTACAATATGCATTCTTTACATTGTATAAATATATGGAATTTTGAGGTTACTTAGTTAATGTGATATAGCATATAAATCAAAATCATTCTATTCACAGATCAAAATTTTTGGACACTAAAATAAAATTAATTTATTTACTTAACATTTGTAAATGAATTATTATTATTTAATTCTTTCCATTTTTTCAAAACAATCTAATAATTCATTTGGACCTAAATTTACTGATGATAATCTCATTGAAGAGTATACAGATGAACGACCTCCAAAAGTAAGTAATGAATCTCTTTATTGTGATACATGTGATACTTATGGACTTAGTCTTGATTATATTATACTAACAGATATTTTTCTTGCTTTTGGTTCTTTAACACGTATGATAGTTTCAAGAAATTAAGAAGGCTTTTGTTACTTTTCTATTTTCTCGATTTTTTCATTTATTTAAAGTGATGATTTACTAGACAATATTTCACCATCAAATTCTGCTTTATTCATTTCATCCTTTGAGTCTTATGATGAGGAACTCTATTATGAATCATCTTATTCAGAGATTTAAGAAACAGAGTAAGATTTTATAGGTTATTGATTATCAGATTATTCAGACTATCCAAATTATGGTAATTAAGGATCAATTTTACCTGATATGGTTTCTTCTTAAGATTCTCTTTTCATTTTTTTTAATTTTTCTTATACTTATATTCTACTTATTTCTGTTAATCTTTATGACTAATGTCTTTTAAATTAGCTACTTTAACCAAATACTTAATGATATTAAGATTTATTAGCAACTAATGCAGATTATCTTTTTTATGTTAGTTATTTATTAAAATTAGGATTTTCATTCTTAATCAACAAAATAAAATAAAACTAAGTACCATCCTCAGTTTTTATGGAATTAAATTCAAAAGGCATAATAGCTACAGCTAAAGATATATAAAATGCTGTTATGATAGAAAAAGAATATTATTTTGATGTTGCAACAATATCTATTACTTATTTACTAACTAAAGTCTATTGTTTTAAATGTTTTAATGTTTATTCAACATCATCTAAAATCCCTTCATTTATACTTTAAGCCATAACTTTTATAATTATTTCAATATGATCAGCTAACAAAGGTGATTTTTAACATGAAATTTCTATGCTTCCATTAATTGTAACTTAGATAGATTTTACTTAAATTTGATTATATTATTACTTAACAAATTCAACAATATTTATCTAACTCTATTAGGATCAGTTCGTAAAAACATTGGAACATTTTGTTTAATGTGTAATTATATATTAAGTCCTCTAAATAATGCTTAAGCTTTAATGATGTTTAAACAATCTGAAACAAATTCTCTTGTGTGAATATCCATTAAACTACGATCTAATTTAAATTTTTTATGTAAAGTAACATAATCCTAAATGTCATTTGCAGTACTTATCAATAATTTACATCCTGCTAATGCTGGATCTATATATTTAGTTTATAAATCTTAATTAACTTCTTTCTATTTTACAATAATATAAAATTATTACTTAGACCAATTCTAACATTGATAGAGTACAATTTAATGGTTCTTTGATCTTTTATGAAATAGTTTGAATTATTTCATCACTATTTTTTAAACATTATTATAATTATAGAATAAATGGTTCTTCAGTTAAATCATTTATGTATAATATTATCTAAGGTTTGTTTTAGATAATTACAGGATTTAAAATTACTTAGGTATAAAGTTTATCTTAAATAGTTTTTTTTAAATTACCTTTTCGTAAATATATTTTTAATGAAAAATCTAAAGCAAAATTTGTTAAATTAAATTTTATATGAGAAAAAGCAAGCAAATGTTCTATTAAGGTTTGTACTTACATTTTTCTGCAAAAAAATTGAATTTCTTTTTTTTCATCAGTTTAAAAATTTTCAAATGAAATGTTCTATGTTCAAATACATTAATATATTAATACTCAAGAGTTTAAGTGAATTTGATAAAATGACTGATATCTTTGCTTCTATGAAAACTAGGTAATATGGTACATGATTCTTCTTAAAGTAAACCAAAATCATATAATTCAAGTTGAGTCAATTCTGGATTTAATAATTCATTATTGATTAAAACAATATGTGACATAAATGAATTAATAATTCTTATAGGTTACTAAGGATTTTCAAAAATGTATATTCCACATTAAAAGTTAATTAATAGCAATTCATACTGTTCTTCTAACTATTTTAAGTTATTGAGATTTTCAAATTCATCATTTGGTTAATCCTAAATGTTATTTTTTTTTATTTAAGGTTCAGTCATTTCTCTTTAAGTATTTGTAAGAATAGCTCTTTAGGTAAGTAAAGGAGTTAAATTTTTAGAAACGAATGCTTCATTTGAATGTTAAGTTTGATATAAATAATAGATCAGTAAAGATTAGATTGTTGCATGTCCAAAAATAATCCTTACAGATCCAATAACTTCTATATTATTAGTAAAAGCAGGAAATCTATAGTTAATAATTTTATTAATGATACCTGAAGAGAGAATAAAAGAGAGAAAAAATAATTATAAGAGTTCTACAGAATTAGGATTCAATTGCAATTAAAAATAGTATCATAATTCCATAAATTTCAAAAGTATAACTTCTTTGATCATACTCACTTGTAAAATGTATGTCATAATTAGTTTCACACCATAAAATAATTAGACTGAAATATTTAAGTAATGTGATTATATTAATTAATAAAGTAGTTTCTCTCTTCAACTTACTCATTGCTAAATGAAAAGCAATTATTAAAAATACTTAGATCTAGGTGAATTATTTATATAATTACCATTATGCGATAGATGAAAATTAATTTTTATCCCTCTATCTCATAATTTAAAGCTTCGGTAATGGTTAATACAATATCGAAACATTAATATAAGGATACAATGGTCATTGTTGATTTCCATAAAATAAAGTGCTAATATGTTCCAGTGTTTAACTTAAAATAATTTGATAGCATGAGCATATATATATATATATTACTATATAATTTATTTATTAATTTAACAATCATAATTTGACCCACTTTGCTAATATAAACAATAAAGCATCTATCATTAAAGGTTTTGATAGGAAATCATGAAATGGAAGCTTCTTTATTGCCATTCTATTTTCATCATCATGAAATTCTATTAATCCAATAATTCTAGCATCCTTTTTGAATTGAGAGTTGATATTTTTAATCAAGTTGCATTGTTCACCTAATTCTTCATCTACAAACTCTACACTTATCAATATTAATTAATATCCTTTACAACATGACTTTTCTACCTCATAAGCCGTTTTTAATTTTTCATGTATTTAAGTTCTTTACATAGTGTAATCATAATTCATTCCAATATTCCCTAATTGATGGGATACAGCATATAAATCAAAATCATTTTATTCACAAATTAGAATTCTTGGACACTTTTAATTAACTTAATATCAATACTTAGCATTTTTATGTATATTTTTATTGTTTAATTCTTTCCATCTTTTCAAAACAATCAATTAAATCATTTGGTTACATAATACTGGATGAATATCTCATAGATGAAAATATGCTTGATCTACCTCCAAAGGTTAAAATTGAATCCTTAAGACCTGGTGTAACATTATTATTGTATGTATATGCTATTGATTATTACATTACTACTAAAGGAGAACCATTTTCATTGATCTCTCCACTTTCATTTGTTTATTTATATAAAAATTAATCCAATTGAACTCCAACATCTAAACTATTATGGGAACTTTCATTTTCATCCTTCGATTCCTTTGATTCCTACTCTGAAACTATAGATATATCTGATTTAGAATGAGAAATCATCTATTTAATCTTTTTGCTTTGATCCTAAGATTTTATTGTTTTAAAAGTAGGTAAGAAATCAACATCAATATCCCCTTATGATGTTCTTGGTACTATGAAACGAGATTAATTTTATTAGCCAAAGGATGTAGATAACTTAAAGGCAGATTCTTTTCTTTAAGATTAAGTGACCATAACTTAAGATTAAGATTATGATTTTTGTTATTATTGTTACGATTACTGTTTAATTTTCTATTTTTCTAATTATCCTTGAATTGATATACTTGCTTTATCTAGCAAGCTTTATTATGAAGATTAATGCCTTCGAAATCCTTAATCAATTTAAAATGATTATTTAAAGCTTTATTATTGAATACTTAAAGCAGATTATCTTTTGAAATTTAATTGTTATGAAAAATTTGGATTTTTATTTTGAATTTAAATAATAAAACAAAACTCTTCTTGATTTAGATTTTTTTCATAATGATATTCAAATGGAATTGTTGAAATACTTAAAGATAAACAAAATGCTATTAAAATTGATTGACTATATTTTCTGCCAGCATTTGCTAAATCTATCATAGTTGATGTAAACAAGTTTTGGGATTTAAAAAATCTCACTGTCTTATCAATTGTTTTTAAAACAGATTAATTGATTTCTAATGCTTATACTTTAATAGTAAGTTCAATATGATCCTACATTAACGTAGATTTGGTTGCTGATACAACAATAGTTCCATTTATAGTTGCCTGAATTGAACTTACTAAAAGATTTAATAAAATCTATCTCAATCTGTTTGGATCAGTTCTAAAGAATGCAGGCACATTATGTCTAACATTAACTTGTATTTACAATCCTCTAAATAAAGCTTATGATTTTATAATATTTATTGAATCAGTTATAAATTCCCTAATATATTTTTGTTTTTAAAATATACCTTATATGAACATCCATTTAACATAATTCTAATTTACCTTTTTTTCTTATTGTTACATAATCAAGAATATCATTTGCTGTGCTTATTAATAATTTACAACCTGCAAGTGCTGGATTTAGATACTTTTCCTAAATTTCAAATGGTACAGAATGCTAATTTGAAATTAAATAATTTACAATAGTTATTTCCAACATTGATATTGTACAATTTAAAGGCTATTTAATTTTCTAAGATATATCAGATACTAATAAATCACTATTTTAATTAAACTAATTTAATTATGTCATGAATGGTTCATCTGAAAGATCTGATACAAATAAGATTAATTAGGGACGATGTCTTTATAATATTGGGGAAAGAACAACACATGTATAAAGATTATCTTATTTTTTATTATTAAATACAAATTACCTTTTTTAAGATATATTTTCAGTGAGAAATCTATTAAATTTTAACATTAATTGAATTTAAAATGTTGAAATGGTAACAAATGTTCAATTAAAGTTTTCATTTTCATGGACTTATGAAAAAATTGAACTTCTTTTAATCCTATATTTCCATTTTCATAATTTATACTCTAAGCACAATAATAATAAAATATATTCTTACTCAAGAGTTTGCATAAATTTTACAAAATTTCCTATATCCTTACTTCTATGAAACTTTGGTAAAATAGTTAAATTATCTTCAAAAGCTATCCCAAAATCATATATTTCATAATTTAAAAATTCATCACTTAATTAATCATCCTTTAATACTAAATGGGACATATATGGATTTATAGATTTAACTGAACTCTATAAATTATCTAAAATAAATATTCCTATTTATATATTATTTAACACATTTTCATAAAATTAATCTAAGTTTTACCTCTCTGTATCTAATCTATTTTCTTCAGATTCTACTACTTCATTTTCTTTAATTTGATTCTTTAATCTTTATTTAAACTCAAAATCTTATTGATTTATATAAGTAGATAGTCTCAATTATTAATTCATCTAAAATTATCTATTACTTTGGATTGGAACATAATTTTTAGATTGCTGACCCAGTAAAACAAGTTAATTATTTAATTTCTTCTTTTGTTATGGTAATGACAATAAAAATATTTAAAAGGCTACATGAATTAAAACTATCCTAATTGAAGAAAGAATATCAAATTTATTTTAGAATAGCTAGATTCTAAAATTCAATAATTCATTTATACCGAAAAAGAGAGTAGAATAACGAAAATAATAGAGATATTGTTTAACAAACTTAAGATTCTTGCAATATCACCAATGCAAATAACAGGGTATAAATTTCAGCCGTATAACTTGTATAGGGTTTCTTCTATTCATAAAATAAATAATAGTCAGTTTCAGTCCAGCAAATAAAAAGTGAAATAAAATATAGAAATGTAGCAACATTCAGAAAACCATTTCTTAATTTTCTTAAACAGTGAAAAATCAACCAAAATATTATTAATAATCCTGCTTAAACCTATAATTTATATGCTATTTTATACAATAATTCTTGCAATCAAAATTCTTCTTGTTCCATCAACATTATATATACATGCATCTATTATTGTGATAATCATATCAAAAAGTTGATAAATAGAAATTATATTTGTTACTTTTGCGTGATGATGAATATTTGTATACGGCTATGAGTAGATGTAAAAATAACCCTTAAGATTATCTATCATAAGATTACGAGATTTATATAAATTATTTTAATTGATGAGAGATTAATTAATATCAGATGATAACTGAGTCAATTCACATAAATTTATTCTTAATATTATTGACTTTGTCATAAACAAGTCATTTATAATATTATCATTTAGAAAGCAAACTTTAAATAACTATAAACTTTCAAGAAATCCTTTATTTTAAAAGTAAAGAATTAAATATTTTATCTGTTTTTGTAAATCAAAATTATTATACTTGCAAATAAAACATATCTAAATTTTTATTATTTTTATGAAATAAAAACCATATAACTTTTATATTATTTAATCCTGATTAGCCTAAGCATAAATAAGAGTAAATTTCTAATTTAGATTTTTCAAAATTTTGATATTTTTATTTTTATTAGAAAATTTACTAATAGGTAAAATTCTTAAATTCATAAATATCAATGATTGTTATTTATAGCTTGTACATTATTTTTGAATAATCCATGTTGATAATTTATTTTTTTATTATCAGAAATTTAATTTATAATATATCTAAATCAATACTTGGTAAATAATATTACATCTTATACAATATTATGTTATTAAAATAGAAAAATAGATAAATCATAAGTTATTTTATTTTAGTATAAAATTTGTTCTTTTATACTATTTAAATTATAAATCTGTATGTAGAAATATAAAATAAATTGTTTTTGAAACAAAATAAGTTTAGACTATTAAATAACAAATATAAATAGTTAAAATTGAATTTAGATTTTTGATAAAAAAATGCGTCATAAAAAATAAATAAGCTCTTAAGAAGTGATATTGAGGCTAAGTTTTTATGTGAATTTCTGGGCATTTATATTTGTCAATATTTTAATTATTTTGTCATGGATACTCAATTTTTTACAAGCAGTACAAGGTAAGATATGAATTAATATGATTAGTATGAGTTCATCATCTTCTTCAAGTTCAAGGAAAGGATCTTAAGAATGTTTTAGTGATTTTGGAATAGATAAAAAATCTAGGAGAAGTAAAAAAAGTGCAAATCGAAGTTGCTCCTTTGCTTTAGGTTCTGTGACAGAAGTGTCAGAGGATATTGAAGATTATTTAGTATGAAATGTTATAATTTTATTTTAGATGAGTCGTTTACCACACATCTAGATGCTAAATGATAATAATGAATTTAGAGAAAGAATTCCTCCAAGATTGAAAAGAACAGAAAAATACTAAAAAAGAAGGGCATCTTTAAGTCCTCATGGAACAAATGGATTAGCAAAGGTGGAAGAAGTAATTGGAGAAGATGATGAATTAAAAAACAAATGCATATTTAAACTTGGTTTAATGTTAGATAAAGATGAGTTTAATGATAAAAGAAGGAGATTCTTATAATCTAAGGAAAGAATAAATGTTGAAAAAGCAACAACAACTAATTTAACTATTTTAGAAGATGCTTAAGAAAATGTCAAAGAATTGCAATAACATGTCATTAGTCCTTCTTATAAACTAAAAGTTGATGAAGTTGATTTTGAATAAGAAAAGAAATAATGGCAACCTTAAGAAATTATAGAAGTTATAGAAGAAGAAAAACCAGATAATGTAGTAAATATTAAAGAAAAGGAAATGTTTTAAAAAAGTATAATCTCTAAAAATATTATAGTTAAAAAGATTTTACATGAAGAAAGAGATTTCTTAAAGAGAATTTTAAAAGGGGAATTAATTTAATAAGAAGATATATTAAAAAAATAATAATTCCAATCTGAGGTAGGAGAAACAAATTGGAATTAATTAATTTAAGAAGCAGAAGAATAAGTAAATAGTGATGAAGATTAATAATGAATTTTTAATTAGTTATATATTCCTATTTGAGCAATATTTATAGTTCAATTTAAGCTATTATTTCATTTTTTAAATAAATATATAATCTTCTTTGAAATTTAATTTAAAATTGTTATTAGGAAATCTATATTCTTTTCTGATAATATAAACCATATTATGAATTATGAAATCTAAAATTTACTCTCTATAAAAAAATTGAATGACAATGAAGAATAAGTTAAACATCATTTTTTAATTTACATTATTGTGTCCTCACTATAATTTTCAATAAATTTAATAATAATTTAATCCAATTTTAAAAGGCAGACTTAACAATCAAATCTTAACTTATAAAATAAAAACATTTTTTTTGTTTAAATGATTTAGTAATCTCATTTATACTTTTATTTATTTATATTTAAAATGATTGACTTATATATTGATAAATTTATTTATTAATAATTTGATGTGATACAAAAACTTAAAATATATAATAATCCATTATTGAATTATAAAATATATCAATTATAAAGTAAAAATTATAATAGAATATTTTGTGAACAATCAATGAAATTTCTTTTGTTTTAATTCCATAAAACCTTCTAATATTGAGTTGGCAATATCATCTTCGATATCATAATCATTATGGGTCATTCTTGGTTTTAAAAATATTTTTGATTATTATTAAATATCATAAGGAAGACTGTTATTATTATAATATTAATACTTTAAGAAAATTTCTTAAGAATGATGGAACTTAATTAAAGTATCATCTAATCCATGAATCATTACTATTGGACATTTAACTTCTTAGGATCTTTCTAAATTTCTGAAGAAATTTGGTAAACAACAAATTATGTTTAAAATACAGCCACATCCATAACAAAAATCACCTACTATATCTCTAATCGATTTATAAGCAGACATAGTTATTAATCCTTTAATATTTCTTTGACTTGCTAGATAAAAAGAAGGTCCAGTACCAATTGATCTACATAGTAATTCAGAAAATACCTTCCAAAAATATAAATTTAATCATCATTTAATTTGAACTTAATTTTAATTTCATCATATAAGGCTAATGAGTCTTACTCTACTAAATTTGAAGTAGTTTAGATATTTCTATATATTCCATAACCAGGGTATTCTATCACAAAAATATTTGCATTTATCATTTTCATTAGACATTCCATAAATTATGCTCCTGCATACCTTAATTTAATATTAAGTTTACACATCTTCTGCATTTCCATGAAAATATATCAAATGTAAATTCGTTTCTGAGTATTTATTTTTTATATAAACGTAAGGAATACTTCTGACTTTTTCGAGATTTTAAGAATAATCAATTGGTTTTCCGTTAACTATGTTTATTTTAGTTTTACCAAGATTACCATCTTAATTGTAAATACATGCAAAATGCAGCTAATCTTCAAAATCTTATTCTTAATACATAGGAGCTGGAGCTGGAAATATAATATTGTTTATCTTTCCAAAACAATGTATAATAATCAAGATGAACAAGTATAGTCCTATAAATATACTGAGCACTATTATAAGTCCAATGTGAGATGAATCCTAATTACTCATTTTTTCAGATAAATAAATATATTAATATAATTAAAAGCAACTCAAAAAATTAAGAGATACTATTTGTCATGCTATTATTAATTAATTACTTAAGTATCATTCGTTTTAAGAGTTTATAGTTAACATATAATTAATAAAACTAATCGTAACTGAAATATTGATAAATTTATAATAATAAAAAAAATAATACATAAAACAAATATAAGAATAGAAATTAAAATTTAATAATTATTCAAAATTCAAAAGATCTTATGAGTGCTTTATTTTTTTAAGTTGAGGGTCTTAATCCTGATAAATTTTAAAAATATTGTTTTGTTTAATTCCAGTCCTTATCGTATTATTATTTTGAATATTATGATTTCTTAGTTGAAATATGCTTAAATAATATTAAATTATCTCTTCTAATTTGTTCTTATTCAGTTTTTTTTCTTGAATTTAAACTGCTTATTCTCTTTGGTTAATCAAATTTAATGTTTGTACCATTCATAATATTTGCAATCTTTTCTAATAATAATCTATTATCCTTCTCTATTTGTGTGTATCTATCTTCTAAAATCTAAATTTTCTTCATATTTGGTATCCTTTCAATATTTCTAGGAATAGTTATTAATGGTCCTATTTATTGAAGTCTACTATATCCATCCAGCATCTCTTTTTCTTACATAATTCTTATATGAGGCTTGGGTCTATGCATAAACTATTTTAATATGATAAGGAGTTATTTGTTTATATAATTAATTTTTTTTAATGGAATCGATATAATAATATACTCATTTTTTTTTAAACAATGCAACTTCTAATTCCTCTGTCAATAATTTTTATTCTTAAAATGAATCATAAAGTTTTGACTTTATTGTGGGATTAAACTTTTAATAATGTTTCAAAATGAAGTTTATAAAGAATTGTTGAACTTGTTTAGGGAACTAGGGGAATATCTAAAGTAAATTAATTTTTTTCTTACTTTTTAACAATCAAAAATTAACATTTAAACAGCTGTAATATTGACACTTTGGATTATTCCAACAATGTCTTTGAAGAAAAGCTTAAAAATTGCAGATGAAGGATATCTAATTTTAGCAAAACTTGAAAACATCTGTAATTTTTAAATATTACTAAATTCCACATATCTTTGAATAAAATATTATTCTAAAAGTTTAAAAATTTCAGGTGTTCCATGTCCTAATTATTTATACAACATAAATAATGTTGTCATATTTTAAGGATCTGTGGTTGGTATATTTTTTATAGATTATTCTTCTAATAATTTCCAAAATTCAGGGGATCCATTACCGAATAATGCTATTCCTGTTGCAACTCTAAAATATAGAAAAATTAAATGAACCTAATTAAATCTTAAAATTCCATCTCTATAACTAAACTCTGTCTTTCCAAAATTTCAAAAATATCTTTTCTTTTAATTCTAGCCAATATTAAACCGAAAGCAAAATTTTTTAGATCATAAGACTTAAAATGATCTATGCTTTATTTAAAATTTAAAATTAAGGAGTTTTCTACATCCTTATTATTGCATTTTGTATATTATGAAATTTAACCATAAATGAACATAGCCAATCCAATTTATATAGGAGTTAACTCTGGAGCTTATGATACTGCTGCAACAAAATTGAATGATTATTAATAAAATTATTTTGAGTAATCTCCTGGTACCAATAAGGATATTATATCGAGAGTTTCCGTCAAAGTAGCTTATCTAATGATTATATTTGAAAATTTTACTATTCTAAATATAATTAAGTTGTTCTATCAAATATTTTTTATGCATAATTTTCATCACTTATCTATTAAGCAAAGGAAATAGACAACAATTCTCTTAGTTCTTGATTTTCAAATTAAGGCAGATAGGGTTTCAACTATTGTAATAAACTTTTGACTTCTTTATTATAACATTATTCATTTACATTTATGATCTGATTGTTTTCTTTAATGTATTTGGTTTAATTTAAATAAAATGCTTCTATAATCATCTGCTTATTTAGCTTGACAAAACTAATAATTTGGAATTCTTATTGTTGGGGTTAATTTTTAAGATGAGCCTATAGTGAAAAAGAATCTAAGGTATTACCTTCTCATATTAAATTTATTAGAAAATTAATGAATTAATTATAATTTTCATAAGCATAGTCACCAAGAGAAAGTAATTATGATTATGAAGAATAACCTCAAGCATAATCTATATAACTATATTAAAGTAGAGCGGCGATTTCAATTATTACTAATGTAATTTAACTCATATAAGAAACTTAGATATAAATTTTAGTTGCTATATTTTAAATATTGTTAATACTTTTTAATTCGTATATTGCATTTGATTTGAGCTATAAGATATCCCTTCTATATGTAACAATTTTACATTTTCTGTAAATCATAAGGATAGGTGTTTATAATAATAAGTAAATTTTAAGAAGTTATAATTGTCTAGAAAAATATAAAATAATCAATACTGTTGTATATAGATATTTTGGGGAATTCTCTCGATCTCCTATTATGTATTAAATTCATTAATCTAATAAGGGTTGTCTCATATATTTCTTAGAAAATATAGACTTTCCAATTTAGTATCCTATATTAATGCACTTAATTTTCACACTTACATGGTTTGTATTGACACTACATAATTATTTGAAAAATAAAAATGATAAGAGCTTTATTTTAGTTGTAAATTTCAAATATTAAATTAGTTGACAATTTTATTGAGATTTTTTTTTGTGCTTTAATTAATGATAATAAATTTGAAGTAGATCAAATGGATAGATTGGGAATGGATTTATATATTTACTATAGTTTGGATATTCCTATCAATAATTTGTATCTTTCAAATAATTTTTTTGCTTGATTTCATTTGTAAAGCAACATAATTGTTGTAAGAAAGAGATCCAATCAGTAGAGAATCAATTAATCAGTCGAGTATACATATTGAGAAAGTTTAGTTATAGGATCATTATGGATTAATTTACTTATTCTATGCATTTCTGGAATTCCTACTTTTAGTATGGTTTGCTATACAATTAAATTATCAACAGGAAAAGATAGTTATAATTCTTTGTCAATCACTTTATCAGTAATTTATTCACTTGTTTTTATTGTCTACACATTGTATTATAGAATTTCTTTAAGGTTAACATTTCATTTATAATTAAAGCCTATTTGTTTCTCAAATTTAGTAATAAAGAGCAATAGAAAATAATGTTGGAGTTAATACTGAGAATCAATAAAGATATTAATTAAATTCTCCAAGTTCTAAACATAAAAATAATTTAATAAAAAGTAAAGAATAGATATTAACTAAACTTCCTTAATATTTGGTAATTATAAAAATTAACGATAAGATTAGATTATCATAAACTTACTTTTTGCCAGCCATTGAAAATGACAATCAATAGTTAAAGCAATCTCAATAATTATAATAATAACATATAAAAAGAAATAAAACTGATTAAGACTAACCAAAATTTAGTAACCGCAATTCTCTTACTGAAATTAATTCTGATAAAGATACATAATGCTTTAATTGTTATTAAAATGAAAGTTGTGCTGTTTATATGCCATGTGGACATGGTGGATTATGTATAAAATGCGCAACAGAATGGTTCACTGAAAAACAGGAATGTCTGATTTGTAGAAAAGTAATTCTATTTATTTTATTTATATTTAGCCTGTTGAATCTGTTGTTAAAATTTCATAGTCTGAATAAAACAAAGTTTAGGTGGTTGATGTATTGGCTTTTTGAAAATTCTTTTATTATTTCTATCGATAATTCATTAATTTATATCATAATTATTATGAAATCAAATATATTGAACACTGGCTCTCTTCCTGAAAAAAAGCCAACCGTTTATTTAAATGACGGATAAGGAAGGGATACTTATATTTCTTATAACAATGGTGGAAATTTTGCCCAAGAATTTAGATTTTTAGTATCACCCAAAGAGCCAACTTCTTTAAGATTGAAATACAATTTCAGTATTTAATAAGACCATTCAACACCTAGAATTAATTACTAAGGAGATGGAACAGGAAGAGATACATATATTTTGTAATATTTTATTTTTATTTTAACTAGATAAAATGTAAAAGATAAATGCAGCTCAGGATAACTTAATTATAAAAAAATGCTTAGAAGTGAAACCAATTTGGGTATATATCAAAAAAATAGATATTAATTACCCCCTTTGGTTAAATAAAAAATGAACTTGGTATATAAATTATAGAAAGTCTAATCTAGTAGATTATCAATGCCAAAAGGTAAACTATTTTTCAATGAAGAGTGATTCTCTTTATTTATATACAAAATTATCATGCATTTATATTTTGATATAATATTATTGATTTATTAGTACAATTCTTTAAGAAAAGCTTTTAGAGATTTAATTTTTATTCAAATATTTTAATAAGAAGATGATTCAAAATTAATTACATAAATTAAATTCATTAGAACCCCTTTTGAGATTTAATCGCAACCTAAAAATATATTTTAATTCTTCTTTTTAAAATTAAAATGATTTACGAAAATCATTATTTATTTTATATTCGTATAAATATAATTAATAATATATATATAATAACATATTTCAAATTGATGGCATACATAGTGAGAACATTTATCTACAGATATTATAAGAATTATCTTTGCTCAGTCACAGGATTATTTTTTATATTCCTCAATATATTTGCTTTAGTTTTTCCATTTTTATTTGCAACCAGCACAGGAGGTAAATGAATTAAATAATGAAGAATTTTGGCAAAAAGTAAAAATTGCATCCGAATAAACATATATCTCATTAAATGGTAATTATATCATTTAATGTCATTCTGGGTTTTTGAATGAAACATCATCTAATATCATTAAAGTTACAGATTAAGATTACATAGATTTTTAATATATCAATGAAGATTAAAATTAAGATGGCAAAACAGATTTTATCTAATTTTAAATTAATTTCATGCCATAGTTTAATGCTTAACAGTGCACATTGATTTTATTCTCAAATATCGGAGTCAGAGTAATATAATCAAAAATAAATAGAACACATTGAAATTATAGATGATAACCCCCTTAGTATTTTCTTTTAATGAAGATTTTGAGAATTATGCTATTCATCTTTTTGGTTAGCTTTAATTTTAGTAAAAGTAAACACTTCCTCAACTAACATCAACAAAATTAACTTACTATAATTAAGAAACAACTTTTGAATATCCTTTTAATTTATTTGATTTTAAATTAGAATAACTTTCTTAAAATGAAACAGTTATTCCAATATATGAATCATTTAAATAAAGAAAAGCCCAATCATAAGAAGTTTAAATCACGGGACAACTTAAGATTTAGAACTTTTAGCAATTATATTATAAACCAACAGTACTTCAGAGCTTTAGGGAAGTTTGGATTCAGTATATTTACATAGCCCTCCCAACTTTTTATTTAATTTCAAAATTAGGATCATTTGCTTTATAAAAAAAGATATTTTTTGCCCATCAATAAGTTTATAACGATTAGTATAATACAATTTGACAATATTTATATAAATAATATATTAATAAATCAACTGATTCAATCTAGATAAAACATTTTATCATTAAGTTCTCTTCTTTTATCCTAATAGTTATTTGTTTCAACCTAATTAATCATCGGATTGTTTGTATGAATGAATGGATTTTTTTCGTTTTTACTTTCTCCTTTTCTATTGTTAGCATTGTCTTAATTTTTTTTTTTTTTTTCTTATTTTTCCCAATTATCTCTATTATCTCTATAATCTCTATTATCTCTATTATCCCTATTATCCCTATTATCCCTGTTATCCCTATTATCCCTGTTATCTCTAATATCTCTATTTATCCTATTATCTTTGTTATTTTTATTATCTCTATTATCTCTATTATCTCTATTGTCTCTATTATCTCTATTATCTCTATTGTCTCTATTATCTCTATTATCTCTATTGTCTCTATTATCTCTATTATCTCTATTATCTTTATTATCTCTTTTATCTCTATTATCTTTATTATCTCTTTTATCTCTATTATCTTTATTATCTCTTTTATCTCTTTTATCTTTATTATCTCTAGTATTCCTATTATCTTTGTTATTTCTATTATCTCTGTTATCCCTATTATCATTATTATTTCTATTATCTCTATTATCCCTATTATCTCTGTCCCTATTATCTCTATTATCCCTATTATCTCTATTGTCTCTATTGTCTCTGTTATCCCTATTATCCTAATTTTTTCTATTATCTCTATAATCTCTATCATCTCTATTATCCCTATTATCCCTATTATCTCTATTTTCATCTCTATTAACCCTAATTTCTCTATTATCTCTATTATTTCTTTCATCCCTTATATCTCTTTGGTTATATTTTTAAGTATTCATCTTATTTCTTTCATTATTTTCAAAATTATTATCAAAATTTTGTTAACTAAATTAAAAGATCTCACTTTATTATTAAGAATCTCTTTAAGTGGCATTTTATCTCGTTTATTAAAAATGAGATTAATTGAATTACGATTATCCGTCAATATTTTATTTATTTCTTCGATTATTTCTGAAATCAGTGTTTCTAAATTATTTTAAATCATTTTCTTATTTAAACATCTAATTATGTGCATATGATGTATTAAAATTATTATTTAAACTATTTTGATTTTGCTACTATTATTAATATTGCATCTACTATTGATATGGTTTTTGTTATTAAAATTGTTATTGTTATTATTATTGCTATTTTTATTGTATTTGTTGGTATTAATTCTATTAATGAAAATTAAATGCTTATTAATTTTATTTAGGAATAGGTATTTCTTGAAAACCATCATCATCAATATGAAAACGGTTGAAATTGTGTGAATAATCCTAATATTCTTATTACGGTTAATATCTTCTTTCATTTTTCTAAAAATTATTATACTGTTTTTCATTTTATTATTCTAATTAGCTCTAATCAAATTAAAACATCTAACTTTCTTAATCTAAAGTATAGATATCCCTATGTTATATCATAGATTCCTTTATAGATGTTCTAAAATCTACATCACTCCTATATTATCTCTCCTATTCTCTATCATAAACTTAATCTTCTTCTACTTATTCATGTTCTTCATCTCCTTAACTTTCTTCTTGATTTGTATCATTAACTGTTGAAATATCATAAATTTCTCTTATTAAAGGATCATGATTTTTAAGTTGTAATGTAAATTTTTCATCAAATATAGATCTTTGATATCCTGGTTTTAACATTTCTTCTTGAGTTGGATTAAAAGTCAGCTTTATGATAATTGCTGGTATTTTCACACTAATATTTACATCAATTAGTCCCTCTTCAAGCGGCTCATAATGGTAAAATTTTTCTATGTTAGTAATGACAATAATCTAAAATTAATTTAAAAGTTTTTTATACTGAATGAATTTTAGGAAATTTTTCTCTTAAAATATTAGCCATTGTAATTGCATTAGGTGAGGTTTTATCATAAGCTACTAGATTAATATAAGGAAACTCTAAATTCATTATGATTTTATACTCTGTTCTGTTAAAAGGTATATTGCTTGATCAACTAATTTATGAATTCCTTATTTGATGGGTATCACATTTTTGGCAAATGGTGGATGACAAGTATATTTTTAATATTTTTCTCTTGTTCGGTAAGAATACTTATCTTTTGGCATTAAATTAATATTAATAATATTGATTATTAGGAAAGGTATTAAGAATAGTATTTATTTATTCTTTAAAATCTCTTAAATTTATATATTATTTTTTCTTAAATGTATTTTATTTCAGATTTAGTTTATTAAATGGAATAACATACTATTAATTTTAAAATGATGAATTACACAAATATATAATTCCTTTAGAAATAGTATTATAATTTATAAATTATATTATAAATTATTTATATGATGTCCAAATGCAAATCATGTAATGATGAAGGCTTTCTTACATGTCCTTTGTGTTAGAAAACTACTTATTGTTCAAAAAAATGTAGAGATTATGATTGGTAAAGATTTTAATACTAATTAAGAGGGCTGTATCTCATAAATTTGAATGCAAAGCAGAACTGCCAAAGAGAAATGTCTAAGATTTTGAAATAGTGAACTAAGGTTCTTTAGGGAGAGGAAGTTTTGGATGTGTAAAATTAGCTCGTGATAGATAAACAGGTTTGTTATATGCAATGAAAATAGTAAAATATATATTTATTAAATAGATTGAAAAATCAGATGTTTCAATAGAAAATTTAAGAAGAGAAATAAGAATATAAAAAAAACTTTAACATCCTCATGTGATTCAGTTATTTGAATTTTTTGAAGATGAACAATATGTTTATCTAATTTTAGAGTATGCAGGTAATGAATAAAAATAAATAGAAAATGGTTCATTATTTGGTTATTTGAGGAAACGAAAGATATTACCAGAAAATGAAGCTTTTGTATATTTCTTTTAAACTTGTCTTGGAATAGATTATCTTCATAAAAAATAAATAATCCATAGAGACTTAAAACCAGAAAATTTATTACTTGATAAAGATGGAAATATAAAAATTTGTGATTTTGGATGGTCTGCAGAGATGATGATAACATAAACAAGAAATACGTTTTGTGGAACTATTGATTATATGACTCCAGAGATGTTAGAAGATAGACCTCATGATTAAACTCTTGATATGTGGTGTTTAGGGGTGTTATTATATGAGTTAATTCATGGTTAAGCACCATTTAAAGGAAGGAATGATTTTGAAAAATGTTAGAATATTTTAAAATAAGAAGAATTTGAATTAAAAGCAAGTGATTAAGTATATTATTTAATAACTTATATTAGGCTAAAGATTTGATTTTAGGTCTAATGAAAAGAGACTCTAAAGAAAGATTTACAATGGATTAAGTATTTACTCATTCTTGGATGTTAACTATGGCCAAAGGATATTAATTAGAAATTAAGGAATATATTTTTGAAGAGAAAAAGAATTTAGATTAATTAAGTAGTAGTCTTAGACTTGATACTAAATTTTCAAATACTAACACTACAACAACTAGATTATCTGGTTCAAATAATAAATAAGAATGTGTATCATTAGCATTTTCAATGTATTCTGATGAATTGTAGCCTCCTATATAGACTAGAATCACTAGAAGAACCTAACATACTGTAAGGAAAGAAAGTGGTTTCTTTGAAACACTTCTTTAAAATCTTGGTTGCACTAAAAGAGGTTGATTAGATTAACATTTTTTTAAAACAAATATTTTTTGTACTTTACTAAATTAATTTAATCAAATTTTGTTATATAATTTTAATTAGAAATTCATAATGATAGATTAGTAAACAATAACACTTGATTAAATATATGGGTGCAATTTCAAAAGGGTTCCATTTCTATATGCAGAGATGGAAGGAACAAATCCATTTCAAATTAATGAAGCTGATGAAGATTTAGATTCTGATAAATAATAATAAAACTAACATAAAATAATCTCACCCATATAATTAAAGACCTAATTAAAACCTTTAATTTAAACTAGAAAAAGAAGACAAACTGTTCATAAATCACCTGTAAATAAATCTCAATATGAAAACCATATTGGGTTCAGAAATTCTTTTTATAAAAGCAATAATAAAGTCAATCTAGCATCAAGATAGCGGGTTGAAGAATTGAAGAGTTAAGAGATTTCAATGTTTACAAAATATGCCCAAAGATTCTAATTGTAAAAGTAAGGGCTTTGGAATTGATTTGAATAGCTGATTTATAGTTTGAAAAGACATCTAATTTTTGTTATTTAATTATTAATATTAATCATATTTATATAAAGCTAACAGTTCAAATTTATATATATCAATACCTCTATTATTCTTGTAATATTTATCTTGCATTTTATTTTGATAAATTATTAGAATTATATAATGATGAATTATTGAAGAATCTTATAAAATAATATATAAAATAATCATGGATTAAGAAATATTCATCAAATAGCCTCTAGATGACGAGAAGATTGATCAATCTGAACAGTAATGAAATTTTTAAATTTTTATAGATAATCTTAATTAATGCAAAATGAAGAATCATTAGAACATTTAGTCAATTCATTAATATAATAATAATAGCCGAATGAAGATGATTAATTTAAATAATAAATTGGAAAGCGTAGAATTAATGACTAAAGGTATTTTTTTGAACAATATAAATTAATGCTATCAGATTTACATTCCAAGAAGATAAGCGTATCTTGGAATTAGTTTAATAGGTTGGTCCAAATTTTAACAAAATAGTCAAATAGTTTCCAGGAAAAACAATGAATATGATAAAAAATAGGTATTATAAAAAGCTGCGATACATTAAAGAAGATCCTTAAAATGATTAAGAATAAGTGAAAAAGCATTCCAAATCGAAAAAAGCAAATTGATTTTTTGATTTATTTATAGACTAACTATGCCACTTTTGTTTTGTCTTGTAAAGGCCATGCTTTTAATAATATTTTATTCATATACAATATTTTATTATTTTTATTAATTAAAATATTTATATTAAGCAAATTTACTTCTATGCAATCATAAAAGAGAGGATAACAACATAAACAAGGATATCAAGCAGATTTAAATAAATATTTTGGAAAGAGACTAAAAATTAAGTTGAATGCAAAACGAACTATTATAGGGACAGTAATTGGGTAAATATTGAATTTATATTAATATTAGATTTGATATTTTTATGAATCTTGTCCTTGATCATTGTAAAGAATTGATTCCAGGATAAGGTGCAGAGAATAAAGATAATCTTTATCCAGGCTTTTCAAATGTCACTGATCAATTAGTTGATATTGGATAAGCAATTGTGAGAGGAAATTCAATAATTATGTGGGAATGTTTGGATAAAGTTAAAGACTGACTGAATATATTAACAATACAATAATAAACAATTAATTTATTGATTTATTTATTAATATTACTTCTTAACCTATAATTGTGGTTAAAGGGTTTATGAAAAATTAAAAACATTTTTAATACTTTTTTTCAAAAAAATTATCATCATTTCTGTTCGATCATAAAGCTTAAATTAAATTTAATAGATTATGTAAATGAATTTTAGGGGTGAATTATAAAGGGTCTGTTTTATAAATGATCTATTTAATTATCAATGATTCTAATTATTAAATATAAATTAATGATTTATGGTAATAGTATAATATATGATGATTTATTCATGCTCCTAATCAAATAATTCAATAAAAAATTAATTAACAATGTTTTTTGTAATAATTAAGAATACCTTTTATTTCTATATTTTGATACACTCTATATTTTCTTTACTGAGTTTATTGATATGTTTAGACAATGATATAGATCATTTTGAAATTTAATGTCCAAGAGTAATTATTTATATTATATTAGTTGAGTAATGAAATAAAAGAATTAGTTTCAGGGATGTTTAAACCATTTTTGCCAGAAGTTATAGAATTCTTAGTTGGAAAAATATTAATGTAAGATTTAAGAATTGTGAATGCCTTGATTTTTTCAGGCATATTGGAAGTATTATTGGTGATATTAGGAGCATTGTAAGACTGCATTTAATTTTAGTTATTATATAATGGTTGAAACTCCTAAGCCAATATAAAAGAGCTTGAGATTAATTGCTAAATTGACATTCTTTTTAGGTTTAGTATTTTGGATAACAATTTATTGTAGCGGAATAGGTTTAAAAAAATTACTTGAGATAGTACATATAGTTTATTAAAATCCATAAAATGTTGAAAATTATTCAAATGATTTATAAGAATTTATTTTAAAGAGGCAAGAAGAGATTTTAGAGTATTATTTCTGATTGCAAAATAATATTCTAAATTATTATTAAAAACAATGCTTAATTAATAATATAAAATTCCTATACTTTCTTGATTATATTATAAAGTCCTATTAAATGATTTTTGAAAACCAAAAAGAAATAAATTGAAATATATATAATTTTAATAACAAATGATTAAAATCAAAAAGCAAGAATAATTTTTAACCTTATTAATCGATTTTAAATGGAATAATGAAATTCTCTAGGCTAAACGATTTAAAATTAAAACAGTTTATTTAAAGAGTGATATATATTTTAGTTGAAACCTTAAGAATCATTTAATTTCTCAATATTTTGTTATGATTCTTAAAAGTTTTTGGTATTGGCTAAATTTGGATTGTAATTATTTTATTTAGATCCTTTCTATTAGCCAAATATTATGTAATATAAATTCAGATTACGTCAGCTTTATTTATAAGGACTTTTAATTTGAGAAAAAAATAATAATTCTAATTTCTTCTAATGACTTCTCCGTTTAAATAGATACTTGTAGTTTTGTAAAAGAATTACATAGTATATTTCTAAGAGAGACAATTTGTAGGTGAATTACTTGTACCTTTAATAGTGTTTGTTATGCTTTTGATAGCTTGTAAAAATTTAAGAATATTCTTAAAATGTAGAAAAAGAAAATAATCTTGTATTCCTTGAAGTGATGGCTGAATTTTTACCAATGACCCTAATAGTGACATCTAGATATATTGTGATATAGATGATAGCTGAAAAGAGTGAAAGATAAAAGGAGATATAAAAGGTAAAAGAAAATAAATAAAATTGTAGATTATGGGATTACAAGGATCAGCTTATCAATTAGGATGGTTATTGTTTAATCTCACAAGATTATTATTAGTGTGTTTAATATTTTTAGTTTTGGCTGTACCAACTGGATGTTTTGATCCTCCAAAGATGGGTCATGAATTTTTGAATAAAGGTTAAATAGTAGGAAGTTTTATTTTGTTTGGATTAAGTTAATGTGCATAATCATATTTCATATCTGCTTTATTTGATTAACCAAGAAGTGGAGCAGATATGTCTATAATAATAATAATAATTGGTTCATTATGTGCATAACTCTTAAATGTTGATAAAGTTAATAGGTATAAATAAAAATAAGTATTTTTAGTAATGCAGGAATTTTAACTATTCTTGGTTTTGTTTTTCCTACATTTGGTTTTGATATATATGTTTTTCCTTAATTAGGAGGAATGAGTGGAGACACAGTTTTAGGTATAACTGAAGAAGGTTATTTTATATTGTAAGCATCAACAACATTAATATATGCATTCTTGTATTATTATTTTGAACAAGTATTACCGAATGAATATGGAACAAATAAACATCCTTTGTTTTGTATTGGTTGCTAATATCAAACAGATACAGATGTTTTATCTTCATCCTATGAATTGGGAGGAATGGGAAAACCATTTCTTAGTAATAGGTAATCAGAATTTTAAGAGGATGCAAGTTCTGCAATTTATCATGAAGTCTTTGAAAACATTAAACAAGTTAAAGTAATATTCAACCTTTATTTATTTAGAAAGCTATTTAAATAAAAAATGTAAGAAAAAGTTATGGAGAACTTAAGGCTGTAGATGGAGTTACATTATAAATTTATGAATCTTAAATTCTTTGTTTGTTAGGTCATAATGGAGCAGGTAAAACAACATTGATTTCTTTATTGACTGGATTAATAAAAAAGGATAGTGGATTAATATCATATTATAATACAGATACTAATTTTGATGATATTAGATCATATTTAGGAATATGTCCTTAGAGAGATGTTCTGTATGATTCAATGACATGTGATTAACATTTATGGTATTATGGAAAGATTAAAGGAATAGATGAAAAATAATTATTTTTAGATATAGACACAATTATTAATAAATGTGATCTTTTGAATGATCGATCTAAATTTGCTAAGAATTTATCAGGAGGAACTCGAAGAAAATTAAGTTTGGCTATATCACTAATAGGTTAATCTAAAGTAATATTTTTGGATGAACCAACATCAGGAATGGATCCAATTTCAAGAAAGAAAATTTGGGATATTTTATTATAAGTAAAGAGTGAAGGAAGATGTTTGGTATTGACTACTCATCATTTAGATGAAGCTGAAGTACTTTCAGAAAGAATTGCTATTATGGCAAAAGGAAGACTCTTAACTGTAGGTTCAGTTGATTTTGTTAAAGTCAATTTTGGAATTGGATATCATCTAAATATTTATAACAAAGGAAGTTCTGATTGGAATTTAAAATCTAAGAATTTATTAGCTTTAACTAAACAATGTGTTCCATCATCTAGAGAAAATCCTCAAACTCCATAAGAATGTGTTAGTATTTCAATTAATTTTGACAAAAAAGAAGAATTGTTACCTTTATTCTAATAATTAGAAAAGGATCCTTAAATAGAATTGAATTTAGTTATGAATACTTTAGAAGAAGCATTCATAAATATTGGTATGGATGAAGAATCATTTTTAAAAAAGAAAGTTTAAGGTCAATAAATAACTTAAGATACTACTTAAGTAAATTTAAATGAAGAACTAAATAAAATAGTACCACCTACTTGTTTGAGTAGACCTCCTGTTTTTAATTTTGGTTTACAATTATGGTCTTGCATTCTAAAAAAACATTATAATGTAACTACTAAGAGACTCATCGTTGGAATAATTATACCAGCAATATTGATAATTTTAGGACCAATATTAACTTAAGTGTATTATAAATCATTTGTCGAGAAAAATGCTCGTGAATATGAAAATGAATTTTATGAGAATGCATTAGCTATTTTTGATTCTTATGGTTATATTATTTTTGGAATAGCTATTGCTAGTTCATAAGTAGGTAGTTAACCTGTAGAAGAAAGAGAAAAAAAATAGAAATATGCACTTAATGTGATGGGTTGTAGAATATTACCATTTTGGTTAGGCTATTACCTTTACGATTTAATCATATGTATAATTTTGTTGATTATTTTTATAATCGCAATTGTAGCATGTGGTTACACTTATTTAAACGATGGAGTATTTTATACTTTAGTATTTTTTAATTTCTTTGCTTATTTACCATTTTCATATATGTTTTCTTGGATGTTTAATTCATTTAATTCAGCTGTTAAATCTTTACTCATAATTTAAATAATAGGTTTTTATTTAATGGCAGTAATCTTCTATCTACTTACATTTTAACATATAGCAGGACTATGGATTCTTACATTTTTATGTCCTTCTTTATCTTTTCTTTCAGGGTGTGTGACCTTTTTAAATAGTTTACATCTTGAAGGGAAAAATAAAAGACATAAACCTCATTTAAGTGCTTTTGGAGAAGATGTTGATCCATTTATTTTTATAATAATTTTATTTTTATAAGGTATTGCTTATTTTGCAATAACTCTATTACTTGATAACAGATAATTATTAGCTGCAAATAATAGTGGATCAGAAAATTAAATTTCTGATAAGGATGTATTAGCTGAAGAATCAAGAGTTTTAGATTTAAGATGCTAAGATAGAATTATTGCTAGAAAGATTTCAAAAATATATTCAAATGGATTTTCAGCTGTAAAAGGAACTTCTTTTGGTGTAGAACCAGGATAAATTTTTGGATTATTAGGACCTAATGGAGCTGGAAAATCAACTACATTTAATATGATAACATCAAGATTAAAACCATCTTCTGGAAATATTTATTTAGAATAAGTAGAAATAAAAAAAGGAATGGGAGATATTTATTAGAATGTTGGAATTTGTCCATAATTTGATAGTCTTTATGACATAGTATCAGTTAGAAAACATTTACAATTATGGGGATATTTAAAAGGATTGAAAGGAATAGAATTAGAAGAATCTATTTTATATTTTTTAAAGGTTATGTAATTAGAAAATTATGAAAATTCATTAGCTGGATAATTAAGTGGAGGAAATAAACGAAAATTATGTGTTGCTTTAGCACTTATGGGTGGAACAAATATGTAATTCTTTGATGAACCATCTTCTGGTGTTGATCCTATTGCTCGTAGATTTTTATGGAATGCTATTCAATAAGGTGTTAAATTAAGATAGAGTTCTGTTATTTTAACTACACATACTATGGATGAAGCTGAAAGTCTTTGTAATAAAATTGCAATTCAAGTTAATGGATCTTTTGCCTGTATTGGATCTGTCTAACATCTTAAATAAAAATATGGGGAAGGTTATAGAATTGTAATTGATCCCATTAATCAAGTATTTATTTATTCTATTTAAAGGAAAGTATTAAATTAATTTAAGATTAATTAAATCAAAAATTCTAAAATTTCGATTTTAGTGTTGATGAACATACTGGAAAAATCGTTTGTAAATTTCCTATCTAAGGATTCTAGTTTTATTAAACCTTCTATATTTTCTAATAAGTCTTATAAAATGAATTAAAATTAATCAAAGATTTTTAGATAAGTTAACCAAATCTAGAATAAATATTTGTTTAATTTGCAGCCTCACAAGTTACTGAATAAGAAAAAGTACAAATTTAAAAAAGAAGTTGCTAAATTGCAATTCTTTGCGGAAATGATGAGGATAATTGATATTGAAATTCTTTATATGTATTTGTAAATTTATTTTTTCACATAAATATTTATATATAAATTACATATATAGAATTAATTCAATTTTGCCTAATCTATTCATACTTGTTGCTTTTATACTATTTACCTTCACCTTCCAAATTAAATACATTGCTTAAATTGATACTTTCATTAATCTCACCAGGATTATAATTTTCATTATTATCATTTTTTTTTTCAGGCTCTTCCTCAATTACAAAAAAGTCCTTTTTTGTCATCGATGTATCCATTCTATTTTACAATTTTTCATCATCTTGAATTTATTCTTGCTTAGAAATATCTTTGAAATTTTTCGAATTATTTTAGTATTTAGGTTAAGATTTTTATTTTCTTCTACATAATCTATATATAATTAATCCAACTATTAAAATTCCAAAGAATACTCCTAAAATTATAATCCAGTCATTTGCAGAATCAAATTGAACAAGTAATCTTGAAACCATTTACTATGAGTTTAATTTAAATAAACAATAAATATATATCTATAATGATGAACAATGTCACAATTTCTATAATTATCTCCATTTGATTGTTATTCTATCCAAAATCTTTTTCCAATCATCCTTTTGTTATTTTTCTGCCAAAGTTTACTAAAATTCGATTTCTGTAATTTTAACAATATTTTTATGAATAATTTATTAATCTAATAACAATTCTATTGCAATAAGCGAATTTAACCTATTACTTTTATAAAATATAATACTAATTTTCTTCAACAGCCTTTCTTTTTAATTCGTCAAAGTTATCTCCAATAATTTTAATAATTTTATTAGTTAAATTATCTTCTAATTTATTTCTTTCATTATCAGTCAATTCAGCATCATATTAAGTAGAATCTTTAAAAAATGCATCTTTGCAATTTGCAAAAAATATCTTATAATATTCTAATTCATTTTTAATATAATTTAATATATTCCATTTAGTTCCTTTAATCAATAAATCTTCTCCAGAATCACATGTTTCTTCAATTAATTAAACCAAAAGATTGCTATAAGCCAATACAAGTCTTGATAATTGGAGAATACATTCTTCAATAGATTAATCTGCTCTAAAGATTCTTTTTAATTGATCTAATTTTTGATATAATTCTAAATTGACAAAATGACGAAAAGCAATATCTTATTTCATTTATTATAAAAAGACTAATTATTTACATAATTAATCTCCAGTCATTTTTTATGATTATTTTTGCATCCAACTTATATTTTAATCATTATATAGTTTTTATAAGGTTGGATTATTAGATACTAATCCTTTTTCCATACTTTCAAACATCTGAAAGACTTGATCCCATTAAATTCTTTCAGTTTCTTCTACAATTAAGGCTTTTGTTAGAAATTCTCTCGTAAAATCAGTAATACCATTATGTTTAAAGACTAAAGGTTTCATTAAAATGTTTTTTAATAAATCTTATTCATCTCTACCTTTCCAAGGAACATCATGGAATACCATCTCATAAAAGATGACCCCTATAGACCAGATATCACATTTTGTAGAGTAGGTTTTCCTCTATAAAATTTAAGGAGCCATATATAAAGGTGATCCAACACAAGATCTAAGTAATTAAGATGTATAATTATCAACATATTTAGCAAACCCAAAATCTAAAGAATATATTAAAATCAATAGAATACCTGCTATTTTAACAATTCCTTCGTGATTGAGTATGTTGGCAGGCTTTAAGTCCCTGTGAATTACTCCTTATTTAACTAATTCTTTGAAACCATTGACAATTTATAACATAATTCCTTGAGTCTATTGAAATAATATAGGATAAAAATTGAGATACTTCTTATTCTGATATTCTTTTCTTTTAAATAAACTCTTTTAAATCACCATCTTTACAAAGTTCTGTAATGATGTACAAAGACCTTTGAGTTGTTATAATATCAATGAATTTCACAATATTAGGATGATTAAATTTCTTAAGTATTTCAATTTCACTAACTATTTAATTCCTTAAATAAGTATCTCTTTCAAATAATGCCAAATCCATTTTCTTAATAGCAACAACTTCATTAGTCTTAATATCCATTCCTTAATACACTTTTCCATAGGCTCCTTCTCCAAGACAATGCCTTTCATTATACTAATATTAGCCAATCTATTTGACTGTTCTATTTAATTAACTCATAGATGGATATATTAAAGGATATTATATTATATATTAAAATTAATTACATATATAAAATAATAGATGTATAATGATTATTGATATTATATAATATTAGAAGAGGGAATAATCATTATATTAAACTTTTCATAAATTTAACACTATCTATATTAGATTTATTAAATATAATATAATTAATTAGATCATATTATGATATTTATTGTTTATTTTTGACGGATTACTATTAAATTTAAATTGATAATTGCTAACTAAGATAAGCATAAATATTTTTAATAATATTATGAACAATATCGATTAATTCTTCATTCATCATATATAAAAATTTGTTCCATCTTGGAGTCATCTTTAAAGTGATGATTTGAGAATTACAAAGACTATTGGAATAACAAATAAGACATATATTATTGAAGCAGATGCTAAACCAAGCAAAATAATATTTCGTCATTTTGGTGAGGTTGGAGTTGGATTATTTTTGAACAGAGAATAAGAATTAGAAATTGCAAGATAAGTGGCTAAATGTAAAATGGGACCACATTTTTATGGTCATACTTCACATGTAATAACTAATTTTATAATAAAAAGGTTCGGTTAGAAGAATATATAGAGAATGAGGTTATGAGTTAAGAAGCAATGAAAGATCCTGAAACTTATGCTATGGTGGCTTAAACTTTGTGTAAATTTCATCAGATAGATATATCTGGTTAAATGAAAGACAAAACACCTTTGTTTGAAAAACACTTGGCAGAAAATTCAGATTTCTTATCATAAGTAAGAGAGAAAGTTTTTTCTAATTTATTCTCAGAAGATGAAAGATCTATACTATCTAATATGGCTCATTGGTTCTCAGAAGAAGAGATTTCATTTTTGCGATCAATTTTACCTCAAGATGACATAGTTTTTTCCCATAACGATTTATTAGCAAATAATATACTATTGATTCCACCTGTAATTATCTATTCTTATTTATTAGAACTTTGATAAGGTTGTTTTCATTGATTTTGAATATTCTTCTTATAATTTTAGAGGATTTGATATAGCCAATTATTTTATAGAATCACAATTTAGTTATCTAAATCCTAATCCACCTTATTTCTATATTGAAGAAGAAATGATTGATGAAGAAGTGTTGAAAGATTTTGTTAAAGTTTATATCGAGAAATCAGGTTTAGATTTAGATTATCAAAATTTACTACACTAAGTTTATATTGGACAATTATTTTCGCATTTCTTTTGGGCGTATATAATTAATTTATAATTCATAGAGCTTGGGGAATCATTATGGCTAAATCAAATGATATAGTTTTTGATTATCTTGCTTTTGTAGAAGTTAGATATCATAAATATTACTAACTAAAGAAGCATCTTTTTGGAAAAAAATGATAAAATAATACAAAGTTTTAATAATATATTAATCTTATAGAAACTTGTTCATTCTATACAATTGTTTTATAAATTTTATTATTTTAATCCACCAAATTTATAATTAAATCAACTAAACTAGTTTATTCATGTTCAATATTTGTTGATATTTTTATATCATTTAATTAAATATGAGTAAAATTAAAGTTTTGAGTGTTACAGGTAATCCAGATTTAATACATTTTCGGACTCTTTAAAAGAATGAAAGAAAAAAGACATATGAAATTTAAGAATTGCATGAGGTAATCAATAAATAATTTAAGTTTAGTCTGAATATGATCATTAGATTAAAATACTAAAAAGAGATGCTTCTCTAAGAATATAGCTAAAAAGATTGCAACCATTATTTAATCAAGAGCCTTTTACAATTGATGACTCTTTCACATCGAAAACTGTTAAAAGGTAAGTGTAATCTCAAATAATTTAGACCATTATTGCTTATTCAAAATGGTACACCTATGGTCCATTCAAGTAGACGAACTAAATTTACTTAAAGTTTAATCAACTAGGCATATGAATCCTAATTATCTTTTTTTAATTCAAGGAAAAAAAGTAAATATAATAATCAATTTTATAGCATATGTATAAATTATTTTATCTATTGATGAATAACTTTATCCATTAATTGTTGAATTATATACAGAGTATGCTCCTAAAGCGTGTGAAAACTTTATAAAATTATGTGAGGGTGTCACTATAGATGGAAACTTTTACACTTATAAAAATACTAAATTTTCTAAATTTAAGCCAAATGGTACAAATTATTATTATAACACTAGGATTCTTATAAGGTGGATAATTTGCAAAAAAAGTTTCAATTTATGGAGATTATTTTGAAGATGAATCATATGCACTCTAGCATGATTGTGAAGGTATCATTGGATTAGTTAATGATGGATTTTAACATACAAATCATTCATAATTTTATATTACATTAGCTCCTATGAGTTATTTTAATTTTAAACGAGTAGCTTTTGCTAAAGTTATTAGAGGAATGAAATCATTTAAGAAAATTTTAAAATAAGAATAAATCTCTCATAGTATTACTATTTAAGAATGTGGAAGATATGATCATTAAGTTTAAATAATGATGAAATTGGAGAAATTTTCTGAAGATTTTGCTAGTATCTTACCAGAAAATGCTGAATCATTTAATAAATTTATTGAAGCAGAATAAGAGAAACATAGTGAAGCATAAGGAGATTTTACTTAGTTAATAAAATTTTTAGTTGAATAAATGAAATAAATTTCGAAATTTGCATATTCGTTAACTGCAATTAAGAAAGCTATTTTATTATTAAATGAATCATTTAAGAAAAGTCAATTATGTTTAATGTTATACATTTTAGATAATTAATAAGTCTTATTATCAGATAATTAATAAGGAAAATATTTAGTAGTATTTAGAGCAATTGATGGAAATGATTCTTGTAGAGGATCAGCATTTATAGTATTTAAAAAGCAAACAACAAAATTCAAAAATGTTACATTAAATGACTTAAAATAAAGTGGAGAATAAGTAGTCGGAGTTTGTTATTGTGTTTATGGAACAACAACTTAATTGGTCTTAGGAATAGGTTATAATTTAAGCATGTTTACATTTTAGAATAATGAATTCAAATTATAATAATAAGAGTATTTAGATAATATTAAAATAATAGATTATAAATACCAAAAACTGAAACATTTTATTGTACAGATATTAAAGATGATTTTATATAATAAAAAATCATAAATAATTTGGCTACTACAAATTTGAGATACACAAATAGTATATTCACAACTTTGCATCGTGTTGTAAGACTAGGAGGTTTAGCAATGTATTAGAATGTGACAATTTTCGAGGCAATAATTTGTGCATTCATTTTAACAAGATCATGGGGTTGGTCATTTTGTGCAGAAACTAGTAATATTATATTATTATTTTAGCCACGTTGAATTAAATAAAAATTAAAGATGTTAAACAATTAACTTATCTTTATTTAGGTTAATAGAAATGGATCTAGAAAATAGAGAATCATTATTTATAAATAGTTTGAGAAATTAAACATATGTTTTTGTGAATAATGTAAAAATTAAGAATTAAGTAAAATGTATCAAATCAAAACAAAGTCGAGATCCTTGCAACATAAAGCAAGTCCTTCTTTATTTTTGAATTTGTTAGGATTTGATTCTGAACTCCAAATGTTTGTGTTATTCCATATACCCCATCCCATATTTTTAGCTATATTAATACCAAAAGAATAGAGTTCAACAGTTGTACAAAGATGATAACTAAATGGACATTATTTGGCTTATTCAAATAAACAATTCTCACATTGTAATAATACCCAATCTCCATGTAATTGAAATATTTAAGATGATGCTAAAATCTCCCATTCTTCAATCTTTCTATTAAATAATTTTAATGTATCTAAATTGAATGATGGTAAATCATTTTCTAAACCAATTTTGAGTTTTTTAAAACTTATTGCTTTACCTGATTGTAATTTAGCACATTCAATTCCATTTATAAATAACTTAATTGCTTTATCTGATAGAACTAGAAATAATTGATACCATAGTTATGGTTACAATCTCATATTTGATGCAATATTTTATTAATTTTCTTAAATAGCAAATGTTGGAATTGTTGTATCAACTACAATAGAAACTGAATTTTAATGATCTTCTATTTCATCAAATAAAGTCAAAATGTTTCCTACTTCTTTTATTTTTCTTCCAATTTCTTCAAACATTATTTAAAAACTGATAGTCCATTATGAACCTTCAAATGATGGAACAAACTACACTTCAAATTCAGAATCTTTTTTAAAATATACTCCAGTTCCCATCATTGAAGAAGATCTAGATAATTCATTTATATTAGTAATGTGATTATGTGGACCTTAATCTACTAATTTATCTAAATCAAAATTCCAAAAACCAAAATATGGTTAATACTTTTCTCTTATTTTCATTCCTGGAGCACATAATGTTTAAACATTTAAACCACAATCATATTCTTCTAATTAATATGTTGTCATAATTAAAAAGCTTATAATTATAAACATTTATGATAATTTTATTATTTAATATTTGAACTAAGTAAAATTTTTGGAATTATTTTTAAAATTAAAAAAAAAATGGACTAAATATCAGACGAAGCAATGAACGCTATGCCAAAAAAACCATAAAATGCTTATATGTAATTTAGAGCAGACATTTATGATGATCTTAAGAAGAAGAACCAAGATAAAAGTATGACTGAATTGACTTAATTGATATCTACTATGTGGGGTGAATTGGATGAAAAGAAGAAAGAAGTATAAATATTTATATTAGAACCTTTTTATTAGAAATACAATAAAGATTATGAAAAGTCTTTAGAATAATATAAAACTGATTATGCTGGGTGGTTGAAGAAGTTCAAATTGGATGAAGATAAAGTTAAGAAATGCCTTAAAGAAAATAAATAAGCTAAAAAAAAGAATAAAAAAGGTTCTAAAAAAGTAACCAAGGCTTCAAAGAATGAAGAAGAAAGTGATGATGAAGATGAACAGAAAATTTAGTCATTAAAAAATAAGAACTAGAAGAAATAATAAGAATAGAAAGATGCGAACGGATAAAAGAACACTAAAGATTAATAGAAACATAAAGTCAATCCATAGTAGAAGGAGAAAGAGAAAAAAGATAACAAGAAAAAATGATTAATTTTATAATAAATTATAATTAAAATTATTCCAATTATGCTTTAAATACAACAACTTTGTGAGGATTCAGGTTTATCTTGTGGAAGAGGAATTTTCATTGGAATTTATTCTGGACTTATTTTTGCTATTTCAATCTATTGTTTAATAAAACTTTATGGATTTATGGGCAGAATTTCATATGAAATGATACCTTTGACTACTTGTGCCATTCAATCTTGTTTGCATTTTATAAATGACATCTTTTTAGTTACTAATTCTTTATAAATTGTTATAATTTACTTCTGTTTACAAACTTTTATATTGATATCTCAAAGCTTTTTCCATTTATACTACAAATTGACGTATTCAAAAGAAGAGTTTTAAAGTTATAGATTAAAATAAAAATACAGCTTAATAATATTTTATATCGTATTCACATCAATCATAATATTATATCTGATTTAAATAGATGATGAAAATTGTTACGATTATTTTGATGTTGCATTGGCAATCTAACTTCTGATAATTTTGTTTAGTGTTCTCATATCAATACTTTATGGTTAAAAATTAAAGGAAGAAATGAATAAACATGAAACAACAAATGTGACAAAAATAGCAAATTATTAAACTACAGCTGTGCAGTTAGTTTTAAGTATATCTGCAATTTTAGAATTTGTAATGTCAATTTTATCGCTAACTACATTTAATGGATTGTTTTGTAATTTACCATTAAATAATATAAATGATGCAGGATTTACACCAGGAGAGAATGTTTACTTAACATTCTTTTCAATGATAGAAATGACCCCTTGTATATTAGTTCCTATAATTTTTTTTTATTTACCTTAAATACCTTAATAATAGAGTCAATAAAATGAGTTTAATTTAGATGATACATTTTTATAACATTCAACAAGATAGTCAATGGATTTTAGTGGATTAATAAATATGTCTATTGATTAAAAATAATGAAATTAATTAAACTCTTTTATATATATAAAATATATTAAGAGTTTTTGTGTATAAAAAAAAATTGGCGCAATATAATTAATAATTAATTTAAAATGCCTCCCAAAAATAATTAGAGTGGCTTAATGTCAGCAGATCAGAGATCAGAAATAGGTGATTTTTCTAGACATACTCCAGCAAGATCTTTAATCTAACCACGTAATAGATAGATATTAGGAACTGCATCAAGAAGAACAGGAACACAATCTCAACATTCACCAACTAGAATGACAGTGGAAACATAAGAAGCAGTTTATTGGGGAACAAACATTGATGAGAGAGCTATTGAGAAATAATTTGATAGATTTTTAAAAGAGTATAGATATGGAGGAATGGAATACTATATGAATTAATTGAACTAATTGAATGAAACAGATTAATACATCTTAAATGTTGATGGAAGACATTTATTAGAATTTAATAATCATTTGTATTAACAATTAATACATTATCCAGCTGAAATAATACCAATATTTGATACAGTAGTATAGAGAGTGTTTTATGATGATTTTTTATCATTAAAAGCAAGAAATGAATAGGAGAGAGAGGAGTTTCGATTACATGCTTAGAGATTGTTGATAGGTATAATAAATTTGGAGAAAAATGTATAAGTAAGAGAATTGAATCCTAGAGATATAAATAAATTAATAAGTGTAACAGGAATAGTAATAAGATGTAGTGAATTATATCCTGATATGAAATAAGCGACATTTAAATGCACAAAATGTGGTCATATAGTGGGAGTTAATATAGAGAGAGGTAGAGTAGAAGAACCATTAAGTTGTTAAAGATGTAGAGATAAAGGTTCATATGAATTAATACATAATCTTTGTTAATTCACTGATAAACAATATGTTAAATTACAAGAATAACCTGAGACTGTACCTGAAGGATATACACCATAAACTGTAAATTTAGTTCCGTATGATTATAATGTGGATGATGTTAAACCAGGAGATAGAATTATTGTAGTAGGAGTATATAGAGCTGCACCTATTAGATAAACAAAAAATAGAAGAGTGTTAAAATCTATTTATAATACTTTTATTGATGTTATATCATATCAAAAAGAAACTAAAGTCGAATAAGAAAAAAATAAAAATATAACTGAAGAATAAAAATAAAAATTAATGTATCTTTCTTAATAACCAAATATTTACGACAGTTTAGTAAAGTCTATAGCTCCTTCAATTTGGGAAATGGATGATGTTAAAAAAGGAGTTCTTTGTTAACTTTTTGGAGGAACTAATAAAGAATTCTCTTAAGCAGGTAAAGGTAGATTCAGAGCAGATATAAATGTTTTATTAGTTGGAGATCCTTCAACTAGTAAATCTTAAATATTATAATGTGTTCATTCATTATCAAGTAGAGGAATTTATACTTCAGGAAAAGGTTCTTCAGCAGTTGGTCTTACAGTTTATGTTTCTAGAGATCCAGAAACTAGAGAAATCATTTTAGAATCTGGAGCTTTAGTACTTAGTGATATGGGTATTTGTTGTATTGATGAATTTGATAAAATGGATGAAAATGCTAAAACTATTTTACATGAAGCTATGGAATAATAAACTATATCTGTTGCCAAAGCTGGTATTGTTAGTTAATTAAATGCTAGAACTGCAGTTTTAGCTGCTGCTAATCCACTTAAATCTAGATATGATGTTAAATAATCTGTGGTTTAAAATATTAATATGCCACCTACTATTTTATCTAGATTTGATCTCATTTATTTAGTACTTGATGAATTTAATGAAAAAAGAGATGAAATGTTAGCTTATCACATTTTAAATATGTATTCTCTCAAAGACAAATAAGATTATTTAAATCAAATTGAAGAAGAAGGAAATACAGAAATTATTGATAGAGAAACATTATATAGTTATATTTGTTATGCAAAATAAAACATTTTTCCTAGATTAACTGAAGATGCATAAAATGAATTAATTCAAGCATATGTCAAAATGAGAAGTGCTGGCAACTCTTCAAATACTATTACAGCTACTCCTAGATAATTAGAATCATTAATTAGATTATCTGAAGCATTAGCTAAAATGGAATTTAATTAAAGAGTTGAAAAATATCATGTATTAGAAGCTGTTAAATTAATGGAAATTGCCATGAAAAAAGCAGCACTTGATCCTATTACTGGTAATTATTTTATTTAAACTTATAGGCAAAATTGATATGGATTTATTGGCAACTGGTAGATCAAATGCTTCAAGAGAATTAGTTTCTAAATTAATAGTTGAAATCACTAATTTAATTAAAGCTAATTTATCAGATTATAGAGGACAAGGTGTCAGATTTTTTGATTTTGTAGAATAAGTATTTATTTTTAATAATATTCTAGATTAACACATTAATATCTGCTTAAACTAGTGAAGGAACTATTGTTGATAAGAGGCAGCATTAAAAAGAAATCTTAGAAGCTTTACATTTACTTGAAGAATAAGGTTTTGTTTAATTACCAGGGGACAGAAATAAACCAAAAATTAAAGCTGGTATTAAAGCTCTTTAATGATTTATATTATGTAATTTTATATAATATTATTTTTTTTTAATTAACAGATGGACTCTCCTTTAAAAGATATGACTGGAACGATTGTTAATAAGTAAAATATATATTAATTAGACAATATAAACTTATAAAGAAATTAGGAGCTGGAGCTTTTGGTGAAATTTATTCTTCATAATCAAATGGATTAGAGTATGCTATAAAAATAGAGAAATCTGATTCAAAACATCCATAATTAGAATTTGAATCAAAATTATATCATTATTTGAATAATCATAATGGATAAGGAATTCCGAAATATTATGGCTATTATTCGCAAGATGGTTATAATTTTTTAGTAATGGAATTACTTGGTTAATCACTTGAGGATCTCTTTTCTGAAAACGATCGTATTTTTACTTTACAAACTGTATGTGTTTTAGGAATTTAAATGTTAGAATGCATAGAATTCTTACATAGCAAATAATTCATTCATCGAGATATTAAGCCAGATAATTTTTTAATGGGTAAGGCTTAAAAAGATAGAGTATATTTGGTTGACTATGGATTAGCCAAAAGATATATTTCAAAAGATCTTCATATCCCTTATAAAGATAACAAAGCTTTAACTGGAACTGCTAGATATGCCTCTATTAATACACATCTTGGTATAGAATAATCTAGGAGAGACGATCTAGAATCTTTAGCTTATGTTTTAATGTATTTTTTAAGAGGATCTCTTCCTTGGTAAAATTTAAGAGCAAATAATTAAAAAGAAAAATATGATAGAATTATGGAAAAAAAACTAGCCACATCTTCAGAAACCTTATGTAAAAATTACCCTTCTTAATTGTTATAATTTGTTGATTATACTAAAAATTTAAAATTTGATGAAAAACCAGATTATTAATTTATTAAAAACCTCTTTGTTTAAATGATACAAGAAAATGATCTTAGAATGGAATACATTTATGATTGGGATGATGAAAATACATAAAGGGATAAAATATAAATTAGAAATGATGATTAAAATAACTTATTAAAAACAAATAAATAAAGTAATAATACATAATAACGTGCTAATATACATTAAGAAAATAAAAATATAAACGGTAACAGCATTTATATGAGAAATTGTAGTAATATTAACAATAAATACAGCATAGGTAGAACAAAAACTAATTCTATTGGATCAATCAATAAAATTGTTGTAACAAAAACAAAATAAATGACTAATAATACTATTAATAGTTTAACTAATCAAAATACATAATCAAACAATAATAATAATAAATTGCATCAAAACATAGCAAAATAAATTATAAAGAAGCATTCTAGTTTACATTACTAATGATTAAATTAATTTTAAATAATAATTGTCTTATATAAATTTTATATTTTTTTAAAGCATGGTCTGTCTGTCAGAATCATTTTAATTTAACGAAAATTCAAATTAATTCAATAAAGATTTATATTATTTCTAATTAATCAATTTTATAGATGGAACTTAATTGTTATTTAAATTATAAAGAATAATTAAGATCTATAAATTTTGAAAAGAATTCCTTATAAATATATAATTCTAACATCGTAGATGATTAACTCAAATACTAAAAGATTTTGGTGATATTTTGAGTATCTTAGTAATGACCTAATCTCTTGAAGATAAATTGCAAAATTCTTCCAAACCTTGCTAATTATTATAAATAATAAACTTTTAAGAACAGCTAAATTAAAACTATGCAGAATTAGCTCGAACAACTAGATGTTCCAAGAGGATAATCTTTTACATTTGATTCTAATCGACCATTTATTTATTACTATTCTGTTGCCAAACCAATACAAGATAATATAGTTGATGACTTAGTGGTTTGTTGTTAAATAAGAACTTTTTTAATAAAATAGTTGCCCAAAGTTTGGTTTTTGATGGCTGGTACAACTGCTCACATTCTAGTAGAAAAACAGCCAAAGTTTGTGACTCAAAATTTTATTTTAGACATCTTCATCTATAGTTGGTTATCTGATGGAATGCCTAACTTAAAAAAGGAATTAATAAACAGATTAAGTAAACTAATAGTGGAAAATGAGAAATTAGATAGACTCATTGATATTTTTACATAAGAAATGGTCTCAATTTAAGACGAGTTTTCAAAATTTCATAAGTCAGAATATCTTCTCAATTATAACGATAGCTGTGTACAACCTTTAATAGTATTTCGAGAAAAAGGGAAAAATGAGAATTAATCATTAATCAAACGAATCGATGAATTAAATATTGATGACGATAGTAGAGATTCAACATTGTCATCTTCTTAAATTTCATAAACTTTTACCAACAAAGATATTGATAGAAGCAAATCTGATGTGAGAGAAGTAACAGCAGCACTTTAAAATAGTAAAATGAGAAAATTTACAAAGTAAATGGAAAAAATGACACAAAATGTTTTTGCTGAATTAATTAAATATAATTCATAAGACTAATAATGGTAAATAGCTAGATAGTTTGTTGTCATTATTTTAGAAACTAGCGTTTAGTCTGATGATTATTTAAAAACAACTGAAAAAGTTAGATTTCTATAACCTGCTTTGCTCTTTTATAAAAAAGCATTACAGGTTTGGATCTTAGCAAAATTTTCTATTTAATAATCAAATTAAACAACCAAAAACGCATAAGAAAATAAAGTAAAAAATTAAAATAATTTTAAAGATGAAGTTCTCTCAATTTTTATGCAAAGCAAAAAACTTTATGGGAAAATTTTGGAATGAAAAATTAGTTATTCCTCTTCATACTGTATTTCAAATTGCAGAATAGACATACCCTGAAGTTTAATAGGAAAAAAACTTAATCGAAGTACATCTAATTTTAATTAATTTAGTAAATGAAAAAATTTTCTATTTTATTAAAAGAAAAATTAGGAGCATTATGGGACCAAAATCTGGCTCAATGCACAAAACAGCTTATTTAATAATAATGATTAATAATTAAAATTATTAAAAATCTAGAATTTAGAACTTTTTCAAAGTATTTTATTCTTTTCAGTTTTTCTCTGTTACGCTTGATTAAATATTTAACATTCCAGAATTCATTAATGTCATAGATAATTGAGCTTTATCCTTTCTAACTTATTTTAATTGGGATTATAAACTTTCTATTTATATTTTTTAAGAATTTGTTTCATCCTTCAATTACATTATTTGACTCTCATATTCTTAAATCTATTTCTCATTTAAAACTATTCCACTCATTTATGATGACATAATTTATTATCTTATCTCTTTACTGTTCATTTTTTATTCCTATATGGTTTTTTCATGAACTTTTATCAATTAATTTTTCTATTTAATTTCTTCTTATAAACCTTATAGAATATTTTCTAAATCAACAATTTATTGCTTATATTCATTTGTTTTTTATATAAGATGTTTATTTAACTAATAAATAACTACAAGTTTATACTTCTTTTTCTTTTTCATAAATATCCCCTTTAATACCCTATTTTTAATTTCCCAATTACTGAATGTTATTTCTAAGTTCTTTTATTTGATTATTCAAATTCTATTCATTTTTTATATATTCCTCAAGTTTTTTCTATAACTCTGATATTGTTATTTTTTATTACTTAATTTAATTAAAGTAAGCTTCATTCTCCTTTTCATTATTATAACTAACATTTGATAACTTATCTTAAAACTCGCTTAGTTAAGTTTTATAAGTTAAATTTATTTCGATTACTTCATTTAAATTATTTATTAATTAATCTAATTTTTCTTTCTTTTCTTCTAATTGAGTTCTAAGATCTAAATTTTAAGATTTTAATTCATTATAAAAATAATTAGAATTCTAATTTTAAGGTTAGACAGAGGACATTTCTTTTAATTTTTGATTAAGAAAAGCAATTTGATTGATATTTTCTCTATTTAAATTTTTAGCTTGAATTTCTAACTAAGATAATTAATCTGTAAGAACTTATATTTTATCTTATTAAATATTAACAGTTTCTACTGCTGATTTATATTCTTAATTCAATATTTAGACCTTTTATTCTAAAAATAATTATTATTGATCTTTGTTTTATTATATCTAATTTTTTTCATATTTTAGCTTATTAATAATTTCATCATAATGGTTTTGTATTTACTATTTTTCTTTATGATTTTTTTAAATTATTTCATCTAATTTCTCATTCACTTCTTAAGTATGATTTCTTTTGATAGTTTCTAAATCTTTTGCATATTATTATTCAATATTAATAATTTATTAACTTAGAATAATGTTATGTTATTTTAATTCATCAATATGCTGCTCTAAAGTAATTACATCTTAATTATGATTTTTAATTGATTCTTTGATATTATACTCATATTTTTCGAGGGCTTAATTAAATTCATATTACAATCGCTCTAATTCTAATTACTTTTCTGATAATAATTCTTCTTTTACATTTAAATCTTGAACTCTTTTTTCTAATTAATTTGAAAGTTCTTTTGTTTGAAATATTAGAGAATTTAATTATTCTTATTTATCTTTTACATCCAATTATAATTAGTTAATTTTATTGTTCAATAGTTTGGTAGCTTAATTTAATTCATTAGCTTTTAATGTATATTTTTGTTGCCATTAACTTTCGATTTTTAATTTTAATTCATTTTCAGAATTTTTGATTTGTTGTATTTCTTTTTAATGTGTAAGTTGAATATTTAAAATCTAATCATTATATAATTTTTATTGTATTATTTTATTTTATTCGTTTGCAATTAATTATTATTTCTATTCATCGTTTTGCTTAATGAGTTAGTCCAAGTGTTTTTATTGTTCATTAATTTTATTGTTTGATTATTAGAGAGCTTTTTTTAACTTAAAATAGATGTTTAATTACTTCATTATTGGATTGTATAAAGAATTCAAGTTATTCAGTTTGTCTTAAGATATTTGTATTTTTTTCTTTAATTTTTTTCGGATCTTATGTCAAAGTTGAAGGTACACAGAAACTTGAAGGAGAAGAGAGTGTAGGTTACAATAGAAAATCAGTTTAATTTTGAAATGGCTATACTTAACTTTAACCATAGATTGTGTTCAAATTTCTTCTAGGACTATTTTAGTTTTATATTTAATCTAATTTTGCTATCAATCCTGATACATCCCTAATATGATAAACATATTTTACTGCTTAAATTGTTTCTAATCATTAATTAAGGATTAAAGAACTTAAGGCTATTACATTTTATTAGGTGTAGATGAAGGAATGGATAAGATTTATGTTGGATCTAAAGTTATTTGAGTAAATTACTTGAAGGAATTGGTTAGTATTACTAAATCATAGAACTAATATTAGATAATTTTTATCCAAGTTATTGATTTTACATTGATGATTAGCAGTTAATATAAATTTGATAATAAATAATAATTTAGGAAAGACAAAGCATAAAAATAAATAGAAATGAATAATATCTAAATAATTATAAAAAGATATTTTCAATATTTGATTTAGATTGATCAGCTATTAGGAGATTCATCAATATTAAGCCATTTTGTTCTTTTTCCACCTTCCCATAATCCTTCTTTTTTTTCTCCATTAGGTAATGTAATCATTCCTTTTCCATGTTATTTACCATTAATCCAATATCCTTCATATTTTCTTCCATTTTCCCATTAAAATATACCAAAACCATGTTTTTTATCATCTTTGTAATCTCCATCATATCTTTTACCGTCAGCCCATTAAGTAATACCTTTTCCATTCATTTTACTATTATTCCATTAACCTTTATATGATTTTCCATCTTTCCAATAATATTCTCCATATCCAGTAATGTCATTCTCAACAAAATCACCTTTATAATAACTACCATCTGCGAAAGTGAGAGTACCTTGTCCATGTTTCTTTCCATTTTCATATCTACCCTAACAATATAATATAAATCTACTTCATATTTAGCACCATCTGGCCACACTTCTACTCCTTAACCATGTTATAAATCATTCTTCCAATCTCCTTCATATCTTGCTCCACCTACTTTATATATAATCTAATAACCACTATGAATATAAACTCCATGACCATTTGCCATATCATCTAACCATTAACCTTCATATATATCACCATCAACATGCACTTTTATTTTATAAATTTAATCTACCTAATTTACCAAATCCATTTGCTTTATCTTCTACCCATTCTCCTTCATAAAAACTTCTATCTGGCCATACATACTTACCTTAACCATCTCTAAAACCATTTTTCCATTCCCCTTCATAAACTCCTCCATTTTTCATTTCTATTGCACTTAATTTTGTTCTTGTTTATTTTCCTTTTGTTGATTCCACTAATTATATATATTAATCTTCTGGTTTATTATCATCTAACTACTCAACATAATTCTATACCATTTTCTCTTTTCATTAATTTTGGAGAAGAACCATCATCTATAGAATTATTTCTTGCTCCTGCCATTTATGCAACATCTTCATCCTTTAAATGTCCTCTTATTTTTTCTTTACCCTATTTATTATTATTATCTTTTCTACATCAGATTCCTAATTTTGACCTGTTTCCATTTTAGCACTTGGCTTTTATTAACTCTATTGTTTTTAATTTGTATTCAATTCTATTTCATCTTATCCTTTTGCTTAACATTAACATGAACAACCATTACCCATTTGAATTGAGTAGAAAATTAATTATATAATTTTTATATATTAAATTTGTTTTATCTTCTTTCATTAACTTTATCTACTCTACATATTCTTTACTCTTTTTTATTTTCTCTTATTAACATCAAAAATTCCATTCACTTTTTTATTCAATCGATTTTATAATTAAAATTAATAAAAATAATGAAGTGCTCTTGTAACAATGATTTGATTAAATAATTTTCAGATTTCAACTTGTACATTTAAACTTGTATTTAAATTGTTTCTAATATTCATAGGTAAAAATTAACAACTAATCATTAAATGTTAAGGATCACCTGAAACTATTAACGAAAGCAAGAATCTTGAATAAAATCCTTTTACATAAATTTTTGAATTCAATGCAAATAGTTAATGCGTATAACATAATATAAATTATAGCATTTTAAAATGTCTATTGATAATGATAATAATTTCAGAATTATGAGTTCTTAATAGCCTGTTATTAATCAATGCATCTGCTAACATGAATAAAAAAAATAGAAAAAATAAAAAAACAAAGCTAAATAACCAAAACCTAAACTGGATGTTGAAAAATCTCAAGAAAACTCAGATTCTAAAACTACTCAAAAATAATCCAAAATTCATTCTTAGGTGAATGAGGATATTCGCATTTTTGAAGATAAAATTCGATTATATACATCTGAAATAGATGAATCGAAAAAAAAAACATTAAATCTTCCAATAAAGTGGATAAAAAAATTGGGAACTTAGAATAAGAGGATATGAGAATGATAAAAATACACAATCTTAAAAACAAATCATTTTAAAATTTTAAAATTAGTTAATTTTTGAAATAAATATCAATTGCAATCAAATAATATATACAAATATTACATACATGATATAAATAAATAAATGAGATCTTTTAATTATCAATTAAAATTATCTAATAATGCCAGTCTAGCTTATATCTGATTAATAAGCAAATTATTTAATTTCTCTTCTTTTTCAACATTTATTTTTGTATTTGTTTCATCTTCTAACTTTATTGCTTCACTACTTAACAGTTTTATTTAATCTAAAGTTTTCTAAACTCTATCCTATGAAGAAACAAAATTATCATCAAATATATTTCTCTAAATATTGTAATTTTATTACCCATTAACTTGGTTATACTTCTTAAATCTTTTTATGAATATGGATACCTTCTCCTTAATCTTTTTTTTTACATTTAGGTTCTTAAATAGGTGATAATTTTTAAACTTATTGATGTCTAACTTTTATTTTGATTTCTGGCTGTTATTTTTCTTCTGGTTTTTCTTCTACCTATAATATTTTTTCTAATTTTTTTATTAAATATTTATCAATCTATTATAATTGACTGCCATCAGAACTTGCTTTATTAGATTATTCATGTAAAGAAGTTGGTTTTGATTTTAAAATAAGTGTATCAGAAGGATCTTCATGAAATGTTTTAATAATTGGTCTTGAATAAATCTCTTTGACAATTTCTGAATATTTTGATTAAACATATTTTCTAGCTTTTATTTATTATCTTTTAGCAATCAACCTTAATTATTCTTCTTATTACTCATGAAGTAATTTAATGTATGTATTAGATTTTTAAAACTCTACTAATGGAAGAGACTTTTTCTTATTTTATCTTTCCATTTCTTTTACAATTTTATTACCATCATATTATTATTAATGTAATAAGATTGAGCTAAAGTTAATTGGTTGGCTTAGATGCTTTTTAGATGACAGTATTTGTTTATGAAGTTATTCTTATATTTATCTTAATTCATTATCTTTATTTTATATTGCAATCTATTCTCTCCTTATCCTTTCTTTTATTAATAGAATTTTCTTGTTTTCTTCTTATTATTATTCCTTTTTGTTAATTTCTAGTTCTTCTAAAATAGATGATTTATTTAATCGCTGTTTCATAAAAATAAATAATTTTATTATAAATTATCATAATTTCTATTTTCATTTTTTTAATAAAACACTTTGTATCATCCTTTTTTCTAGCATATATTTATAAATTAATTCTTTTAATGTAGTTTTATCAACACATTTAAATAAATTAAGGTTCTTTATTTCAAAACCTTAAGCAGCAATATAAGCTCCTCGAGCACCACTCTTTCCTTTTTTATAAACTGACCTAAATTTTGTAATGAATTCAGCCTTCAATTATTTATAATAATCCTATACTATTACTATTTATAATTTCCTTAAATTTATTAAGTATATGTACCCATCTAAATATGGTGATTTCTTGACTTCCTCATCAACTTAAAAATTAATAATAGTTTTGTTCATTTACTTTTTGATTTCTTTAACCTCTATAAAATATTCATGATTATAAATACTTTCGATATCTTCCTTTTGAATTTGATGATACATTACACCCCAATATTTATTCCAAAGCATAATTATTCTTTATACATAAGCTCCAACTCTTTTCTTGTAATTTCTATAGGATTCAATTACAGTTCTTATCAATCGTCTAAATCTATAAGTTTTTTGAATTATTTCTCCAATCTAACCATAACTTTTCATAAATGAAAAACAGATAAATTCAGCTCTTTTTTTTACTGTCTTTTGATAGTTTTAAGCAAAAACGAAAAGACATTGTAAAGTATGAAATTTAGTTCTTAATTAAATAGTTTCGCCATATTAGGTAAGATACTTCTTTAAATTTAATCTTGTTCTATGTTTCTTTCTAACAATAATAGCTTCATTCATCATATGATTAGCCATTTACTAAGTTAATGATAAAAGTTTTTACAATATACTAAACTCGAATAAATCTACAAATAAATATCGAATAAAGATTTGTTAACCATGTTTTTTATTAATCCTTAATTTATAAATCAATTTGATCCTTAATATTCAAAATATCTTTAATTATCTTTTTTTTTTAAGAGTATTCATATTTTTCTCTAATTAGATCTTATTTATCTTAATCAATATTTTATTTGTTGATTAATGTTTCTTAAAAACGTTTAGCTGATTAAACTCTTTTAATTATTAGTTATCTTCTTTGATTTTCAGGTTCATATTGTCTTAAATTCATATTCATAAGTATTAAGTCTTTTGATTATTTTCTTGACAATGCACTATTAATTCTCCCTGACATAAATGCAGTCATTGGTCTTTCTTTCTCTTCCTAATCTTATTTTTATAGTTTCTGTATTTTCATTCCATATTAAATCTTAGCATGAATAATAGATTATTGTTAACTAAATATAGCCATATATAAAAATGGAGTAGTAAAAATATTATCTTCTCCTGGCTCTGTATATCTTAATACTTATTTTCTTTGAAATGCCTCTTCAAAATTAAATCTATTAGGTGTTAAAGTATGTCTAGAAATGTAAAACTTCATTTTAGCTTAATTTGTAAAAGTAAAATCTATAATTGTAATTAGCAAATATTTACTAATAATTAAAGGTTTTTTGTGACCAACTAATGGTACTTCAAAGTAATGAAAAGTACACAGTTATAGATGTATAATATTATCTAATTTTGCATCTAATTAAGCTCTTAATTCTGTAATAACATAGCCTTATTATTTTTTGACAACTTCCGTTTAAAAATTATGTTCAAAATCCTTTTTTGAGGGTATGATTTATTTAAGTTTTCTAGCTTCTAATTGATTTAGTAACTCATAATTTGAATTGATATTGTTTTGTTATACAATTGAGTTTTTAAAGTCTAAAGTTTTCATATTATTAATTATTATGGAATAAACCAAAAAAATTCTGATAGGAGGTGGATGTTTTTGGAAACATGAATTAAATATGTAAAGATTAATAGGTGTATTAAATACAGAAGTTGGTTATAGTGGAGGTATAATAGATCATCCATGTTATAAATTAATATGTACAGGATAAACAAATCATGCTGAAGTAGTATTAGTTAATTATGATCAATCAATTATAAAATTAGAAGACTTACTCTATTCATTTTTTAATTAACATGATCCAACCTAATTAAATAGATAAGGATTAGATGTTGGAACTCAATATCGTTCATGCATCTTTTATTATGATGATGAAGATTTGGAGATAATATAAAAAGTCTTAGAAGAAGTTAAATAGTTTAATAATGATGAAACTATTCATACTCAAGTTTCTAAAGTCTAAAACTATTGGAAAGCAGAAGAAATGCATTAAAAATACTTATAAAAAGCAGGACAATCTGCAGATAAAGGTTGTGAAGATATCATTATGTGTTATAATTGATTAATAAAAATTAATAATATTTTATGAGACTTAGTTATCTTTTGATCACTCTAATCAATTTTGTATATGGGATCCATTATTCCATTAGAGCATAAAGCAATCTCTTAGATTTAGATACTAATAATAATGATCTATAAATAAATGAAGGATTTAGAGAAGCTGCAAATCTTATTTTTGGAACCCTATTCTAATATTTACCATATATTCTTTTAGCACTTATATTTATTTATTTTGCAAACAAATTCTTTCCAACTAGATAGCCAAAAAAAATTCTGAAAAAATTGCCAATTAAAAAACGATGATTATTATTTTAATTTGATATTCATAATATCAAACTATTTTAGTGTATATTTCAAAACTTGTTAAAGAACTTTCAATTATATAACTATTATTATGTTTAATTAAAATGATCAATAAATGGGATGAAAAGATTAAAGAAATTAAACATTTAGCAAACATTAATTTAATTATTAAAGTTAATATTTGTTTTTATCATTTTCATTTATCCCTTTTTGATTTCCAATCTAGTAAAGCTTTTAAGTTTTTATCACTATTTGCTACTAATTTAATGTAATTATCTAAATTGATATATAATAATTGATACCCATAAAAGCATTTGCTTTTGCAATACCATAAGTAACTCTAGCTCTATCAATCAATTTTCTACTCTTTTATTCAGGTTTCTCTGATTTAGCACAATCAAAATGTTATTAGAAATATTCCAATGATTTAGCAGTGTTTCCTTTGCTTTAATATAGTTTAGCCAAATGCAAGGCAGCATCTGATTATGAATTGTATAATTTTTAATCTTTTGCCAATGCATAATAACTTTCTAAATGCTTTTAAGCTTCATCTACATCCCCTTTCTTTAGGTAACATTAAGCCAAAGAGGAATGTGCCTCCATTTCCTTTTATTTTGAATCCTAAAATGGAATATACTATTTATACTTCTTTATGTAACTATTTTACAATTTCCAAGAATTTGTGATGATATTATATACTTTTTTATATGTTCTACATTTTGAAATATAAGCCACCAATTTTATTGCAAATAACTCCTTCTGATTCTAAATCTCCAGCTTTTTATGCTGCTTCTCTACATTTATCATAATATTTTAATGATTATGCAATTTGATCATTATCTCCTTTTTCATATTCTTAAGCCATTCTATTATAGATTTTAATCAATTCTGTTGACATTTATTCAACTACTGAATCCAAATTTTATAATTATTCACATTATTTCATGCTTTCCTCTAAAATTTGTATTGCTTAATCTATCAATCCAACTTAATAATGACATTTAGCATATCCTAATTTACCTTTCCCTTCAGCTTTAGCTTCCTATTATAAATAAGTATTTTACAGTGTATTATCTTGATATCTATATTACTCTTTTATAAAAATAAGCTGCCACTATGAAATCTTAGTATTCAGTAAAAAAAAATTCAGCCAAATTTAAATATTCATTTAATGCTTAAGTTTTATCTGGATATAAGTATTTAGCATTTTCTTCAGCACTCTATAATCTTTTTTTTAAATCCAATAAGAATTCTTCATCTTAATTAATATATTTTTGGTGAACTAATTTCTATAGAGCAAATACTTCTATGATTTAAAAAATGTTCCTCTAATGAAATTCCTGAGGGCTAATAAAATAATTTTGGGACAGTTTCATTTGTCACATAAAAAAAATCAGCATAGGATTACACATAACCATTTTCTTTATAATTATAGATAAGAATTACATAATATCTCAGCAGCAATCGATTCTTTATTGACTTTACCTTAAAATTCAATTCTTTCCTCTGATTAAGGAATTTATTATTGCTAATCTAATATAGTTTAAATACTTTTTAAATTTTCTTTTAAGGATGTTTGTCTGTTGTAATCTATTTTTAAACTTATGCATCTGCTAATCCTTTTGCTTTGATAGGCATTTTGATTGGTTCAAATTTTTTCTCCTTTTATTACATTAAATATAAAAATTAATGGATACTAAAGTCAGTGATGTTAAATCTCCTTCAAAATCAATTAAGCCTAGCATATAAGATTATATCTCTGTAGGATCTTTAGGAAGGGGAGCTTATGGAGAAGTGATTTTGGCTTAGAAAAAAATAGATAATCAATAAGTTGCTATAAAAGTGATTGATAAGAAATTCTTAACTCGAGTAAACATATTAAAAGAATTCGTAGGAATAAAAATAATACTAAGTATATATTGAAAGGGAAATGCTTTTGTATCTCAAACATCCTGGGATTGTTTAATTGTATTCTACATTTTAAAAGCCTGAAAAATTATATTTCGTAATGGAATATTTAGAAGGAGGTGATTTGGCTGATTTTTTAAAAATACATAAAGGTAACTTTTATTTATTATATTTAAAGATTTAAGTTTTGAGACTTTATAGTTTTATTTAGCCTAAATAGTTGTAATACTAGAATATATTCATTCTAAAGGTGTTGCTCATAGAGATTTAAAACCTGAAAATTTGATGTTATCAAAGAATGGTCATTTAAAACTGATTGATTTTGGTACATCTGTAGTTGTTCATGAGAATAGAGTACCTGCTGAATTTTTATAGAGATACAAATAAATAAAGTCTTCGTTTTAGATCCAAGAAGGCTCTTTTATTAATAAAGCATCTTTTGTAGGAACAGCTGAATATGTATCACCAGAAATGTTGGAAGAAGAAACTTGCGAATATGCTGTAGATTTATGGGCTTTAGGAATCATATGTTATAAAATGTTTACAGGTGTAACACCATTTAATGATAGTACATAATATTTAGTATTTTAAAATGTCAAAAGTGCATAATTAATAATACCTGAAACTGTTCCTAAAGTTGCTGCTAATTTAATCTAAAAAATTTTAGTTAGAAATCCATAAGAAAGATTAGGTAGTTAATCTATGGATGAACTCAAATCTCATCCATTTTTTAAAGGAATTTAATGGGAAAAATTATTTTTAATGTAAGCACCATAACCTAAGGTTTTATCTGTTAAATCTGTTGAAAAATCTATTGATCCAGATTTATAATTAGGAGGAAAAAGAAAACCAAAAATTAAATTTTATGGAGTTGTACAATTCAAAATTGGATGGTTTATTTATAGACCATTAGATTTAGTACTAATTGAAGGCAAAGAATATATGAAATTAGCTTTGTTTGATCCAGAAACTGAAAAATGTTAATTGAAAATTAGATTAATAGAAGGAGTGTAAGTTTATAGTCCAAAAAAAGGATACATGGAAATTAAAGATTAGAATAAAAAATTCTATATTAAAGAAGTTGAACATTCAATAGATAAATGGTTAGAAGTTATTGAAAAATGTAGAAAAGATTTAATTAAAAAAAAATTGAAGAGACAAGAAACAAAAAAATGAATATAAATACTTATAATTCATAAATTAATTTTAAAAAATTTTTATGTTTGAAGAACAAAATAGAACTTCAAAGGATATCAACATCAACGATAATACTTTTAATAACAGAAAAGAAACAACTTCAGATATTAAATACTCTTAAAAAAGTTTCGTTCATCCTTAATAAATCTATGTAGATTTTCAAATTTTTATTATAAGTAAGTTTAACAATGTAATCATTCTGTTTAGCCTATATTTATATAAGTAATAAAAAGAGAAGAAATTGAAATTCCTTTTGTAAATGAAATTGATATGCTTAAAAATAAAATTAACAAAGTTTAACAAGAAAATGATAAATTATATGAAAAAATTCATTAACTGACAGAATAATTATAAGAAAGATAAAATTTTATAGATACTTATAAATAAAAATTTATTGACCTATAAAATTCAAAAGAAATATTAATTTCAGAACTTGAAAAATTAAATTAATAAAAATACCCTATTAATAACTTCACTTAACCAACTCAAACTAAATTTATGTTCTAGTAAATTTAACCAGCTGATAAGACTAATAATAATATATTTATGGAAATTGAAATTGATAAACTTAGAATTGCTTTGAGTAATAAAGAGGAAGAGATTAAAAGACTCTAAGAAAAATATTAATTGTTAGAAAATTAGGGTTTAGCAATGTTAGAGGAGAAAATAAAAACTTTAATAAATGAAAAAGAATTTTGGAAATAAAAATTTGAAGAAACGTAAAAAGTTCGCTAATATAGCAATTTTAAATTTGGTTGAAATATATTCATGATCTCTTAAATATTGATTGATATAAATATGAAAGAGTTTGCTAACATTATATTTATTATTTTTATTTAAAAAATTTGAAAATACGGTTGTTGTTCTCTTTCAAGAAAAATTTATACTAATGTTAATATTTCAATTAATTAAAGTTGGATTAGAATACTATAAACACTATTTGAATAAATTAGTAAGCATAAAAGAATTTATAAAAAGGGTAATAACACTTTTAGTAATATTTTTAAGTATTTTATTTATACAAAATTGTTCATATATTTTAAATTCATTAAACTAAACTATTATATATTTATTCGTAGGCCATCTATTACTATTTTGATCTTTAATTAGATGAAAGCAATAAGCAAAGTGCTTCAGTTGCTGATCTATGATTTTTTTCCTCAATTAATGATTAAATTTTTTTGAATGTGTTCAAAGCAGACTAATAATAGTTAAGATAAAACCTCGTCATATTGATATGATTCATCGTTTATGAGTCGAGTAATTAATTCTGATAAAAACAATTCAACATCTTTATCATCATTATTTTCTTTATTATCTAAAGCTTTTCTAAGATGCAGTGGAGCTATTCGAGCTTATTTTTTATCATTTTGTCCATGAGCATATGGACAATCAGTGCCATTTTTACAAAATCCTTACTAATCATATTTACATAAAACAGCTTGATATATTAGATAAAGTTACTTTTATAGTTTGTGATAACGATATTGCTATCGAGAGTAGGTATATGAATTGGGATTGGATCTAGAATATATCTATAAATAACCATCTGGATTTCTTAATTCATCCAAACCATGAGCAAATTAGCATTTAGTACCGATAGAACAATTTCCATATTCATAATGCCTACAAATAGATGTCTTATACAGACGACCATTTCCATGTTAAGGAATGGTAATAATCGAATGGTGCATTAAATAAATTTATTATGGATTTAATTTAGTTATCATCGATGATATTGAACACACTCTTATATGCAACTTTGTATGTGATGAGCAAATATATCTATAGAATATAAAAACATAGTAATAGAATAATATTAGCAAGAATTATCGACAAATGATAAATAATTGGCGAAAGCGCTTCGATATTAAAGAAGGAAAATTAAAATTATAATAATGGGTTTGCCAACATTATTATGTTTTGTTCAAAACTATTATAATTTGTGTTTGAGATACACACAGTCAGAAAAATTGAATATTTTTGAGTGTTTAAAATAGTTTGATACTGAAAAAATAGGAATGGGAATATTAACATCATTTTATATGACACTATTACTATATATAGGTCCAGTGTATTAAGAATTTTGGGTAATAAATAATAACTTATAGTTAGAATGGAAATTTAAGGGAAAAATTTAGTAAAATTAAGTTCAACAAATTCAGATGGGATTACTTTACTAAGATTGTTATTGTATTATATTGTTATTAAACTTGAAAAGACTCCATTAATAGATGAAATTATATTTAGAGAATTGGTGAATAATGCAATAAATGTTAGATATTAGAATAATATTGAGTTTATCATTTATTCAACATTGTTATATAGTTTAAGTAAACTAGAAATACTATTTTATTAGCAAAATCATTGTCTTATTAATTAAAATATGGATAGCTATCACGTTATGAATTCCTAAAAACATTTGTATTGGGATTATATCTGTCTTTTGTGTTAGTATAGACAAAAACAATAGCAACAGTAATAATCAATCATGGACTGATGAATTTTATGGGAAGACCGAACTTTTTAGATTTAGTTAAAGGAAAGTATAGCAACGAATAAAGATAAAGTAAAATGGAATATACTATTTTAAGAGATGATACGGTTTTATGTGCTAGGTTTCGTTGCCTTTCTAATTTTTTGTGTTTTAGTTTTGTGATTTTATTTATTAATGGATTAATATAAAATAGTGAAGCGATTGGGAGATGGAACTTATGGATGCGTCTACAAAGCAACAAACATAAATACAGGACAAATAGTTGCTATAAAAAAGTTTAAAAAAAAATATACGTCTTGGGATGAATGTGTAAACCTTAGAGAAGTAAAAGCATTATAAAAATTAAAACATCCCAATGTGATTAAATTAGTTGAAGTATTTAAAGAAAAGGATGAATTGAATTTAGTTTTTGAATATTTAGATAAGGATATTTATCAACAATATTTAGAAAATCAAAATAATGGAAAGCATTTGTCGGAAGATAAGATTAGATCTGTAATAAAATAAGTAACTGAAGGTTTGGCCTATATGCACAAAGTAGGATATTTTCATAGGTAATTGATACTTATATTGTAGAGATCTAAAACCCGAAAATCTTTTAGTCTCAGGAGAAACAGTTAAAATATGTGATTTTGGATTAGCTAGGGAAATAAGATCAAAACCACCATATACAGATTATGTAGCTACAAGGTTAATAATTTTTATAATTTTTAGATGGTATAGAGCCCCTGAAATCTTATTGAAATCTCCAAATTATAACTCACCAGTTGACATATTTGCATTAGGTTGTATAATGGCTGAACTTTACACTCTCAAACCATTATTTAATGGGAGTTCAGAATTAGATTAGATCTTTAAGCTTTGTCAGACACTTGGTACACCAAATGTTAGAGATGTATTTATATTTAACATTAATATTGTAGTGGCCTGAATCTTAAAAATTAGCTAATGCAGCTAACATTACATTTCCAACTTATACTCCTGTCTAGTTAGAAAAAATCATACCAAATGCTTCATCTGAAGCACTAGATCTTATAAGAGATATGTTGAAGTATGATCCTTAGAAAAGACCTTCTGCTAAATAGATTTTGGAATATCCTTATTTCACCAATCATTTTTTTCCTATGATTTAATAAATTGAAAATAAATAGGAATTCTCAAAAATAGATAGAATGGAAAGACATGAAAAACAAGAAGATATATTTGAATTACCTAAAGTCAATAACAAAGAAAATAGAAATAAAATGAATGAATCTAATTCTAACTTTTTAGACTTGTTAGAATAAAAAATGGCTGAATATGAAAGACCTGTAAAAAAGGAAATCTCAATACATAAGAGTAGTGTAAAAGAATCCAAAGAATTTCAAATGTAAAAAGATTATAGAGAATCAAATCTACCTATGATATAAAGTAATCAACCTAAAGAATATCTTATGTCTAAAGATTACAATTAAAATGACTCATTAGATCCTAGAATAGATTCAAGAAATAAAAAAGGTTAAGCAGGTTTAAAATTCTTAAGACACAATGATCCTATAGGAGAACAACTAAGAAATTAATAATAATTGAGTATCCAATAATCAAGATCATATGAGCCAACCAAAAGAAATATTTATGATTTTAATCTCTTATAATTGCCTATAGCCAAACCTAGTTTTCAACCTAAACTGGAAATGCCCAAATAGAATAAAAATTAAATGCTTGGATAAAATTATCCTAAGTCATTGCCTATTGCTCCAAATATGGGATATAAGTATCAATAACAATAACAATAACAATAATAACAATATAAATTTGATGATCTCTTATATGGTAAGCCTCCGCTTAAATAGTATTATTGATACTAAAAAATCTAAATCTACATATATATATATATACAACATAATTTTTCAAACATGTATAAAATATTTTCCTATTGCAGTCAAAAACCTTTATTTGTAATCGTTAGGATTGATAATAGTCGGAACCTTATGTAATTTAAATTTTATTACTTTCCCTCCTTTTAGCACAAATTTCAATAACCTTTCAGTTTCTTTATCCCAAGTGTAAAATCTTAAATAATCGATAATACCCATTCGAATTTTTTTCTGTTTATTGTTGATAATTAATAGAAGAGAGTAATCAACAATTTATTTCCTTAATAAAAATTTACAATCACTCTATTAATTAATTTAATAAATTTACTTAAAATGCTTTATCATTGTAAATGTAACAATCATTCTGTAAAAGAATTGGTTCTGCATTTCTATCAATTACAAAATTAGTGTCTAATAAAACCTTATTGACTTTCTTTTCCCATCTATTTGTTTCACTTCCTTTTAAATCATAAACCACTAAATCTTTAGGATTTCCTATACCATAATACAAATTTTCCATAATTAAATAAAATTCAGGATTACCTTTGTCTCTAATTTCATACATCCCAAATATTTTACAAAGTAATGAAGGTTTTTAGGATTCATAAAAATGTCTGTGCATTTATCTAAAATATTCTAAAGCAAATTATTCAAACATTCTAAATTCTTTTTCATCATCCAATTTCTTTACAACAAATAATTCATTGTCAGATTTGAAGAATTTAGATGACGATTTTCCACCACTGGCATTCCAAGATCCTGTTACACTAAGAGATTTTAAAAATAAATTTAATGTAATTCCAAAAGAAGCTCTTAAAGCTTCAAATTGAGTTGGAAAATAAATTAATATTTCTTAAATTTTTGACTTCTTAGCTGAAAACTATTAATTTCCTAAACCACTAGAAATTGATTATTATGATGATATTGTTTTATCTTCATCTTGAAATAAGTCTCTACTCATTGATGGTTTCATACACTTTATTTTATCATATTATAATGTGATTGTAATGTAGTTCTTTTCCTTTTTTTAAGGGATAGACTACTGTTAAGTTGTATTTAAATTAGAATCATTTGCTATTGATTATGATTCTCTTGGAAGACTTTACTCTTCTTGTTCCCATTTATCTGATTATTATCCAGATTTCATTAACATTAACTTACTTAAAATCCTCTTTTATTATTCCTAATCAGACTTTTAAAAATCTAGTTTAATAAATATTTATACTTTCATAATAATTTATTGCTTTGAGATACTTTGGGTGATTTAAAGCAAAGGCTAAAGAAGACAATGGATGATTTTCAAAAATAGCCACAAAAGGAATTATTTTTTTATCACATAATCGTGCCTTGTTCTATTCTTCTTAAAATAGACATAATGGCCATTCTTTAAGTAAATTATTTAGGGGATTTTATTATTTATCCCCAATAAAAGATTGATTAGTGTCTAAATCCTTGACAGAGTATTGAATATTAGGAATCTTGTTTGATGAAGTTTTCATTGGTTTGCCTCCATTCGGTGATTTTATATCTCCTAATTATTAACTCTAATTCTCAAAATCCTCAACAACTATGCTATCAGAATGAATTGTTTCATAATCTTATCCAGAAAAATGCACTTTATAGTTTGAAGATTAATAATCTAATTCTTTTTAACTTTTTATCACAGAATTTTTGTGAAGAAATTTTTTCATTTCCACTTTTATTTAATCGCCAAGCTCTTGAAATTAAATACTTAAATTATTAGTAAAATTTTGTAAATCAGATATTTAATTCATCTCTAAAAATTTCTCTTGCAAATATTTTTCATTAAAATATATTTCTATAGCATCCTATATAACATTATTGGATAGAGTTTTAGTTAATTATGTTATTTAATAATTAATACTTATAATTCTTTGATAAAGCTCTTTTTTTTAATTTTATATGTAATCTTCTTCCCATTTTTTCAAATTGTCAAGTATTTCTTAACTTAAAGTATTCTAGATTACAGTAGAGTAAACTTCTACTTCTCCTACTTATATCTTTACCATTGACTCGTCATAAGTGAATATTCTCTATAATTAATGATTGCAATTGTTTGTTTAGCAAATATTTTGTCTTTCATTAATGTTTGGTTGAGTTATCAATATGGTCTACATAAATCTAAAAAAGGAAAAATCTAAATTTTAACTAGACAATTTAACAATATTTGAACTTAAATCACATTTACTACATTAAATATAAGTTTCTATTTTTATTTTTTTTTTCTCCCCTTTTTGATTGAAATGAGATTACTAAACAATTTTGCTTATATCTTTTGCGGTATAAACGTTATCCTTAGGTTCATCATCATTTGATAACTAAGAAAACTATTATGAAATTTAATTTGATATTTAAGGTGGTTCATTCGTAGATGTAACTCTACCACTTCTATTCTTTTGATCAACACTTATTTTAATATATTTATCTCCACAATAATAAAATGAAACATGGGCTATTTTTGGTAAATGACAGAATTCACATTTTATGTCCTTGTTTGCTATTTTCAAAATGATGAATTAGCCTAAGCAGACATCTTCTCCATGATAAAATACTGACTTTTTCTCCTGAGGATTATTGCACATCCTAGCCATCGAAAACTCTTCTAGCTTATCTCTTTAAGTAGGATGCTTTGATTTATATTCTTCTAAACTAGAAAAATCTTTTATATCATTAAAATTGCTCACATCAGCTATAACGTAATTTATTTTTATGTATTTCAATTCTATAATAAATAATTCTTTTAAAGGAACTTTTTCAAATAAAAAATTTAAAAAATTTCCTTAATTTGATATTGTTTTTAGTTGATTATTTTTGAACATTGAGCATTCTGTAGTTATAAAATGAGCTTCTAAATCTTAATGTTTCCCTAATCTAGCACATCCAATAAAACATTATTTTAACTTAGAAAGTAAATCTTCAGAAGATCCACTTATTGTAATTGTAGCAAATTTTTAGCATTTTTAAGTTTTTAAGAAACATAAAGTATTATCTTTTTGTAATTCGCCTTTTTCTGAAGCTATTTTTGGAAATTATTTAAAAAAAACCTTCTCACATTAACCTACTATTTATTCATTTCTTTCAATACATAATTTTAAAGTAGATAAACTTATAAATTTAGCATTTGTACACAATTGAACTCTTTTAAGAACTTTCTTTTTAACGTTTGTTATAACAGTTATTTTTTTCTTAAGGCATTCATCTAATGCAATCTTATTAGCACTTTTTTCAACTAAAATTAAATTTGGTTCATAATTTTTATAAATTTAATTGATTGAATCAACTAGGATTTTTTTTTCATTTTAGATATAGTCTTCTAATTAATTTTACGAGCCGTCCATATCAAAATCTCCTATTATAATAATAATAACTGGTTTATTTATTTCAGTTTACATCTATTTTAAAGCTACATTTTTACGAAAAATAACACCTGGGAAGAAACTGGTTAATTATTCATCATTATGATCAATAATTTTAATTTTCATGAAATGATTAATATCCATAAGATTTGTGTTAAGAGAATGAAATTAAATCTCTTACACGCATTGAATAATCAATGTTTTCATTTTTGATTTCCAAAATTCAATAGCTTTTTCATAGGATTTATTTGGTTAAAGAACATTCTGCAAAATGTATTCACATATTTTTTCTAATTGATTGGCACTTTTTTCCTATAAAATTGTTAATTAATCTTTGGATATATCAGCCTCTTCAAAAAATTCAGAAATGTCTTCCTTTTCTTATATCTCTAAGAGTGTGTCATCCTCCTCTTATATTTATTATTATTCATTTCCCTTGATAATAATACTTTTGGATGAAGTAAATGTGGTTGTACTTTCAAATTATTTTGACGCATTTCTTGAATGAGAATTAACGTCTTTTTATATGGATGTTTTTAAAGTGGAATCTTCATTATCTACAAAGAATCCTTTGTCAGCTATCAATTAATTAATTTTATCATAGCAACGCCTACAAAAACGAATTTTTTTCTCCCCTTCATTAGGAGGTCCATCTAAAAAGTGGTTTGAACAACTACATGTTTATATCAATTTACTCTTAACAAAAAATATATCCACATCTTCTGCAATGATGCTTACGTCTAAATAAAGCATTAAATTTATTATCGCACATTCCACATTAACTAATTTCTTGATCATTCTTCCACTTTTTTTTAGAAATTAATTCATTCTTTATAATATCGAATCGAGAAGTCTATTTCATATAATTATTATTAGAATCAAATAATATTGTATTTTGTATAAAATAATTATTTCAGACAGAACTAATAAAGTGATCCAATTCTCTATATACAGATTTAAATAGCCAATCTACCAAATTTCTAATTAAAATTTTCTAAATTCTCTTTTTACTATTCTTTTAATTATTATTTCAATCTCTTTATATTCTGTAACATCTCTCTTTTTGTTAGAGGTTTTTATTAATTAGCTCTTTGAATCTCTTAAATCCTCCTTTTGCAATGCTTTGCTAAAAACAGCATATTATTTTTTCTCGATATTGCCATAATTAATTAAGTTCCAACAACAATATTGCCATTAGTTCATCAATTTCGAAGTTATTTTTCATTTTCTAATATTTATCCTTTGAAGCTTAAGCAAAATTAAATGCATCTCCTGATAGGCATAATTTATCATACAAAGAATAAAATGAATTAAAACAAGAGCGGTATTGATGAAATTCTCTATTGCATTTTTTACAAATATCGAATTTTAAGTTCTGAGGTTTAATTGGATATTTTATATAACTTTTAACAGCACTAAATGAGGGTCATTTTAATATTCACCTTAATTTTCTAAACTAGGAGTAAAACCCAGAAGCTATCAATAAACTTAATTTTCAGCTCTTAAGTGCTCTAATTCTTTTCTAAATTATGCTTCTGCTCCTATTGTTTATTTAACTTTATCTGCTAAATTTTACAATAAGTCCTTTTTCAATTTCTATATATCAATTTCTTATTCTTATTAATGAATTGTTAAATTCTATACCATAGCAAGTGAAATTTAAAATGATATTGTTGCTTTTAATTTTTAAATTTCATTATTGATTTATTTTAATTCTCTAAGTAATTCTGAAATTTTTTTATCTTTTTCAAATATTTAATAGTTGTAAAATTGATTCAACTAACCACTCATTTTAATCACATAGCAAGAAAACATTTGTTTACTAAGTTCCGTCTCATTCATTTTTTCAAAATTTATTTAATCAGTTAAAATTTTACACCTTGTGTTATTTTTTCAATTTAAGAATTTAATGATATACTTAAACCTCTAATATTTAATATTCTTCTCTGCTTTCTATGTTTCTTTTTGAGGCTGCAAGAGTTTCAGTTGTTTCATTAATTTAGAAATAAAATAATAAAATTTATTAAATATATTAATAACATTTAAAATGATCAAATCAATTCATTCTACTTCTTGTATTATATGATTTAGTTTTAATTTAATCAGTTTGATTATTCACAGAAGTGATAGAATTGTTAAATAGATTAGGATTAACTTAATTAAATCCTTGTTGGTTATAAAGTGAATTTTAAAAAGGATTTAAAGCAGTTTTATTCTAAAAAATTTCAAATGTGGTTTAAGAATTTTAATTAGGCATTATAAATGGAGATTGCAAAAATGACTGCTATATGTTATTATTTTAATATTGTTAAATTATGCTTTCATCTACTTTTTAGTACAATTTTGTAAAATCTAAATTGAATTTTTTTTCGAATGCTCTTTGATTTGCAAGTTTATCTTGGTTTTAATTTTTTTTACTCTCATTATTCATTTATTCTTCTAATAACCTTTTTTTTTATTAATCAACCACAGGATCAATTTGAATAATCTGGCTTGGATAAGTCTCATTATATTTAAGTTAAACAGTTTTCAATTTCAAATTATAAACCTGATTATAATAAAATATACATAATGCTGTGTATCTTAATGTATTTATTTAAAACAAGATGGCTTGTTTTTCTAAATAAGACCTAAAGTTTTGTTTTAAGAAAAAAATGTTTTAAATTTAGTGATTCCAACATTTTTTTTTTAAGATTTATTATCTATTTGAATTTGATTTAATAAGTGTTTTTAAGCCTCTAATGAAATCAAAATTTTTTATTCATACAATTTTAAGTTTTGATTTTTTACATTAAGAACTTATTTCGTTGGATATAATGAATTAGATTATAGATTCAAAATATTTTAAAATTATAGTTTTCCAACAAATTCTTTTACTATTTCAGATAAATGAATTTTAAAATCACTGACAGCAGGTTTAATTTTATTTTAAGCTTTTGAATTAGACTCCTGAACACTAACTATATCGAATAAATTGGCTCTTTTAATACTAGATAAAGGGTTTGTAAACTGATCACATTAATCCTAAAAACTTCCATTTTCATTATCTATGCAACTGATTTCTTATGAATTCACACAAATTTTTTTATTGAAATCCTCATTTCCTTAATTTAAGTTTAACTATTATTCTATAGGCGAATGAAACGAAAATGCTCTCTCTAATTTTTTTGTTTCCATATTGAAAATTAATTCTTTATCAGTAATTTATTGACTTGTTGATTTAGGTGGTAATTTTCTATCTTAATTTTTCATAGTTAAATTTTGCTTTAATTTAATATTATGAATAGCATAAAATTTATTTATATACTCTTTCTAATCTCATTAGTAAAATCATCTGAAGAATAATAAAAAAGACAAACTTATGAATATATAATTGAGATTGTAAATAAACAAAATAGATTTTAAAATAACCCTTTAATAAAATTATTAGAACCAATATTAGAATAGTTAAAGTCAAATACCCTTGAAAATAATTAAACCTAAAAAATATAAGCACAGCAAATCCAAAATGTGAAGATGCTGATGATTGTCCTAAATTACCAACATTTTTAGAGCTTAGATTTCTAAATGTACAGCTAAAGAAGGAGGAGGATGTGTAGAATTAGGGGCTAAATGTGAAGATTAAGTTGCTGAAATTGGTTGTGTTAAAGATAAATCAGGAGTAGCATGTTTCTGGAGTAAAGGAAAGTGCTTAGATAAGACATGTGACAATGCTCCAATTGAATATGTCACAGATTAACAAATCAAAGATTTCATTCCAACATGTACAACTAAATAAGGAGGGGGTTGTGTTACAAGATCAAATTGTGGAGGAGTCATCTAAGCTGCTTGTGTGACTAATAGTTTAGGAGGTCTGTGTTTTTGGAATGGCACAGCATGTGTTGATAAAACCTGTGCAAATGCTTTGACAACAAATAAAACTAATCCAAGTTGCAAATCATATTTGGATAAATGTATTACAACAGGAAGTGGATGTACTGATAGCATAGGTTGTAGTGCTGCAACATTTAAAGAAGCTTGTGATAAAACATTAACTGGAGTTCTCTGCCATTGGGATGAAACAGTTTGTAAAACCAAGATTTGTGATAATGCTGGTAGTTCATATGTTGGACATGACAAGTGTACAACATATATACATGTACAGCTAAATCTGGTTCTCCCTCAGGATGTTAAGACAGGACATGCCTTTAATGCTCCAAAAACAAATACTACAAATGAGAAATGCGAAGCTTATCTTCCAAATTCAAAATGCATTACTTAAGACTAGGGAGGATGCAGAACTAATACAACTTGTGAAGCTATTAACTTGGAAATTGCTTGCAAGGCAGACAGAGATGGCAAAACTTGTTTCTGGGATAATTAAAGATGTTGGACTAAATATTGTACAAATTCACCAGCATCCAATAATACACACCCATTATGTAATGCTTTCTTACCTACTTGCACTGTAGGAAGTGGAAATACCTGTTTTGATAAAACATGTGAGAATGTATAAGAAGAAACAAATTGTAAAAATGATTACCAGAATAAACCATGCATTTACAAAGGCAAATGCTATTAGAAATAATGTGCTTTAGCATCCAAGGATTATACATCTTATACAGAATGCAAAACTTACTTAGAAACATGTACTTTAGATAATTCAGGATCAGGATGTATGGATTTACCTATCAAATGTGAAGCAATTACTTAACCTGAAGGCTGTAAAATTAAATAAGGAGGTGGTAAATGTGGATTGATTGGAAAAAATTGTGTAGATTAATCTTGTCTTACAGCTCCATCTTCTGATTATACTACAAGTGCTTTATGTGATGGTTATAAGACAGGATGTGTTGTTGATAATGATGGAGCTGGTAGTATAGATCTACCTTCCACTTGTTCTGCGAGAAAGCTAGAAGATAATTGTTGAATTGGATAAACTAGAAGTATCTCTCCATTAAAATGTTAATGGGATAATGTAACTGTTCCAAGAACTCCAGTTTGCATAGATATTAAATGTGAGAATGCTCATCTTTTGAATGGTAGCTTATCTTAAAATGATTGTTGGACTTATTTTAGTTTGAAATGTGTTATTAATACAACTAGTGATAAATGTATTCCCAGACCTAAAGCTTGTATTGAATTAGGTGAAGCTGCTTGTAAATAATCAGGTGTGATATATGTTAGTGATACGTAAACAAAGGATTGTTATTGGGATGAAAATTCAACATCTTGTAAAGATGAAGCTTGTACAAACATTACATTAGCTTCCTATTCTCATGCTAATTGTAATAATGCTATTAATAAATTCACAGTTATTGCAGGTGCAACTCCAAATAAATGCTAAGATATTGTCGCTTGTGATAAATATACTGGTGAAGATTAATGTAAAGTTGATACTACTGGAAATATTTGTGTATGGAATTCTACAGTGACTCCTGCTAAATGTTAAGATAAATCTTGTCCAGATGCAGATACTTATAATAATGATGCTGCATGTTAAGTATTTTCAAAAAAATGTACATTAACTTAAAAGAAATGCCGTGTGAAATAAGCTACTTGTGAAGCTATTAAAAATTAGACTGCTTGTGAGGCAAATACAATTAGTAGAAAGTAATAGTGTGCATGGAATGCAGGATCAGGAGCATATGCGAATGCATCAGGAGCATTTAATTGCATAAAAGCAGTTGGAACTGGATTTACAGCTGGGTATTGCTAATATTTGGATGCTACTTGTTCTGTAAATGCAAATGGTACAGCTTGTATCACTGCTTAAGATAATTGCTCAGGATATACAGGTGCTAGTGCATAATCAAATTGTGTTTGGGCTGTTTCTCATAAATATTGTTATTGGGATGGATCAGCTTGTGCATAAATAGTTCCTGCAACTAAATGCAGCGATATTCAAGGGGACAGTGTTGGAATATGCAAAACTAAAAAGAGCTCATGTACTTTCACTACTGGAACAAAATGTGGTCCAGACTGTGCTGCTTTTGCAGGTCCATTCAATTATGACACTTGTTAAGCATATGATCCTTAATGTACAATTAAAAGGGATGGTTTAGGATGTATAATGACAGCAGCAACTTGTGCTACTACAAATGTAACTAATTGTACACATGCAGATAATGGAAAATGTTATTTATCTAATTTTACTACCTGCACATTAGCTAGTGCAGCTGCATTAATTACTGCTGGTAACTGTGGTACAATGACAGGAGTCGGATTAACTCCAGTTTATTGTAAAGGAATAAGTAACAATCTTTGTTCAGCAAATTCATAATTGACTGCTTGTGTTGAGAAATAAGCTACTTGCTCATTATATGCAACTCCTTTTGCTGATTGCCTTTCAGGAATCAGTGAAGAGAAATGTATAGTAACTACTGCTGGTACTGGATGCGAACCTTTTTCCACTGGATGCAATACTGTAAAACTCTTTAGAGCAGGAGCTACTGCAATTACATATACTAATGCAATATGTAAATTATATGAATGCCAAGCTAATTCTGATGGAACTGCTTGTGAAGATATTCCTCCATCTGGTCCTGCTCCAGATGCAACATGTGGCAATCACTTGGTTCCATTCACATACGAGGCTCGCAGAGGCCACTTAGATACTTGCTCAGTTAATGCAACTAAGACAGCTTGTGTGACAGCTCAAAATGACTGCTCAGGGTATACAAATACGGCAGAATGTGGATATTCATTAAACTAAGGAGAGTGTGAAGTTTCAGGAACATCATGTGTTTAAAAGAAATGTGATTCAGCTGCCTCTACAGTTACTACTAATGCTGGATGCGAAGCAGTTTCAACAAATTGTGTTTTAAGAGTAGGAGGATGTTAATTTAGAAATAATTGCACTTCATATATAGTTGAAGGTGCTTGTGTTAAGAATGCTAGTGGAGGTGATTGTTTATGGAATCCTACAGCTGGTAAATGTGTTGATAAAAGTTGTAGTGCAGCAGAAGCATCAAACAGTTTCGATACCCATGCTAAATGTGTAGCTATAGGAAAATGTACAGTCAAAGCAACCTTAAGGATGTGTAGCTTATAAAACATGCAGTTCTTATACTCATTAAGAGCAGTGTAAATTTAGTAGTGAGAAGAATGATAACGGTTCAAATATTGCATGTGGATGGAATGGTACTTGTGCCAATAAGAGTTGTTTAACAGCCTAGGAAACTTTTAACACTCCTACTTTATGTAGTAGTTATTTTATTGGCTGCACTGTTAATGCAACAGATAATGGTTGTGTTGTTATCCCTGATGCTTGCGAAGGAATGACATAAAATCAATGTTATGAAGGATCAGTAGACAAATCTTAAAGAAAATGCTCTTGGGATACAACAGAAAGCAAATGTATAACAAAGAAATGTGAAAATTCACCAAACTATGGATCAGAATCAGAATGTAATACTTATCTACCTGGATGCACAACAGATACTATTAAATGTAAGACAAAAATATGCGAAGATTATCCATTAACAAATGATGCTTTATGTAAAGGAGCACTCTCTACTTGTACATCAAATGGAGTAAATTGTAAAAAGAGGAACTTGCAGTTAGGCATAAGCTGAAGCAGGTTGTGTGACAGATTCAAATGATAGATAATGTTAATGGATGACTCCTACAGGATAAACAGCTTATTGTACAAACAAGAATTGTGCAACTGCCCCAGCAGCTTTGACAACTGAGGCTTAATGTGTTTAATATTTCACACCATCAGTAGGAACATGTACAACAAAGAAAGATGGAGGTTGCACAGTTAAAGGAGCATGCACAGCTGCTAATGTTGCTGCTGCTTGTACAACTGATAGTAGCGGAAATGATTGCTAATGGGATGCTGAAACAAATGGATGTAGATTAAAAGAATGCAAGGATTTTAATGGAACAACTCATGCTGCTTGCAATAAACTAAGACCAGGATGTACAGCAGGATTAAACGGAAGATGCGCTAAAATGACTAATTGCTAAGAGATCAAAGTCAGAGCTGCTTGTATTGAAGGTAATGATGGTCCTTGTTTGTGGATTGCTAAATATGTTAATGCTGATTCTACCCTTGGAGCTTGCTTCCCTTATGAATCCTGCCAGAGTTTGGATTGGACATCTGATAACACATGCAAAATGATCTCTTCAAATTGTACAACTGTTGGTACTGAATGTGTTGGAATTACTAGTTGTGCAGGCACAAAAAATCAAAAAGGATGTAAGACAGGAACAGATGGAGAATGTATTTTTACAGTATCAGCAAAAGGAGCTGCAGATACAATTTGTAAGAAGTTTACTTCATGTTCTGATGCATATTATTTAACTCATGATGGATGCAATTCAGCAAATTCAAATTGTACATCAGATTACTTAACCGGATGTATTCCATTAGCTGCTTGCTCAACCTACACTTTCAACTAATGTTACAGAAATAAGGATGGACCATAAAGAGATGCTACTGGAGGTATAACATCAACAGGTATTTGTATTTGGGATGATACTGCCAAAGAAGGCAAAGATCAATAATGTACTGATCTAACTTTCACTACAGAATCAGAATGCTCTTCCAGATTGAAGACATGCACATCAGATGGAGTTAAGTGCCTTGTTAAAGGAGCTTGCAGTAGTTATGGAACTTTAGCAGCAAGTAATGTTGCTGGAGGTACTTGAAGGTGCTTTTTCTGGTTCCAGCAGATCCATAAGGAAGTTGCAGAACGGGTTTGGGGTTGGGTTAGGGGTTGGGGTTGGGGTTGGGGTTGGGTTTGGGAAG